AAAGTGTCACCATCATGCAATTATGTATGTAAATAGATGAAGAGCAAATGGTGATAAATGCTACTCTTCTTTAATACGCCATGTTATTTTCCACCCAGACTACTAGCTTAATCAGAGTAATAAAAATACACTGTGCAGAACAGAAACAGCTCTTACCTCTCCTCACATCATACTCTAGGCTGCCATAGACTTGGCATGATGACATCATCAGATCCCACCGCTCCCACCAACATGCTTCTTCTCAGCACTGTAAATGCATGACAATGAAATAGATAAATAGAGACACGAAAAAGGCTATTATTCTTTAATTTAGTATGCAATTTTAATCAAAGTAACAAAAACATAGCAGAATTGAAACAGTGTTTAGCTCGTGTCCTACTCTGGGCTGCTGTAGACTTACATGACACGATGACATCACCGGATCCCACCACTGCCACCAGTGTTTACTCTCAGCACTAACCCAGGGGAGGTTTGTATCTCCTCTCCTGCTCTGACACAGACAGAGTGTGCGGCCCAAATGGCAGCCTATTACCTATTTAGCGCACTACGTTTGACCAGAGCCCTATGGCCCCAGGTCAAAAGTAGTGTACTATAAAGGGAATAGGATGTCATTTGAGACACAGGACATACAGAGAGGGAGTGGAGTTGCCCACGGCGGCTAATAGGCTATATTTCAGAGGGGAATTACAGTAGTCCACAGAGGAGAGGAGAGCAGTTTAGCCCACCAAACCATTAAAGCCCTGCAGACTGGAGTTACATCCCAAATGGAATCCTATTCCCTACATTGTGCACTATTTTGACCAGAGACCTATGGGCAAGCCTATGGGTTCTGATCAAAAGTAGTGCACTATATAGGGAATAGGGTGCAATTTCGAACACAGTCTGGGACGGAGTGGAGCAATGAGAGAGCTCTCAGACACCAGCCATCATTTTCACAGGCTGAGGACCATCAGACAGACCTGGGTCCAAATAGTATTAAAAATATTGTATGTACTGTGACTTAGCGTTTGCTCCAGCCTGCCTGGACAGATGGGCAGGGTTTGGTTTTGCACTTCTGGGGCGATTCCATTGGTTCTATTGTGCTGGGCAAGCTTAATCAAACATTCAACAGCATTTTAAACATTTTGAATGCTATTTGAAGCCAGGTCGGGCTGAGGGCTATGAGCTCTAGCCTCAGTGAGGAAGCTGTAAGCTGGGGGGAGAGGTCAGCAGTGCTGGGGCCAGTGAGAAGGCTGGTCATGGTAGGGATGGAACGAACACATGCTGGACCTGTTCTTTTCACTCTGTCATTTAGGTTAGTATTGTGGAGTAACTACAATGTTGTTGATCCATCCTCAGTTTTCTCCTATCACATCCATTTAACTGTAACTGCTTTAAAATCACCATTGACCTCATGGTGAAATCCCTGAGCGGTTTCCTTCCTCTCCGGCAACTGAGTTAGGAAGGACACCTGTATATTTGTAGTGACTGGGTGTATTGATACAACATCCAAAGTGTAATTAATAACTTCACCATGCACAAAGGAATATTCATGTATTTTTTGTTTTTATATCCATCTACCAATAGGTGTCCTTCTTTGCGAGGTATTGGAAAACCTCCCTGGTCTTTGTGGTTAATCTGTGCTTGAAATTCACTGCTCGACTGAGGGACCTTACAGATAATTGTATTTGGGGGGTACAGAGATTAGTTAGTCATTCTAAAATCATGTCACTATTATTGCACACAGTGAGCCCATGCAACTTATTATGTGACTTGTTAAGCACATTTTTACTCCTGAACTTATTTAGGCTTGCCATAACAAAGGGGTTGGATACTTAGTGACTCAAAACATTTCAGCTTTTCATTTTTTATTAATTTGTAAAAACATAATTCCACTTTGACATTATGGGGTATTGTGTGTGAATCAGTGACACAACATCTACATTGTATCCATTTTAAATTCAGGCTGTAACACAACAAAATGTGGAAAAAGTAAAGCGGTGTGAATACTTTCTGAAGTCACTGTACATGACATAGGCCTACATACATACAGCATGCATAAGATATGAAATCCTAAGGTTTATTTGTATGTGTAATTACAAAGTTCCCAAGGTCACCTGGAACTCTTTTCTTCTTATGTCTCCATACTTGAAAGCACAACTCAACAATGGACATGATTCTCATAGCGTAGAATAGAAGCCTTGACTGTATCATCAAACAATTGTTTCCTTACCCAACACTGCCCCCCGGAGACATGGTCATGACACAACACCACCACAACGTATATACACTGAGTGTTTCAAAACATTAGGAACATCTTTCATTGACATAGACTGACCAGGTGAAAGCTATGATCCCTTATTGATGTCACCTGTTAAATCCACTTCAATCAGTGTAGATGAAGTGGAGGAGAACAGTTAAAGAAGGATTTTTAAGCCTTGAGACATGGATTGTGTATGTGTGCCATTCAGAGGGTGAATGGGTAAGACAAAAGATTTAAGTGCCTTTGAACAGGGTATGGTAGTAGGTGCCAAGCGCACCGGTTTGTGTCAAGAACTGCAACGCTGCTGGGTTTTTCACACTCAACAGTTTCCCGTGTGTATCAAGAATGGTCCACCACCCAAAGGACATCCAGCCAACTTGACACAACCGTAGGAAGCATTGGAGTCAACATGGGCCAGTATCATTACATTACAGTAATTTAGCAGACGCTCTTATCCAGAGCGACTTACAGTTAGTGAGTGCATACATTATTTTTTATTTTTCATACTGGCCCCCCGTGGGAAGCGAACCCACAACCCTGGCGTTGCAAAAGCCATGCTCTACCAACTGAGCTACATCCCTGCCGGCCATTCCCTCCCCTACCCTGGACGACGCTGGGCCAATTGTGCGCCGCCCCATGGGTCTCCCGGTCGCGGCCGCCTACGACAGAGCCTGGATTCGAACCAGGATCTCTAGTGGCACAGCTAGTACTGCGATGCAGTGCCTTAGACCACTCGGGAACGCTTTCAACACCTTGTAGAGTCCATGCTCCGACGAATTGAGGTTGTTCTGTGGGCAAAGGGGGTGCAACTCAATATTAGGAAGCTGTTCCTAATGTTTTGTACACTGTGAATACAACAATTTGGTAGGTGCAGTGAAATGTGTTGTTTTACAGGGTCAGCCCTATTAGTATGCCACCCCTGGAGCAAATTAAGGTTAAGTACCTTGCTCAAGGGCACATCGACAGATTTTTCACCTTGTCGGCTCGGGTATTCAAACCAGCGACCTTTTGGTTACTGGCCCAACCCTCTAACCGTTAGCAATCTTATCCAAAGCTACATAAATGTTTGGCATGGGCCAGGGGGAATCGAACCCAGGAGAGTTGCACACAGCTCTACCAACTGAATCAAACAGGAGTGCATTTTTCCACGTCAGACTTTATTCATCATTAATTTCACACAGATCAGACTCTTCAACCCGACCCGATTCACCCCGGCAACCATAACCTAATTGGAATATCTTTCAACTCCGTAAATAGCCATTGGCATGTTCATCTTTTTCTTTCAAATTGGCCATAACTAACTCAGAAGAACAGCATCCCACATACAAAAAGAGATTGGTTCAGTTGGTTCCATTTCACATTCAACATTTCACAATGCATTAATATTATGAGTAGAAACTTGGATGAACCAATTACATTTTCTTCAGTTATTATTTAAGATTATCACATTTTATATTAGCTTAACGCAACGTGAGGTCAAGACAAACATTGTACCGCAAATCCTAATTTACATTTAGGGTGAATGTTCACTTAGTCATTGATGTCAATGGGAAAACATATAAAGATTTGACATTTAAAGTGAAAGTTAGGATTCGTCCCGGAATTTGTTGAGAAACGATCTCCTCGTAAGTAGTAGATGCTTGTCTGATACATTTACACTGGTTCCCTTTGCCTTCAGATAGCTTGCATACTTTGAAATCTGACCGCTTATTTTCTCAAAAACAAACACACACCGTAAAAGAAATTAGCTACCAAACAAACTGTTCATCATTCACATCAGACAAATAACTGTTAATAAATTAATAATTATCACTGACAAGTTATACCCCTACAGCTCCCTACCAAAATCTTAATTTCTTATCTTGTTACTGTAATTATTAACCCTAACAAACCCTTAGACCCCCCCCCCCCCCACCCTCAACCCACCCACTCTCCCTGAGCAAACTGACAGACCAACACATAAAATCCATCTTACTTCAAACTACCAAAGCCTGTAGAACCCATTATAAATATGACATAAAAATGAATGACCATTATGACAAACCATTCCATACTAGGGTCAAACCATTCCATACTAGGGCCAGGAGTTTTTTTCTGACCATGTAATCTGACCAGGAACCATTTATAGACTAACACAAGTTTTTCTGGTCAGGTCATGTGGTCAGGAAAAAACTCCTGGCCCTCCTTATGACACATGCAGGGATTTGAACAGTTGGCTTAATTGGCAGTGTTTAAATTAGTGCCACTGCACGTCATAGTAAATAAATTGTCATGAACAGTTTGTCACTTTCATAATGAGTTATAAAGCTTTCATGATGCATCGTTATCACAAAGTGTGACCCTGAACCCCAAAATCCCCATGAAACCCACAGACGTAACCATCTCCCATAAGACCTCGATAGTTTTTTTGATCTCAATCGACAATTCATTAATTACAAATGTTTTAAAAAAGCAACAATGGCTCATATACATATCGACAAAATGGATTCTTCTTAATATTTCTGATGAGAGTGTTCTACAAAACGAAGGAGTCCCACAGAACAGAACTACACAGCCAGTCTTCCATAGAACCTTCCATAGAACCCATGCTGGTGACATCAGTCCATAGATAGAGCCTGGTTGGCTGAAGCAGGGTTGCTATGGGTATAGTATGGTAAAGTATGCTATTGCCCAGTATGGCTGCCCCTGAAATGGCACTATCCCCAACATAGTGCACTACTTTTGACCAAGTCTCATAGGGTTCTGGTCAAAAGTAGTGCACTATATATGGAACAGGGTGCCATTTCAGACACAGTATGTCTGTGGTTCCTGTTGGGGTAGTTTACATGCTAGAAGTTAGGTCTGTGGATCATGTGCGTCGGGTCTTCTGTCTCTTGGCCTGGCGTTTGGCCTCATCCAGGGCAGTGTTGTCCCCACTGGCCTGGCTCAGGCTACGCACCCCCTGGAGACGGCTCACCAGCTGCAGCAGCAGGGGGATCACCTGAGGAGAGATAGGGCATTGAAGGATGAGATGCCACTTTCGATTGTCTTCTGTGTACTAAAATGCTAAGAAGATCCCAGAGACCAATAGAATGTTGTTTTTTTCAATAAAAAGTCTGTATACTTGAGCACTTATCCCATAATACAGAGGCAATAGGTCATCTGCTTGAACATTTACCAGACCACTCAATTACAGTACATTGGAATAATGATACATGGCTATGCAATAGGAGTTGAGGCAGTGTACCTTCTCATGGTTGTAGGCTGCCAGCAGGAGCAGTAGAGTGAGGGGTAGAGCTATGTACGAACCCTGGGCTACGTCCTGGTCAGGCACTTTACGCTGTGATGAAGAACATCAAATTTGGTTCTCATTCAATATTCAGAAGACACACACAAGAGGCATTTTTTTTTTTTTTTATCACTGTAATGAGAATATTGTAAATATATTACATGACAGTTATTTCCGAAGTAGGATGAAGTTGCCTGTAGAAGCTGATCTAAAATAGTTTTTGTGCTTTCCCACATAATGGATAAGGTCAGAATGTGGACAGGATAAGCTGATCTTAGATCTGTGGCTGCGGACAACTATCCGGAGCATTCAGCCCTGGCAGAGTAGGTACTGTGTACTTACATTGGGGTTGAAGGTCAAAGTGATGTGCTTGTGGTAGCCTGTAGAGGTGAAGGAGACTTGTGGCAGAGAGAAGTCGTACTGGGAGCGAGACAGTGTGGAGTACAGCATCAACACATAGCTCTGTATTGGGGGAGATGACACAAAAACAGTAGAATTATGGTGATGACAACGTACTCTGCAAAGCTCTGTTAATACTACTGACCCAGAATCGCTGGATGAACCTATACTACTTTCTATTATCAGTGCAGTCAAAATTCAGTTTTTCCTGTGTTTTGTATCATATTTTACAACAGCTGATGAAACAAACACTGTAAAAGTGTGACAAATGTGAGCAGTGTAATTTCCTGATAGTTGATGGTGAAAAATAAAATTTACACAGGACATTCTAATCAGCAGGTTTTGCATGGGTGAAGTTTAAGTTAATGGACCAATAACAAATAGAGTTTCAAACCTCTCTGCCAATAACAGCACGTTTTCAGGTTACATACAGTGGGGAAAAAAGTATTTAGTCAGCCACCAATTGTGCAAGTTCTCCCACTTAAAAAGATGAGAGAGGCCTGTAATTTTCATCATAGGTACACGTCAACTATGACATTCAAAATGAGGGAAAAAAATCCAGAAAATCACATTGTAGGATTTTTAATGAATTTATTTGCAAATTATGGTGGAAAATAAGTATTTGGTCAATAACAAAAGTTTCTCAATACTTTGTTATATACCCTTTGTTGGCAATGACACAGGTCAAACGTTTTCTGTAAGTCTTCACAAGGTTTTCACACACTGTTGCTGGTATTTTGGCCCATTCCTCCATGCAGATCTCCTCTAGAGCAGTGATGTTTTGGAGCTGTCGCTGGGCAACACTGACTTTCAACTCCCTCCAAAGATTTTCTATGGGGTTGAGATCTGGAGACTGGCTAGGCCACTCCAGGACCTTGAAATGCTTCTTACGAAGCCACTCCTTCGTTGCCCGGGCGGTGTGTTTGGGATCATTGTCATGCTGAAAGACCCAGCCACGTTTCATCTTCAATGCCCTTGCTGATGGAAGGAGGTTTTCACTCAAAATCTCACGATACATGGCCCCATTCATTCTTTCCTTTACACGGATCAGTCGTCCTGGTCCCTTTGCAGAAAAACAGCCTCACAGTAGGTATGGTGTTCTTTGGATGCAACTCAGCATTCTTTGTCCTCCAAACACGACGAGTTGAGTTTTTACCAAAAAGTTCTATTTTGGTTTCATCTGACCATATGACATTCTCCCAATCCTCTTCTGGATCATCCAAATGCACTCTAGCAAACTTCAGACGGGCCTGGACAGGTACTGGCTTAAGCAGGGGGACACGTCTCGCACGGCAGGATTTGAGTCCCTGGCGGCGTAGTGTGTTACTGATGGTAGGCTTTGTTACTTTGGTCCCAGCTCTCTGCAGGTCATTCACTAGGTCCCCCCGTGTGGTTCTGGGATTTTTGCTCACCGTTCTTGTGATCATTTTGACCCAGATCGAGGGAGATTATTTACATTTACATTTTAGTCATTTAGCAGACGCTCTTATCCAGAGCGACTTACAGTTAGTGAATACATATTTTATTATACTGGCCCCCCGTGGGAATCGAACCCACAACCCTGGCATTGCAAACGCCATGCTCTATCAACTGAGCTACATCCCTGCCGGCCATTCCCTCCCCTACCCTGGACGACGCTGGGCCAATTGTGCGCCGCCCATGAGTCTCCCGGTCGCGGCCGGCTGCGACAGAGCCTGGATTCGAACCAGGATCTCTAGTGGCACAGTTAGCACTGCGATGCAGTGCCTTAGACCACTGCGCCACTCAGGAGTATCAGTGGTCTTGTATGTCTTCCATTTCCTAATAATTGCTCCCACAGTTGATTTCTTCAAACCAAGCTGCTTACCTATTGCAGATTCAGTCTTCCCAGCCTGGTGCAGGTCTACAATTTTGCTTCTGGTGTCCTTTGACAGCTCTTTGGTCTTGGCCATAGTGGAGTTTGGAGTGTGACTGTTTGAGGTTGTGGACAGGTGTCTTTTATACTGATAACAAGTTCAAACAGGTGCCATTAATACAGGTAACGAGTGGAGGACAGAGGAGCCTCTTAAAGAAGAAGTTACAGGTCTGTGAGAGCCAGAAATCTTGCTTGTTTGTAGGTGACCAAATACTTATTTTCCACCATAATTTGCAAATAAATTCATTAAAAATCCTACAATGTGATTTTCTGGAAAAAAAATCTCAATTTGTCTGTCATAGTTGACGTGTACCTATGATGAAAATTACAGGCCTCTCATCTTTTTAAGTGGGAGAACTTGCACAATTGGTGGCTGACTAAATACTTTTTCCCCCACTGTATCTATGGCATTACATTTGATTAAAAATCAATTGTGAGTTATTTTTCCTATGTCGTAAAATGTATTTTTTTTTTCTCCCAAAAAGTTGAGGAAAAAAATACATATTGTAAGCAAAAACGAATCAAAAAGCATTGCAAGCCCAAAAGCAACAAAATCAATGATAAATAAGGAAACGAAATAAAAAAATAATCTAAATTGAATATGTTTGTGTCATTTAAAATCTGCTCTGCTTTGTTTGCAACTTTTCCTCAGACATTTCTCAACCAATGTTCACGTGGGGGTTAGAAGGGGGGAGAACTAAATCGGTAACTGTTGGTCAATACACTTGGAGAGACGGTTCAACAAAATGCATCATTCCATCACTATTGTATGACCCATTAGTTTCATTTCTATGGGGGAGGGGGGAGCGGCTGCACCATGACGGTTTGGAAAAAGCGTTTTATTTGTATTTGACATCTCGACTAATCAGGTTCATTAAGAGAGTAAGAGAGCCCCAGCCGTTCCTGTTACATCTCATCCTACTGGTCAAGCCTACCCACCCTCAATGTCCACTTAGAGCAAGTTTGTAGAGTCAAATCAATGTTATGAATATTATAATGACCCATGTTTGTAGCCCTGGACCTCGTGAACATGTTGATGTACACCATATATACAAAGCTATGTGGACGCCCCTTCAAATTAGTGGATTCGGCTATTTCAGCCACACTGTTGCTGACAGGTGTATAAAATCAAACACACCGCCATGCAATCTCCATAGACAAACATTGGCAGCAGAATGGCCTTACTGAAGAGCTCAGTGACTTTCAACGTGGCACCGTCACAGAATGCCACCTTTCCAACAAGTCAGTTAGTCAATTTTCTGCACAGAATGGGACCGCTGAGTGCTGAAGTGCACAGCGGGTAAAAATTGTCTGTCGTCCGTTGCAACACTCACTACCGAGTTCCAAACTGCCTCTGGAAGCAACGTCAGCACAATAACTGTTTGTTGGGAGCTTCATGAAATGGGTTTCCATGGCCGAGCAGCCGCACACAAGCCTAAGATCACCATGTGGAAACGCGTTCTCAGGAGTGATGAATCACGCTTCACCATCTGGCAGTCCAACGGACGAATCTGGGTTTGGTGGGTGCCAGGAGAACGCTACCTGCCCCAATGAATAGTGCCAACTGTAAAGTTTGGTGGAGGAGGAATAATGGTCTGGGGCTGTTTTTCATGGTTCGGGCTAGGTCCCTTAGTTCCAGTGAAAGGAAATCTTACTTTGTGCTTCCAACTTTGTGGCAACAGTTTGGGGAAGGTCCTTTCCTGTTTCAGCATCACAATGCCCCCATGCATACATAAATGGTTTGTTGAGATTGGTGTGGAAAAACTTGACTGGCCTGCACAGAGCCCTGACCTCAACCCATCAAACACCTTTGGAATGAATTGGAACGCCGACTGCGAGCCAGGCCTAATCGCCCAACATCAGTGGCCGACCTCACAAATGCTTGTGGCTGAATGGAAGCAAGTCCACGCAGCAATGTTCCAACATCTAGGGGAAAGCCTTCCCAGAAGAGTGGTGGCTGTTATAGCAGCAAAGGGGGGACCAACTACATATTAATGCCCATGATTTTGAAATGAGTTGTTCGACGAGCAGGTGACCACATACCTTTGGTCATGTAGTGTATATTTGGGAGTAAATAGAGGGTACACATCTGCAGAAAGGTGAAAAGGAAGGAGCGGGAAACTCCCTGAAATTGCTTGGGGCTGACACAGATGACATTTAAATGATGTCAACAGCTAGCCTTTGTTCTCCATCTTCCCTCCATATATCTTCCTGGTATGACAGTTCAAATAGCAAGTCTCAGACTGGACAGTGGTAGACCATGGAGATGTCTCGGGCCACTGTTTTTACCAATGAAGATAATGGCGCCGACAACTATGACGATGTCTATGAACAGCCCTACTATGAAAAACTCCAGACATGGCTCCTAACTTGAGAAACGAGACTGAGGATGCAGTGACCCAAAGGAACACACCACAAGCTGAACACTCAGAGGACCTGTTTGGTAATGGAGCCGACGCCTATGAAGAGGTCTATAAACAGCCCTACTCCAGACACGTGTCCTGACTTGAGAACCAAGACTGAGGATGCTACCCCAGGGAGCACAATACAACCTGAACACTCCGATTCTGAGAGCTCAGGGAGGAGACCCTTTGTTGTTGCTACAGTGTGTCTGGGCCTGCTGTTCTTTCTCCTACTGGGCTGGGATCATCGGCATCTGTCCACTACCACATTTATACAGCCAACCTACAGGGGGAGAGAGACTACTTTCGTAATTTGCTTTGTGCGAAAGCCTGTCCCGAAGGATGGCTGAAGTTTTACTGCAGCTGTTACTACTGAACAGAAATCCTGGAATGAGAGCAGACATGACTGTCTGGCGAGAAAAGCAGACCTGGTGATCATAAACAGCCAAGAGGAACAGGTATTTCTCACTACATTTGACCGATGGATCTGGATTGGTCTGACTGACAGAGAGACGGAAGGGACCTGGAAATGGGTTGACGGCACAGCACTGACCATAGCGTACTGGTGGTGGTCAAAACCAGATTGAGAAGTTGGAGAGGAAGACTGTGCTATGATGTATGGAGGTGTACAACATATTAATCTACACGCATGGAATGACTTCGGGTGTGGCGTGAAATTCCAAGGGATTTGTGAGAAAGTGGTTTATTAATACCATAACACCATTGTCTACTTCTTCCTTCCCTCTCAAACACATGCACGCACACACATACTTTAAACTACACTGAGCCAGGCCCACACACTGGGAAGCCAGGCCCAGCCAATCAGAATGAGTTTTTCCCCTATTACAGACAGAAATACTCCAGAATTTAATCAGCTGTCCGGGTGGCTGGTCTCAGATTATCCCACGGGTGAAGAAGCCGGATGTGTCAGTCCTGGGCTGGCGTGGTTACACGTGGTCTGTGGTTGTGAGGGCAGTTGAATGTACTGACAAATTCTCTAAAATGATGTTGGAGGCGGCTTATGGTAGAGAAATTATCATTAAATTATCTGGCAACAGCTCTGGTGGACATTCCTGATTTTCACCAACTGTCTAGCTTTTATTTTGGTGATTGTTAGTTCTCAAAGATTATATTCTAAAAATATATATATAAACTCAGCAAAAAAAGAAACGTCCCTTTATCAGGACCCCGTCTATCAAATAACTTCACAGATCTTCATTGTAAAAGGTTTAAACAGTGTTTCCCATGCTTGTTCAATGAACCATAAACAATTAATGAACATGCACCTGTGGAACGGTCGTTAAGACACTAACAGTTTACAGACGGTAGGCAATTAAGGTCACAGTTATGAAAACTTAGGACACTGAAGAGGTCTTTCTACTGACTCTGAAAAACACCAAAAGAAAGATACCCAGGGTCCCTGCTCATCTGCGTGAACGTGCCTTAGGCATGCTGCAAGGAGGCATGAGGACTGCAGATGTGGCCAGGGCAATAAATTGCAATGTCCATACTGTGAGACGCCTAAGACAGCGCTTCAGGGAGACAGGACGGACAGCTGATCATCCTCGCAGTGGCAGACCACGTGTAACAACACCTGCGGGACAGGTACAGGATGGCAACAACAACTGCCCGAGTTACACCAGGAACGCACAATCCCTCCATCAGTGCTCAGACTGTCCGCAATAGGCTGAGAGAGGCTGGACTGAGGGCTTGTAGGCCTGTTATAAGCCAGGTCCTCACCAGACATCCCCGGCAACAACGTCGCCCATGGGCACAAACCCACCGTCGCTGGACCAGACAGGACTGGCAAAAAAAAAGTGCTCTTCACTGACGAGTCGCGGTTTTGTCTCACCAGGGGTGATGGTCGGATTCCCGTTTATCGTCGAAGGAATGAGCGTTACATAGAGGCCTGTACTCCGGAGCGGGATCAATTTGGAGGTGTGTCCCAGCATCATCGGACTGAGCTTGTTGTCATTGCAGGCAATCTCAACGCTGTGCGTTACAGGGAAGACATCCTCCTCCCTCATGTGGTACCCTTTCTGCAGGCTCATCCTGACATGAAAATGAAAATGCCACCAGCCATACTGCTCGTTCTGTGCGTGATTTTCTGCAAGACAGGAATGTCAGCGTTCTGCCATGGCCAGTGAAGAGCCCGGATCTCAATCCCATTGAGCACGTCTGGGACCTGTTGTATCGGAGGGTGAGGGCTAGGGCCATTCCCCCCAGAAATGTCTGGGAACTTGCAGGTGCCTTGGTGGAAGAGTGGGGTAACATCTCACAGCAAGAACTGGCAAATCTGGTGCAGTCCATGAGGAGGAGATGCACTGCAGTACTTAATGCAGCTGGTGGTCACACCAGATACTGACTGTTATTTTTTATTTTGACCCCCCCCCTTTGTTCAGGGACACATTATTCAATTTCTGTTAGTCACATGTCTGTGGAACTTGTTCAGTTTATGTCTCAGTTGTTGAATCTTATGTTCATACAAATATTTACACGTTAAGTTTGCTGAAAATAAACGCAGTTGACAGTGAGAGGCAGTTTCTTTTTTTGCTGAGTTTAGGTCCATTATATTTTCTACATAGTTAATATCTGGTGTTAGTCATTTAAGTTCACACTGAAAATATTTTTCCATCCCGAAAATAACTTACTTTTAATTTTTTGGACATATGTGGCCAAAAAATACACTTAGGAGGCCGCCCAAGACTTTTCTATGCAAAAAACCTCTGATGAACATTCCTTTTTATTTCTCTATAGATACATTTATCTACAGCATAGATGGAGTTCAACCTCTACACAGGATGAAATCTGAGCTGGTATTACTCTAAGAAAAAAATATATTATGAATTTTCATAGAGAGAAGACCTTTACAATTGAATGTTATATCTTGAAAAAACTACAATTTAACCTCTTAAGAATCGGACCCTTTCCCCCCCCAATTTTTGCCTAAAATGACATACCTAAATCTAACTGCCTGTAGCTCAGGACCTGAAGCAAGGATATGCATATTCTTGATACCATTTGAAAGGAAACACTTTGAGTTTGTGGAAATGTGAAATTAATGTAGGAGAATATAACACATTAGATCTTGTAAAAGATTATACAAACAAAAAAACGCGTTTTCTATATATGTTTTTGTTCCATCTTCGAAATGCAAGAGAAATGCCACATTATAATATTGCAGTTTAAGCGCAATTTAGATTTTGGCCACTAGATGGCAGCAGTGTATGTGCAAAGTTTCAGATTGATCCAGTGAAGTATTGCAATACTGGACTATTTTGTATCAAGTCTGCCCAAATGTGCCGAATTGGTCAATTGATACATTTTAAAGTACATAACTATAGAGAACATACATAAATTATATGGTAATACAAAATGTAAGTTTACACACTCCCAGGAATGTCATACATGATGGATCAAGCTTATAGACGTTCACACATCTAGATGGCCAGGAGGAGTGGATGTGGAGCCAGAGACAGCAGGGGTTCAAACTGTAGAACCCAGTTCCTACATTTGAATATAAAAATTGATTTTATCAAACAAAACTATGCTACATTTTTTAAACATTATTTACCTTCAGAGGTGAATGTATCAAACCAGTTGCCGTAATAAGTTTGTTGTTGTTGTGCACTCTCCTCAAACAATAGCATGGACAGTGCAGTTAGATTAACAAGAATTTAAGCTTTCTGCCCATATAAGACATGTCTATGTCCTGGAATGTTTGCTGTTACTTACAACAGTCATGCTAATCACATTACTGCACGTTAGCTCAACCGTCCCGTATACGGGAAACCGATCCCGTAGAGGTTAACTTGAGAAAATGTATTTGTATACGTTTTACATTGTAACAGATTAATTTTGTTCTTGATTTCTCCGTTGTCTCTTGCTTTAAATTTGTAAATTATTATCATTTAGATTTTTTTCTTTCTGTAAAGTGTATTGTGAATTTGTTAAATATCATTTAAATAAATTGTGATTTGATTTAAATAATAATAATATTATTATTATTATTGACCTAGAAGAGCCATTTCTGGGTTGGGTACAACAGTACTTCAGCTCTCAGGAAGGCAGTAGTGATGCTTCCTTGGCTATCTGCTACACACTCATTTCTAGCCAGCCTTATACCACATTACATACTGAATGATAGTACATTTCTGTAGCAGGTCCATACCTCTCCGTCCCTGTCCAGAGGCGGGAAGTGGAAGAAGAGGGACTGCCCCAGAGAAACACTGTTGATGGGGTTGTCCAGGTTGTCACTCTTATAAAGCTTCACCTGCAGGGGACAGGAGGAAAAATAAGATTATATGGAGCCATAGAAATAGATAGAGGACTCTAGATGGATATAATCCATTTTAGCATTGACATTCTTCCTCTATCTAACTCTTATGTATGAGCACATAAAGGTGTTGCTCAAAGTGGCATCATACCATCACAACATTACATGGGATATCTAACAGCTATATTTAGGCTTTATCTATGAATTAGTTCCTTATGACACATTTGCAAACAAATATGATGAATTAACATAGAAATAACATTGAAAATGTTTTATGACTGAGATACTTAAAAGTAAATAGGTAGTTATGAGGTGATTTTATGGGTATTTTAACGAGGGGATCTTACAGAGAGAGTGGGCAGGTGTTCTGGTGAGGTGATGATGTTCCCACTCAGGTCAAACTGGTTGATCTGCCTGAAGGCGATGATGTTGACTCCCACGATGTCGGTGCTCCCAACCTCTATGGAGCGGTGCTGAGGCAGGGCTCTTTCAATGTGATCATTGCCCTCTGCTCTCAGCTGGATCAGGTATCTACAGCCCGGCTGTGAGAGAATCTCAAAGTTAGCAACACACACTATTAGCAATTGCCACAGCAGTGTTTGGGGTATCAAACGCAACGTGAGCATGCTATGACCCATTCCGCACAAAGTATCTCTTACAAATGTGTTGTATCTGTTGTCTATGTAGGCTTCATAACTACTTTATGTGCTTGTATACAGGCTTTATAATGGCTTTATGTAGCCCTTATGAAGCCTCAAAAAGGCCCCTGACTCACCAGCAGGCCCCTGAGCCTGAAGCGTCCATCCTCGTCAGTGACTGTGTCCTCACTGTAGATACTACACTCTGCCTGTCCCACTGCCTCCACTGACACGTCCCTCTCAGCATCCCCACTCAGGGACTGAACAGCCCCGTAGCAGCTAGATAGGACGCAGTAAATCAGGAAACTGGTCAGACAGGCAGCCATTTTGGGGATTGATAGGACACAGGAAAATAATTACACACACCGTCATTTCGGGGATGGGACTGTACCTTCCTTGCCAAGTAAGTAAGCAAGAACATGCCTGAATAAGATTTGTTACAATAAAAATAAGTGGCTAAAGATGGTTGGGGGGGAAATTGAACTTCATTCTGCCTTGTTTAGTACATTTTTTCATTTAGTTCAACGCTCATTGGATTTCACTCACTTTGCATGAAATGTGCTATATAGATAAAGATTGATTTGATAGGCCCGTCTCCAGTACCTGTATGCTGTTTTGAATCCGGTGATGTCGATGCTGAGGCTCTGTCCCTCGTCTACGGCGATCATCTGAGAGGCTGGCTCAAACCTGAACTCCTTCATCATGGGCTTGAAGTAGTACTGACCTGGGCTCTGAGGGGAGGGATGGAGAGAACGAAGAATAGAAGAGATGTGGTCAATAAATGGCACCTGCAGTGTAGATGCACCAATCCACACAGCACCAGTTCACATCACACAGCATATAGACTTCCAACTAGTAGCCCGGTGTGTTTGCTAATCAATCATTCAGGAGGAGGAGGATACAGATATGAAGTAGGTGTTGAGTTCAGTAAAGAACGTTGAGGTCCTTACCAGGTTGTTGAAGGTGAGGACACCAGTGTCCTGGGTGAGCAGGTTGGATCGGAACGATCCTCCACTGAGAGACAGCAGGACTCCAGACAGAGCCTGACCATCCTCTGACTTGATCTACGACACACAGAGAAAGATATGAGATATGACAATGAACATAAACACACTGCATAAGACTATACATATCAAACCCTGCTGCAGCCAAAACTACATTTAAGTTGTAGTTCGACACCAAGACAAATTCCAAAGAACACTGTTGAATTGCAATACATTCTGAGAGCAGACTCATCAAATATTTATTAAAACAACCCTCACCCTACCGAGGAGGGATAATGTTACTAATTAAACAACAAGCTAGCTCTAAGCCAAATGCTAATAAAAGGCTTATTTTCCCTTGAGCTAGCTAGTAGCATGTGTGTGTGTTCTGTACCTTGAAGGTGACTCCAGCCAGGGCAAAGGCCTTGAAGTCTCCCTGGTTTCCCTCTACAGGGCTGAGGATGAAGCCCTCCTTACTGGCACTGATGTCATACTGACGGTCACTGTGCAGGGGACCAACACTGGGGAGGGAGAAACAACCAATAGAAAGTTATTCAGATTGACTTGTATTACCGTTTGTTTCCTACAATGTCACAATCAAGGAGCATTTACCAAACACCTAGATACAACCTGCCTGAAGCGAATCTAAAGCAACAAATATGTTACATGGTGTATATTTCATTTGGCTAGATTAAATGCAAAGTGGTCAAATGTATTGTTAAAAAACAACAAGAGCATGATTTAAACTAGCAACCCCAGCTTGCAAGATGTTTTACCTGATGACTAGGGCAAGGAACTAGGCCATGCTAGCCTCACGACTAACACAGCAGTGACTGAGGTTACGGTTAGGGGATAGTCAGGTATACCTGTAAGCCCCGTTCTCGTTGGTGGCGACGGTGATGAGGGGTGCCTGGGCTCCTCTCTCTGTGATGGAGATCTCTACCCCCTGCAGCTCTGGAGTCACCTGGCCCTCCAGGAACAGACCAGCACGCCCTGCGATGTCCACCACCCGCCCTGGACAAGACTCTGTGAGGATGGGACAGAATAAGAGTTCTATAGACTACCGCTACAGACAGACAGAGCTGCATGGCCGGTGATGTCCACCACACGGCCTGGACAGATCTCTGTGGACGGGTGCTGGGTGGACCAGAGAATAGAGTTACCCCACATATAAACACAGCCATGCAGACAGACAAAAACAGGTTTTACACCACAGCCACAGTGATATGCAGACAGACAAGACACACACAAAGACAATAACATACACAAAAGAAGAGGATCACAAGGAAGTGAACTCTGACCTCCAGTGATAGTAGCCTCGACCTCCGGCGGATAAAAGAGCAGTTCCTTGGAGGAGGGAATCACAGTGATCCTCTCCCCAGCCCTGGCCCAGTAAGAAAACTCGTAGTGGAAGGGTCCGGTGAGCTCGTCAGCTCTCTCCTGGACGGGGGGCTGACTGTCTCCACCATGCTCAGCCTCTTGGGCACGTCTCTCCCTCTCCTGGCGCCGCAGCTCGATCTCCTGCAGCTGCTGCTCCTGTCTCTGCTCCTCCTGGCTCCTCAGAGGGCCTAGGACCAGAGCTGGCTCAGACTCTATAGAAGACCTGATGCAGGACACAAACATTGTTTAGGTTTATACAGCAGGACCAGAGCTGGACCAGACTATGAACGACCTACAGGAGGAACACAGTGATAATCAGGTTTTTTGAGTCGTCATATTCAGAAAACAATCAAGTAATTCATGTTTAAACCCTAATTCTGGATATGCATGCAAAACTCCAACCTTTTTATGAATGATGTACACTGTACTGCTCTATGTAAATAGGAGGTGGTTGAATCAAATTATGCACACAGCTTCACTCCTTTGAGTTCAACATATATTCTGAATACAGTACTGCTCAGAAAATCTTACACAGAATTTCAAATATTCATCTTACAAACAACGACAATGCCATCAGTCCACATTGTGCCAGGTTGTTTGGACATGGTAGAGTGAAGGTAGAGTGATGGTAGAGTGAAGGTAGAGTGATAGTGGAATGACAGCAGGTCTTAACAGGTGGTGTGGTCTTACTTGATGGTCACAGTGACATCCAGGATCTTATCAGTGGTGATTAGGCCAGTCATGTGATGTCTCACTGCAGTCAGGGTCAGTATAGTGGGGGCTGACCTGAAGGAGACATTTAGACAAGTAGAGTCATTCACTTTGGTGTGGCTATATAAAGGAAAACATAGAAATGGATCCAATAGAACATACTTACGTGTCGTAGGTATAATAGTCCTGCTCGAATTGGTGGCAAGATCGAGGAGTCACTTTGTACACACCTGGCAAAGACAAGGTTAGATGGTTAATAAGCATATATATTTTACTCATTTACCTAACGGTAACCTATATTATCCTAGGTTAGTCCCACTGAGATACATTTGCTTTTTCAAAGAGAGATCTTTCAGTAAGGATATTGAAGAGAAGAGAAGTAAAGAAAAAGAGGAGAGGAGAGGAGAGGAGAGGAGGAGTTTCTCCTACCAGGCTTGGAGAGACAGAAGCGGTTGACCCCCTTGGAGAGGTTATAGACGCCAACGTTCTCAGGCTTGCTGCCATCCTGGAAGAACTCCTGCCAAGATACATACACACTCATTTAGACTTCACACCAGCAACCACGAGTATGTTAAATAACTTATGAGCTATTTATGAACCATAACGCTCAGCAATTCACTCATACTCTTCTTATCAGAGCATATACACTACATGGCCAAAAGTTTGAACATCTCATTCCAAAATCATGGGCATTAATATGGAGTTGGTCCCCCTTTGCTGCTATAACAGCCTCCACTCTTCTGGGAAGGCTTTCCACTAGCTGTTGGAACATTGCTGCGAGGACTTGCTTCCATTCAGCCACGAGCATTAGTGAGGTCGGGCACTGATGTTGGGCTATTAGGCCTGGCTCGCAGTCAGCGTTCCAATTCATCCCAAAGGTGTTCGATAAGGTTGAGGTCAGGGCTCTGTGCAGGCCAGTCAAGTTCTTCCGCACCGATCTCGACAAACCATTTCTGTATGGACCTCGTCTAGAATGTCTTTGTATACTGAAGCGTTAACATTTCCGTTCACTAGAACTAAGAGGCCTAGCCCGATCCATGAAAATCAGCCCCAGACCATTATTCCTCCTCCACCAAACTTTACAGTTGGCACTATGCATTGGGGCAGGTAGCGTAGTGAGTGTTGCAACCGCAGACAGACGATTTTTACGCGCTATGCGCGTCAGTACTCAGCGGTCCCGTTCTGTGAGCTTGTGTGGCCTACCACTTCGCGGCTGAGCCGTTGTTGCTCCTAGACGTTTCCACTTTACAATAACAGCACTTACCGTTGACCGGGGCAGCTCTAGCAGGGCAGAAATTTGACAAACTGACTTGTTGGAAAGGTGGCATCCTATGACGGTGCCACGTTGAAATTCACTGAACTCTTCAGTAAGGCCATTCTACTGCCAATGTTTGTCTATGAAGATTGCATGGCTGTGTGCTCGATTTTATACACCTGTCAGCAACGGGTGTGGCTGAAATAGCCGAATCCACTACTTTGAAGGGGTGTCCACATACTTTCGGCCGTGTAGTGTATGTATTACAAGCACAAACATAAATACACACAGGAACACATTACAGTACACATGCACACAACAACACATATGAACAAACCTAAAGACACACACACAGCCCTCCCCTGTGTTACTACTGACCAGGGTGATGGCGTGGGACAGGGAGCAGCGGAGGATGTATCCTATCTGTCTGAACTCAACTCCCAGCACGTCTGAGTCCAGCACCTCCAACTCCACTGACTTGAGCTTCCAGCACCACTCCTCATGGGAGATACTCACTGGGAGGAGGAGAGCAGTAAGTCAGACATTGCTACAATATTGACATAAGGACAATACATAACCTAGCCTGAGAGATTGGAGTACAGCATGGCTTTAGTGTATGGATTTCTTCACTTACAACATTGACCATACTATAACCTACTTGTTCAGTAGGCACATAATGGAAGAAAACTGAGCGAAACAAGGAGGTACTAAAAATGTATTGTCCAATAAGACATTTTTGTTTTCTGTAGCACATTTTTTTTAAAACCTTTTGCCCCAATGAACATGACCCAGGAGGTCTGTACCTTTGTATTTGCCAGGCAGGACGTTGTCGAAGGAGATCTCCAGGGTGTCACTGCTCCCTGAGAGGAGCACGCTCCTCCTCTCCCCCTGACGACTCACCGGCTGCAGGGTTACCGACAGGTCATCACAGTTCGCTGGGAGTCAAGAGGTCAAAGGTTATTCAAAGTGGTGAGACCGTCGATGATTGGCTGTCTAACGAGGATGTTAGGACTAATAGAGTATTCAGGTTGACTGTGTTTTCAGTGTTTGTCAAGGACCCAGTTAGGCATCAAAACACACTCAGTCTGTCTAATAGAAAAGCACTTTTAACCATGACTGTTTAATTCAACAGAAAGTGCCCCCTACTTTCCCCTGTTGAATAAGAGTTATTTCTCCCCAAGGGGTAATTGTTAACCTTGAATTATTCCTACTTGACATCTAAACAGGCCTAATGGGAGAGAGCTCCAGGGCAGGCTTACCCAGACAGTAGACCTTGCCCGAGACCGAGGCCATGAACTGGGTGAAGAGGAGGTCGGAGAGGGGCCTGTCCACCAGGGAGACCTCCAGAGCAGCAGGCTGCAGGGCCAGGCCAGCCTTCACCTCCACCTCAGGAAGAGACACCTACAGGGAAGGATGGAAGACAGGGTGAAACATTAGCCTATGTACAGCCAAGGTAAATGGAAAAATCCTGTTTGGTTGTATTTTGAGAGGAACATCCATAAGAGCTGAACTCACATAAATAGGACTGGAAGTAGGATGAAATTGCCACTTTAGTCTGCTTTCTTCACACTTATAGGGACATGATTCAGAGCAGGTAAGCTGATCCTAGATAAGTGCCTAAGAGCAACTTCGCTCAATACTACCAAAATACAGACAATTCATTTCATTGTCAGAACAAGCTGTATTTCTGTAACATACGGTAACACTGTAGTCTCCAGGTTTGGCCTGGAAGCAAAAGGCCCCCTGCTGGTCTGAGTCGGTTGTGCGGGTGGCGGTGTTGTCCTGTCCAAGAGGAGTGAGGGTCACCTTGTAACGCCCCTGCTGCTTCATGCCCTCTGGCAGATGGGTGATGGCGATCTGACCACACACGCTGAACCTGGAGAGGGGAATGAACATGACATAAGCATTTATAATGCCTCAACAGAACAACTACGTAGCTGTTATGACAGATGTATGGTATGATTATAGATGTATGAATTGCCTATGGAGGCAACAATAGGACACATTGGTGATGCTTTTTCACAGTCCTTCTAAGGTCAAAAGTCTAAACTCACCCAGCAGTGATAATGTCAGGAAGTTGAGGTGTGTTGGGAGCTATCTTCACCGTGATTGGCACAAAAAACATGAGGTCCTTGTGCGTGCGGAGGGTGTAGGTACCGGTGGTCATATTCTCCAGGCGGTAGGAGCCGTCCTCTTTGGTCAAAACTGTTAGAGGGGAAGGAGAGCGTGGGAGAAAGAAAGGGTTCAGCAGAAGAACAATCCCAACGCAAATGGACATAGCATCGCCCTGATACTGTCTACACATTAATCAAACAATGCATCTCTGATATTTCTCCTCCGATTTTGAACACAGATAATGGAAGGGAAATGGGGTGGTGGATGATGTCATTATGGTTACCTTTGATCTGGTTGTTGAGGGTTACCGTGGCGTCAGGTACCCCCTCCCCCTCCAGGCTGTTGAGAACCCTGCCGGTCACAGAGAAACCCATGACACGGAAGATGGGCTACGGAGAGAAACACAAAACACATCATTATTTACACAACACCTCCAGGGTCATGTACAGTACCATAACCACTGTTTATCACATGACAAGGGACAATGCTGTATGATTTTAACCCATAATTAACAGCCAACCAGGAAGCTGGAGCACTGTAAACTTACCTCCAGCTTCAAGCTGTTGTGCTCCACCCTGAAGTCCATTCTGGAAGGAGCCACGTCAAACGTGATCCTCTCTCCCCTGTAGAAGGGAATCTGAAACACAGACAAATTTGTCCAAAATAGTCAAACAAAGTGAAGGACAAGAAACCAGAAAAAGTACATAATACATTAGTTTTGTATAGAGCCATCCAGATTTTTGTATAGAGCCTTCCAGATCCCAAGGACATTTTACACATTAAAAACAACATAAGAACACCAACTGTGCTATATCAGCAACACACATTAACTGGAAGGGATATGTGCTAAATATGTGGTCTTCAGAAGGCCTTTTCACAGAGCATTTTCTTATTCCAGGGCTATTTTGCCATGGGCTAAATGCAGTGTGAACAACTCGGGTGTGTTGTGTTGTGGCGGCCATCTTACCACAGTGTATTCTCCGCTGGCCAGTGAGGGGAAGGAGAAAGTGCCGTCCTCGCGGGACAGGGCGCTACACAGGTAGACCAAGGAGTCATCTCCAGACACGGCTCCCTCCACTGGGGGTGTGTTACAGCCCCTGATGTCCTGGGAAACACAAGAAATACATGTAAGATAAGCATAAATATATTTGAAACTTGAAATTCCCGTTTTGGGTAAAAACGGTATGTATCCGTCTGGGTTACTATATCATAATTCAACCAATCATGAGGTAAAATGCCCAGCTTCATAGACAGCCAACATTAAGGATAAAATATCACTATAGTGTACCACAATGTGTATAGAAATACAGGGGGCTGGAAACCACTGCTCATTCGATTTGCCATTCAATTCAATACAAATATATTTGACCTCCTTCTTCACTGTGGCAGAGTAGAGGAGGAAGGTGACTTCTTTCATGGGCTCCCCATCACTCCGGACCTCCCCAGAGACATCATACCCTCCCACCACTAGGTGTTCTGCAGCCGCCGCATTGGCACTGGACACACGCACTGACATAGTGCTCTGTGGAAAGACAATGCAAAATGATTGTGAATTATTTGGAGGTTTTTGCTCTAATTCTTTTGCATAGTTTACGCTATCTCTAATCACTTATTTTGCTTGCTTATATTACTTGTGCAATATGATTGTTGAGTTCCAATTGCATCCAACTAAAATGGTGCCAATAACGCCTATAGCTACACTTTGAGATGTCTTGAGATCATGAGCCATGCGGAAAGAAACTCACCTGCTCCAGAGTCCAGGATGGATGAGAAGCAATGATGTCATAATTTCCAGGAAGTACTTTGGAGAAGGTGTACCTGTGAAATGACCCAAAACATTCTGTGTTAGAAGCCTAGTGCTTGTACCACCCTCACTTATATTGTCCTGATACAAAACAACAGCGGATGTGTACATAAACATTTGCATTTACAGTGGGGGAAAAAAGTATTTAGTCAGCCACCAATTGTGCAAGTTCTCCCACTTAAAAAGATGAGAGGCCTGTAATTTTCATCATAGGTACACGTCAACTATGACAGACAAATTGAGAAGAAAAAAATCCAGAAAATCACATTGTAGGATTTTTTATGAATTTATTTGCAAATTATGGTGGAAAATAAGTATTTGGTCACCTACAAACAAGCAATATTTCTGGCTCTCACAGACCTGTAACTTCTTCTTTAAGAGGCTCCTCTGTCCTCCACTCGTTACCTGTATTAATGGCACCTGTTTGAACTTGTTATCAGTATAAAAGACACCTGTCCACAACCTCAAACAGTCACACTCCAAATTCCACTATGGCCAAGACCAAAGAGCTGTCAAAGGACACCAGAAACAAAATTGTAGACCTGCACCAGGCTGGGAAGACTGAATCTGCAATAGGTAAGCAGCTTGGTTTGAAGAAATCAACTGTGGGAGCAATTATTAGGAAATGGAAGACACTGATAATCTCCCTCGATCTGGGGCTCCACGCAAGATCTCACCCCGTGGGGTCAAAATGATCACAAGAACGGTGAGCAAAAATCCCAGAACCACACGGGGGGACCTAGTGAATGACCTGCAGAGAGCTGGGACCAAAGTAACAAAGCCTACCATCAGTAACACACTACGCCGCCAGGGACTCAAATCCTGCAGTGCCAGACGTGTCCCCCTGCTTAAGCCAGTACATGTCCAGGCCCGTCTGAAGTTTGCTAGAGTGCATTTGGATGATCCAGAAGAGGATTGGGAGAATGTCATATGGTCAGATGAAACCAAAATATAACTTTTTGGTAAAAACTCAACTTGTCGTGTTTGGAGAACAAAGAATGCTGAGTTGCATCCAAAGAACACCATACCTACTGTGAAGCATGGGGGTGGAAACATCATGCTTTGGGGCTGTTTTTCTGCAAAGGGACCAGGACGACTGATCCGTGTAAAGGAAAGAATGAATGGGGCCATGTATCATGAGATTTTGAGTGAAAACCTCCTTCCATCAGCAAGGGCATTGAAGATGAAACGTGGCTGGGTCTTTCAGCATGACAATGATCCCAAACACACCGCCCGGCAACAAAGGAGTGGCTTCGTAAGAAGCATTTCAAGGTCCTGGAGTGGCCTAGCCAGTCTCCAGATCTCAACCCCATAGAAAATCTTTGGAGGGAGTTGAAAGTCTGTGTTGCCCAGCGACAGCCCCAAAACATCACTGCTCTAGAGGAGATTTGCATGGAGGAATGGGCCAAAATACCAGCAACAGTGTGTGAAAACCTTGTGAAGACTTACAGAAAACGTTTGACCTGTGTCATTGCCAACAAAGGGTATATAACAAAGTATTGAGAAACTTTTGTTATTGACCAAATACTTATTTTCCACCATAATTTGCAAATAAATTCATTACAAATCCTACAATGTGATTTTCTGGATTTTTTTTCTCTCATTTTGTCTGTCATAGTTGACGTGTACCTATGATGAAAATTACAGGCCTCTCTCATCTTTTTAAGTGGGAGAACTTGCACAATTGGTGGCTGACTAAATACATTTTTTCCCCACTGTATATGAATGGCTTGAGTTGCCACCACTAAAAGAAAAGCCAGTGTGTGTGGGTTTGTTTGTGTTGTAAGGGGTAGTTAAGAGCTGATCAGGAGACATATTTCTGATGTAATAATTGGACAAATAAAGTTATATCGCCTTGTAGTTTAAAAAGTAATGCTGTTAAAAGAGTTTGTGGTCCCTTACTTTCCTCCAGGCTGAGAGAGCACAGTCTGCAGCTTCTCTCCTGTTCCCTCCCTGGTCAGGCTGATCTCCACCCCAGCTGGGCCCAGGAGTTGGCCTTTACTCAGCACCTGGGACAGGGACACACACACACACAACACATTAACGTCACAAAAAAAGTCAACAATTATTTCTCAAATGCACATACTGTATATCTGGTAAGTATTAACACTAAACAGCCATTTTAAAAAGTGGTAGATCTCTGTGCCATTCTGTTTAGTCAGTAAATAGCTATGTATTGAGTCTTTGGGAGGGTGGCAAGTAGTCTAGGGGTTAAGCGTGTTGGGCCAGTAACCGAAAGGTCGCTGGTTCGAATCCCCGGGCCGACTAGATGAAAAATCTGTCGATGTGCCCTTGAACAAGATACTTAACCCTAATTGCTCCAATAAGTCGCTCTGGATAAGAGCGTCTGCTAAATGACTAAAACGTAAATGTATTTTAGCCAGCACCATTACCACAAGGGCTAGGCCAAGGCTTATTGAAGAAGAAGAGTTCCTCTCACCGTTCCAGAGACAGAGAAGCCAGTGAAGACAAAGTTGATGTCCTGCTCCTTGGTGCAGATATCATTAACCCCGTCCACATAGAGGTCCACACTGGTGGGCTCTGCAAAAACACAGACATACAGAATGTTATGTTCCAGCACTGCTGGCAATACACAAGCGGTAAAAATACACATGAAATTCTCCTTACCAAAGCTCCACCCATGAGGAGGCTCAATCTTCAACACAAAGTCTCCCTGTGAATAAGAGAGAGTCTAATATTAGCAGAACTGCCTCTATGAATCCGAGAGTGGAAGACTTCTCTCTCCTCTTTAACATGCAAGTCAAACTGTTGAATACATTTCATTTGAACGTACATTACCTGTTGTCCACTGATTTTGTCCTTATATAGGAGGTAATCTGAGACAAAATATCCACAGAGTAGTGTTATTAACCCAACTTTCAGTACGCTGGTCTGTATGTCAGTTTGTATTTTCAATGCTGACTCAATTCGCACGGCACACTGCACAATATGTCAACAATGGCCGAGTTTACCCGAAGCACAGACTGAACGTTGTCCCACGCAATCAACTGGCAAATTTCACAAGCATGTCTAGCTGATTGCGAGGTAACGCGCTTTGGTCGACAACGTTCAGCTACTGTTTACATATTGTGCATCACGTGTAATGTGTCAGGAGATGGGAAATACAAGCAACAGAACCGGCGCTGCAATAAGTAGGGTAAACAACACTTTCCTGTGGTTACCATAAACACCTGATACCGCCAAAAGGACCAACAGCGCTCACAACTGGTAAAGTACGATTAAATATCTTTGTATTCAACATTCTGGCTTGTAGAATATGGAGGACTAAAAGTGCCACAATTAAATAAATAAATACACCATTAAATAATTACTTAAATGTGTCATTAATTAATTAAAATTAGAATTAAATACATAAATGTGTAATTAAATGTATCATTAATTAATTCAAATACCGATTCATTTTATGTAAAATACATATATAATTATTTCACTATTTACATTTACATTTCATGATCCTGCATTGCAGTGATTCATGAATTACTTAAAACTGTCAAACTGACCCATCAAAAGTTGGTAGGCGGAACCTAACGCCTGATTGGTTACCCTCTGCATCAAGCCAAGACAAATCAATTCCGGATAATGGATTGATGCAGAGCTACTGAACACATTCCAATACACTGGGTGGCGCTATTCACCTTCAATAAGTTCCTCTGCTTTACTAGCTACATGCTCTGGGTCAGCAGGTCCTGCTTCTACATCCTCTGCTAAGTTTAAAATGTCTCACCAACTCCCTGGAAAGTTCACGGAGATCCTCCATTGTCTCTATCCAGGTTGGCCTACTCTACTTCAGACCAAAGCAATGGATCAGACTAGATTCGCGTTAGTCCCGCCCACTGACTTTGATGGGTCAGTTTGACAGTTTTAAGTAATTCATGAATCACTGCAATGCAGGATCATGAAATGTAAATGTAAATAGTGAAATAATTATATATGTATTTTACATAAAATGAATCGGTATTTGAATTAATTAATGATACATTTAATTACACATTTATGTATTTAATTCTAATTTTAATTAATTAATGACACATTTAAGTAATTATTTAATGGTGTATTTATTTATTTAATTGTGGCACTTTTAGTCCTCCATAGTAGAAGCTATAGGATGAGCTCATTGTAATGGCTGGAATGGAATGAATGAAACGGTATCAAACACATCAATGGTATGGAAACCACGTTTGACTCTGTTCCATTTATATTCCAGCCCTTACAATGAGCCCACCTGCCTACTCTGATCAATACGTTACCTTGTCATAGAGGGGAATCATAAAGTATCCATTGATGGGAGCACAGTCGGTTTGATATTTTAAAGACCCTTGTTTTGTGTACACTTTAATCTGTGAGAGACAAGAAAGACGATATTTATTTAGCAACACAAACAGAACCAAAATAATGATTTCATGCAATGCATGCTGAACAGTTCTATATGCTTTTGCAATCAAGTAAGTTAGCTACTGTAGCTAGCTAACGTGAATGACTTGCGCCGGCAGTCATTAGGGTGAGGGTTGTCCAGTCTGAGATGATTTGACTAAAAAGTAACGTTAATCCTATTATAACTGTGAATGGGGTGTGTATGGTGCAACAATACCTCGTCAGTACTGTGGGGTTTAAGTGGACTGGCAACTAGTTAGGCTAACTTTAGCAAGCTAGCTAACGTTAGCTAGCCAGTTCGTAAATTACCATTCGCTAAGAGTTTTAAATGTAGAAAGGGCTTAAAATCAGTGAAACACATTTAGCTACTTTGAAATTGCTGCAAGCTATTAGTTTTTCTGATGCGTTTTGTAAGGATAACTAGCTAGTGCAATGCTATGCTAACAAGTTCTGAAATTCGACATGGTTGTGCACGGGAAACCTGCAAGATAGATTTGATGGCTCGTAAGATTACTGTGGCTAGTCATACAGATCATCTTACTAGCCACCTTAGGGCTAATGTTATTTAATTCAAACTCAACTGTCATTTCACCACCCAAGACCCCCAACAATATTCTGTCTATGCCTACTACGGTAGGCCGTCTCTGCACTCTCACCTCGATCAGCGAGTAGTTGATTTCAACGTCGGATTTCACGAACCCTCCGCATGCCACCACAATGTCATCCGCTGACACTGTAATACACTGGCAGCAGATGATTCCAAATAATATCCAGAACGCTGCCATGTCTGCCGGTTCCGTTATTCCGCGCTTTCGGCAGAATATTTTTCTGGATAACCGAACTGACAGTGCACGCTGCCTCCGGTTCCGTACCAGCTGAGCCGTTGAAGGAGCAGTAGCTAGCTAGCTATTCTGGAGGTTTCGACACCTGCTGGTGCGGAGGTAACATAGTATGTACTTCTGAAAATGATGGGTGCCTATGAACACAATCTTGTCTTTTGGGTTTCCGTATTGAACAAATTAAACAAGTTATATTCACACAAAATATAACAAGTAATAACATACGTTTTAAATACTTCCATTATTTATTTTCCTTTTCCATCCACAATTCAATGATGAATAACACACATATTTTGGAATGATACAAAACAAAACCTTTTGCCAAAATGATATCTTATTAGTTGATTAAAATGTAACAGTTCACCCAAAAACAAATGTTTGCAATGGATACAATACTTTCAATGACAAAGCTTCCCCTTTATGGAATATAGGCAGTGGAGACAGAGTACAGTACAAAGTATTAGTTCAGTTTGGTATGTAGCAGAAGTTGGGACAGTAGATCTCAAATACATTTTGAAATGTTGAATCCCATGTAGCTTGTCATGGTCATTAAAAGTTAATACTTAGAGGGAGTTAATAGAAATAGTAAACAAGAGAATAAGGAATATAAGTTGACACATCAATACAGTATACCTTTAAAAGATAAACCAGTAAGGCCACACTTAAAGTGCACGAAGAATGTTGTGTTCATAGGTGTGTAACAATATGGGATCAGCTTTGAAAAAATAGTATTAACTTACTGAAAAGGGAGATTCAAAGCTTTATAGTGGTTATTGTCATAAGAAGAGTCCTTCTTGGAAGGGAAAATGTGATAGTCAGCAGAATTCTCATCATGACAACACAAATAAATAGTAGTGTTTCTAGTAGTCAACAACAAACAGGACAACAAGATATTCCCCACCAAAGGCAGTAAGTAGCTATTTTGCCAGCTTTGAGTTCAAACTATTGGTCCAATATTGTAAAACGTTTGAACATCCTCAGATCTCAATTTGCGTTGGAACAAAACCAAAGTCTTGATTGGCAAAGCTAATCTCCCAGTTACGTAGTGTTCCTCAAATCTAGTGTCTGCCAGTGATATGGCTGGTTTCCTGGACACAGATTGAGTCTGGTCCTGGACTAAAAAGCTACTTTAATGGAGATTCTCCATTGGGCATGCATTTTAGTCCAGGGCTTGACTTAATCTATATCTGGGAAACCAGCCCCTATAGTGTCTGCCAGTAATAGTGTTTAGACAGCCAGTTACAAGTAATATCAAGGGCCCTGAGTTTTTTGGTCAGGTAAAACTCAGGGGCCTAATCCTATCATTTCAGACATGAGTAGCAGAGTCTGGGGGTGGATGGACCAGGAAGACCCCAGAGTTGGAGCGGTAGCTGGGGCTGACTCTGTCTGAGGAGTGGGACTGGGAACCAGAACCTGGGAATCTAACAGCACAGGTCCTCTGGGCCTGACACAGCTTCTGGATCAGGAAACGCTTGTCTCGCCCATCCTGGCCCGAACAGGGAGAAGAGGAGGGTTAGTGCCTAAGTTTACCCTATGCCCTATAACAATGTTATGCCAGATAACTAGGACGTCCATTTTTTTTCTGGTCAGGTTATATGGTCAGGAAAAAAAGTGTTAACCCTAACCCTAACTCCTTTGTAGCTACTGTACAGTATAGAGCTGTGCAGCCCTGTAAGTAGACTGCTTACTGTAGCTACTCACCATGACTAGCTGTTCCCTCAGTTGGTTGATAACTCGCTTGTGAGCTCCAGCTAGAGCAATGACATAAAACATAGCCAGGCTGAGGAAGGAAAGAGACACAAGGGTTAACAAAACAGAATTTTGATGGCACTTTGTGATGACGTGTTGATGTAAAAAGGGTTTTATAAATACATTTTATTGATTGATTGGCTGAACACACAATCTATGAGCCTGGATATCAAATGGCAATGAACCGTAGACAGACTGATTGAGCTAAGATAAATAAAACAAGGAGTGATATCATTGGCCGGAACCCGTACCATGTGATGACAAAGAAGGAGACGGCGAAGGCCTCAGAGGAGATGGCCAGGAGGAATGTGCGTACTCCTGCAGGCAGCTGGGACACGGCCCGGGGGAGCACCTCCCAGGACGTGGTGTAGTTAACGAAGGGACCACAGGCCTGGGAACAGCTGATCCTGATAAGGGAGAGACGGGGAGGGTTCGTTTATGTCCCCAACAACTGATCTAGGAGCAGATTGATACTATTTCACACTACGGTCCCAAGCCAAACTGTACTGTGCTGACTCAAATATTTTCCTTTCCAGCCCAGTTTCAGCAACAGTACAGCAGTACAGCTCAGTTAGGCTCAGCAGTGTGAAAAAGGTATGAGATTGGTGCATGGTAAGTTTCAGTGCAAAGATGCATGCTAGGCTAACTGCAACCATGTACTTACTGTGCGATGCTAATGGTGACAGGTACACAGGCCAGGGCCAGGCCAATCAGCAGCACAGCCAGGAAGAAGAAGTTGGAGCTGGAGGCTCGGAACGGACGGGTGGTCGGGCGGCAGTTATTCACCAGGGTTACCTGCAGGGTAGACAATACATACATTAATCAACATATCTGTGGGTGAGAATTCCCTTTCAGTCAACATAATACACACATGTATGTGATTGTCCTTTTCTCTATCAGTTGGCTGAAGGAATTAGGATAAGGAAATATCCTGACCTATACTATTACCTATGTGGTACAGTATGTCTCATTCAACTCAATCAGGGAACCACGGTTACCTAGAGTATGTAACCAGATGTTTAGACCCAGCTTAAACCATACGCTACAACCAAAAACACCAACAGTCATTCATATCAAGTACCTTCCTGATGCTGTATTACATAGAAATACAATTATGTCCACCGGCCCACTTTCTAGTATTTCTTTTTCTATGGTATATTACCTTTTTGATGTAGAAGATGATGAAGTACTTGATGGTGCAGATGGCGGGCAGCAGGGGGCAGTAGAACGTCCCGATCCAGCAGATGGTCTGGCCATACACGATATCCAGGACGTTCTGGGGGATGGCAAACTCCTGCTGGCCCCACCACTTGGCCAGGCCGCAGTCACAGTAGTTCACTATGAGTCTAGGGGAGGGAGGGGGGAGAGGGAGAGAGAAAGAACCGTCAGAAGAGGAGAGGAGAGGAGAGAAGACAAGACAAGAGAAAAGATGACTTACTTCCTAGGGAACTCCACAAAGACAGTGACGGCACCGATGATGATGAAATCAAAGATCATGAGTTTGTACATCTCCTGGCCCACACGAGACTCCCAACACTGTAGGCAGAGGCAGAATCATATGAGATCATAGTAACGCAATGGCAGTGTTGTAAAGTACTTAAGTAAAAGTACTTTAAAGTACTACTTAAGTCGTTTTTTTGGGTATCTGTACTTTACTTTACTATTTATATTTTTTACAACTTTTACTTTTACTTCACTACATTCCTAAAGAAAATAATGTACTTTTTACTCCATACATTTTCCCTGACACCCAAAAGTACTTGTTACATTTTGAATGCTTAGCAGGACAGAAAATTGTCAAATTCACACACTTATCAAGAGAACATCCCTGATCATCCCTACTGCCTCTGATCTGGCGGACTCACTAAACACAAATGCTTCTGTCACGGTTTCGGCCGAGGCGGCTCCTCCTCCTTGTTCGGGCAGGTTTCGCCGGTCGTCGTCTCCGGAGTACTAGCTGCCACCGCTCTATGTTTCTTGTTTGATTGGTTTTGTCTGTTAGTCACACCTGTTTTGTGTTATGTCTCATTTAGCATCCTATTTAGTTTCCTTGTTGGTAGTTTAGTGTTGTGTGTAATTGTTCGTGTCGTGTTGTTGCGCTACCCGTGTCGGTACGCTATTTTCATAGCTTCCTCCTTGTGTTTAGGAGAGTATTTTCGCACCTGTGTGTGCGCTCGCTTATTTACGCCTGTGTGCGTCCTTTTGCCTCCGGGCTGTTTGGATTATTTTTGTGTGCTCTAGTAAAGTCTTGTTGGACTTATCCTCTGCTTCCTGCGCCTGATTCTACACCACACCAATCCACAGCAACGTGACAGAATTACACACCACACATGGAATCAGCAGGAGCACCCGTCGACATCATGGAGGAGCGTCTCCTTGGTCAAGAGCACCGAATCAACCGGATCGGGCACGCCTTGGAGGGCGTCATGGACACCCTTCGTCGATGGAAAACCAGCGGGGTTCCCACAGCCCCACCTATCGCACCATCACCACCGGACAGCCAGCCCGTCCATCGACCGGAACCCAGTGGGATTCGGCTCTCGCTCCCGAGGGCGTACGACGGCACCGCTGCTGGGTGTCAGGGGTTCCTCTTACAAGTGGAGCTCTACCTTGCCACCATACACCCGGCGCCCTCGGGATACGAGAGCGTTTCCGCCCTCATCTCCTGTCTCACCGGCAAGGCGTTGGAGTGGGCCAACGCCGAATGGAGGGGAATAGACGCTGCCACAGTCACCTATGCGGAGTTCTCCCGCCGCTTCCGTGCTGTCTTCGACCATCCACCAGAGGGGAAGGCGGCGGGGGAGCGTCTATTCCACCTCCGACAGGGGATGAGGAGCGCTCAAGAGTTTGCGCTGGAGTTCCGGACTCTAGCGGCGGATGCTGGGTGGAATGAGAGGGCCCTCATAGACCACTTTAGATGTAGCCTTCGGGAGGACGTCCGCAGGGAGTTAGCATGCAGGGACACTACACTAACATTTGACCAGCTGGTGGACATGGCCATTCGACTGGACACCCTGCTTGCGACCCGCGGACGTCCCAGGTGGGGGCCTCCCGTTCCACCCTCCAGCGCCTCCGAGCAGAGTCCGATGGAGCTTGGAGGTGCTGGCGCTAGAGGGAGAAGAGGTAGGAGCCCGAGGGGGGCAGTCTCCTGCACCAAGTGTGGCCGCGGAGGGCACACCGCGGCTAGGTGCTGGGGAGGGTCCCCTGGTGAGGGAGATGGCAGGTCATACAGTGGGGAGTCCTCCCAGGTGAGTAGGCGCCCTACTTACCCAGAGCTTTCTGTCATACACATTACATTACCTGTTTGTTTCCCACAGGTTGCACCTCGTTCCCAGCATAAGGTGCTAGTCGATTCAGGCGCAGCTGGGAATTTTGTAGATCGGAAATTCTGTGTTAAGTTAGGGATTCCCCTCCTTCCAGTCGAAAAGCCCTTTCCTGTACATGCCTTAGATAGTCGTCCGTTAGGATCTGGGTTGATTGGGGAGGTCACAGCGCCACTTAGGATGATGACGCAGGGGGGTCATGAGGAGACGATTCAACTCTATCTGATCGACTCTCCTGCGTATCCGGTGGTACTGGGGCTTCCCTGGTTGATTACCCATGATCCTACTATTTCGTGGCGAGAGAAGGCTCTTAAAGGGTGGTCTGCTCAGTGTGAGGGGTTATGTCTGGGTGTTTCCGTAGGGGCGACCTCGGTGGAGAGTCCGAACCAGATGCCAGCACTGCACATTCCTCCTGAGTATGAGGATTTGGCGCTCGTGTTTAGTAAGACCAGAGCGGCACGGTTGCCACCTCATAGACAAGGGGATTGTGCGATAGACCTCCAGACAGGAGCCGCGCTTCCGCGGAGCCATGTGTATCCTTTGTCACAGGAGGAGAAAAGGGCAATGGAAACTTACATTGCCGAGTCTCTGAGACAGGGATACATACGGCCCTCCACTTCTCCCGCGTCCTCGAGCTTCTTTTTTGTGAAGAAAAAGGATGGAGGTTTGCGTCCGTGTATTGATTACCGCGGTCTCAATCAGGTAACTGTGAAATATAGTTATCCACTCCCGCTGATTGGGACCATGACGGAGTCATTACACGGGGCACGGTTCTTCACAAAATTGGACCTCAGGAGCGCATATAACTTGGTGCGCATTAGGGAGGGCGATGAGTGGAAGACAGCATTTAGTACTACCTCCGGCCATTACGAGTATCTCGTCATGCCATATGGGTTAATGAATGCTCCATCAGTCTTCCAATCGTTTGTAGATGAAATTTTCCAGGACATGCAGGCGCAGGGAGTAGTGGTGTACATAGATTATATTCTTGTGTACAGTTCTACTCGGGCCGAGCATGTAGCCCTGGTGCGCAGGGTATTGAGGAGACTGTTGGAGCATGACCTGTATGTCAAAGCTGAGAAATGTCTGTTCTTTCAGGAGTCAGTTTCCTTTTTGGGTTACCAGTTGTCTGCGTCAGGGGTGAGAATGGAGGTGGACCGAGTGTCCGCCGTGCGTAATTGGCAAACCCCAACTACGGTTAAAGAGGTGCAGCGGTTCTTGGGTTTTGCGAATTACTACCGGAGGTTTATCCGGGGTTTTGGACAGGTGGCAGCTCCCATAACGTCTCTTCTGAAGGGGGGTCCGGTGCGCTTGCAGTGGTCGGCTGAGGCGGACAGGGCCTTTGGGAGACTGAAGGACCTGTTTACCTCGGCTCCGGTGTTGGCGCACCCGGATCCCACTTTACCCTTCCAAGTTGAGGTGGACGCGTCTGAGGCCGGTATCGGGGCAGTTCTTTCTCAACGATCCGGTACACCACCTAAGCTCCGCCCCTGTGCTTTTTATTCTAAGAAGCTAAGTCCGGCGGAGCGGAATTATGACGTAGGGGACAGGGAGCTGTTAGCCGTAGTACAGGCCCTAAAGGTGTGGAGGCATTGGCTTGAGGGGGCTCAGCACCCTTTCCTCATTCTGACCGACCATCGTAACCTGGAATACATTCGGGCAGCTAGGAGACTGAATCCTCGCCAGGCTCGATGGACTATGTTTCTCGCCCGGTTTGTGTTCAAGATCACTTACATCCCTGGGTCCCAGAACGGGAAGGCAGATGCTCTGTCCCGTCGGTATGACACGGAGGAGAGGTGCGTGGAGTCCATTCCCATACTACCGGAGTCTTGTCTGGTGGCACTGGTGGTGTGGGAGGTCGATGCGGAGATCGAGCGGGCATTACGCACCGACCCTAGTCCTCCACAGTGTCCGGTGGGTCGGGCGTACGTCCCGCTCGAGGTCCGGGATCGGCTGATTTATTGGGCTCACACGTCCCCCTCCTCTGGACATCCAGGTATTGGCCGGACAGTGCACTGCCTTAGTACGAAATACTGGTGGCCAACGTTAGCCAGGGATGTGAGGGTTTATGTCTCCTCCTGCTCAGTGTGTGCCCAGTGTAAGGCGCCCAGACACTTGCCCAGGGGTAAATTACAGCCCCTGCCCGTTCCACAACGACCCTGGTCTCACCTCTCGGTGGATTTTGTTACCGATCTTCCCTCCTCACAGGGGAATACCACCATCCTGGTCGTTGTGGATCGGTTCTCGAAGGCCTGTCGTCTCCTTCCCATGCCGGGTCTTCCTACTGCCCTACAGACCGCTGAGGCTCTATTTACTCACGTCTTCCGGCATTACGGGGTGCCCGAGGATATAGTGTCCGATCGAGGCCCCCAGTTTACCTCCAGAGTCTGGAGAGCATTTATGGAACGTTTGGGGGTCTCGGTGAGCCTTACCTCGGGTTACCACCCGGAGAGTAATGGGCAGGTCGAACGAGTCAACCAGGATGTGGGTAGGTTTCTGAGGTCATATTGTCAGGGCCGGCCGGAGGAGTGGGCGAGATATGTGCCCTGGGCCGAGATGGCACAGAACTCTCTCTGCCACTCCTCCACGAGACTAACCCCTTTCCAGTGTGTGTTAGGGTACCAGCCGGTTCTGGCACCGTGGCATGAGAGCCAGATCGAGGCCCCCGCTGTGGATGAGTGGGTGCGGCGCTCGGAGGAGACGTGGAACGCTGCACACGTCCATCTGCAGCGTGCCATACGTCGACAGAAGACGAGCGCCGACCTACACCGCAGTGAGGGGCCAGTGTACGCACCTAGAGATCGAGTCTGGCTCTCAACCAGAAACCTGCCCCTCCGCCTGCCCTGCCGGAAGCTGGGTCGGCGGTTTGTGGGGCCTTTTAAAGTCCTGAGGAGATTGAACGAGGTGTGTTACAGGTTAGAACTACCTATTGATTACAAGAATATTAACCCCTTGTTCCATGTGTCTCTCCTCAGGCCGGTGGTAGCTGGTCCACTCCAGGACTTTGAGATTGAGGAGACTCCTCCGCCCCCGTTGGACATCGAGGGGGCTCCGGCGTACACTGTTCGGACCATCCTGGATTCGAGACGCCGGATGGGGGGTCTCCAATATCTCGTGGAGTGGGAGGGGTACGGTCCGGAGGAGCGGTGCTGGGTGCCGAGGAGGGACATTCTGGACCCGTCCCTGATGACCGAATTCCATCGTGGTCATCCTACGCGCCCTGCTCCGCGTCCTCCTGGTCGTCCCCGAGGCCGGAAGCGGCGCGCGGCTCGTCAAGGGGGGGGTACTGTCACGGTTTCGGCCGAGGCGGCTCCTCCTCCTTGTTCGGGCAGGTTTCGCCGGTCGTCGTCTCCGGAGTACTAGCTGCCACCGCTCTATGTTTCTTGTTTGATTGGTTTTGTCTGTTAGTCACACCTGTTTTGTGTTATGTCTCATTTAGCACCCTATTTAGTTTCCTTGTTGGTAGTTTAGTGTTGTGTGTAATTGTTTGTGTCGTGTTGTTGCGCTACCCGTGTCGGTACGCTATTTTCATAGCTTCCTCCTTGTGTTTAGGAGAGTATTTTCGCACCTGTGTGTGCGCTCGCTTATTTACGCCTGTGTGCGTCCTTTTGCCTCCGGGCTGTTTGGATTATTTTTGTGTGCTCTAGTAAAGTCTTGTTAGACTTATCCTCTGCTTCCTGCGCCTGATTCTACACCACACCAATCCACAGCAACGTGACAGCTTCGTTTGTAAATGATGTCTGAGTGTGCCCCTGGCTATCCGTGCCTACTGGTTTGCTAAATATAAGACATTTGAAATGATTAATACTTTAACTTTTGATACTTAAGTATATTTTGGCAATTACATTTACTTTTGATACTTAAGTATATTTAAAACCAAATATGTTTTTACTTTTACTCAAGTCGTATTTTACTGGGTGACTTTCACTTTTACTTGAGTAATTTTCTATTAAGGTATCTTTACTTTTACTCAAGTATGACAATAAGGTACTTTTTCCACCACTGCGCAATGGTACCTTCCAACATCAATATGTACTGTATATTTACGGTGACCTTTGACCCCCACTCACCGGGTAGAGGACGTGGTTGTACCCACAGACACAGTCGCCTTCCTGGCAAGAGGTGATCTGACCCCAGAGTGAGACGAGAAGCACACAGATACTGGTCAGGCGCATGAACACACACCTGTGGAAAGATTGACATTATAAAGAAATTAGATTACTAAATCAGTATGCAAACTGGAATCGATGTGAAACAACAGCATCATTCATTGATTTCCACAGAAGGAAGTGCTTGGTTACCAGGGCTGGGGTAAATTTAATATCAATTCAGGAAGTAAACTGAAATGTTTTAATTCATTTAAATTCCTGAATTGAAATGAAAACAACCCCAGTCCTGTTGTTTACCTCATGAGAGTGAAGCGGATCTCGAAGGCGGGGGAGTAGTCTTCATACTGGATGATGAGGGAGAAGATGAGGGGGGTGATGAAGTTGGCCAGGGTGATGACGATGGACGGTAGGTACTCATAGATCAGGTCCAGGATGAAATTCACCTGTTATGATGACGCGTGTTTGAAGCAAAACAGAAAATACATATGTCATTAAGTATACAGTACTGAGGAAGGGCCGCATTCGGTCTTCACCGAGGTCTGGAGGGCCTCACTCTTCAACGCTCCCTGACTGTCTAGTTTTCCTTTTGATGACTGTTAGCAAGCTGGACAGAGTGAAGAGACTATACATGCAGGTCCATTATCATTTCTACACAGTTTAGATTTGGTTTTAGTAATTTAAATGGCGATTAAGATAGTTTCCCCCTGGGGAATGTTTGAAAATAATATGTATGTATTTTATAGTTTGACACCCCTAAAAGAAGTATAGGTCTATTGACAAGCTACAGTTGAAGTCGGAAGTTTACATACACTTAGGTTGGAGTCATTAAAACTCGTTTTTCAACCACTCCACAAATTTCGTGATAACAAACTATCGTTTTGGCAAGTCGGTTAGGACATCTACTTTGTGCATGACAAGTAATTTTTCAACAATTGTTTACACACAGATTATTTCACTTATAATTCAAAATTCCAGTGGGTCAGAGGTTTACATACACTAAGTTGACTGTGCCTTTAAACAGCTTGGAAAATTCCAGAAAATGATGTCATGGCTTTAGAAGCTTCTGATAGGCTAATTGACATCATTAGAGTTAATTGGAGGTGTACCTGTGGATGTATTTCAAGGCCTACCTTCAAACTTAGTGCCTCTTTGCTTGACATCATGGGATAATCAAAGGAAATCAGCCTCAGAAGACCTCAGAAAAAAAAATTGTAGACCCCCAGAAGTCTGGTTCATCCTTGGGAGCAATTTCCAAACGCCTGAAGGTACCACATTCATCTGTACAAACAATAGTACGCAAGTATAAACCCCATGGGACCACGCAGCCGTCATACCGCTCAGGAAGGAGACGCGTTCTGTCTCCTAGAGATGAACTACTTTGGTGCGAAAGTGCAAATCAATCCCAGAACAACAGCAAAGGATCTTGTGAAGATGCTGGAGGAAACAGGTACAAAAGTATCTATATCCACAGTAAAACGAGTCCTATATCGACATAACCGGAAAGGCCGCTCAGCAAGGAAGAAGCCACTGCTCCGAAACCGCCATAAAAAAGCCAGACTACGTTTTGCAACTGCACATGGGGACAAAGATTGTACTTTTTGGAGAAATGTCCTCTGGTCTGATGAAACAAAAATATTACTGTTTGGCCATAATGACCATTGTTATGTTTGGAGGAAAAGGGGGGAACGCTTGCAAGCCGAAGAACACCATCCCAACCGTGAAGCACGGGGGTGGCAGCATCATGCTGTGGGGGTTCTTTGCTGCAGGAGGGACTGGTGCACTTCACAAAATAGATGGCATCATGAGGAAGGAAAATTATGTGGATATATTGAAGCAACATCTCAAGACATCAGTCAGGAAGTTAAAGCTTGGTTGCAAATGTGTCTTCCAAATTGACAATGACCCCAAGCATACTTCCAAAGTTGTGGCAAAATGGCTTAAGGACAACAAAGTCAAGGTATTGGAGTGGCCATCACAAAGCCCTGATCTCAATCCTATAGAGCAAGGAGGCCTACAAACCTGACTCAGTTACACCAGCTCTGTCAGGAGGAATGGGCCAAAATTCACCCAACTTATTGTGGGAAGCTTGTGGAAGGCTACCCAAAACGTTTGACCCAAGTTAAACAATGTAAAGGCAATGCTACCAAATACCAAATTGAGTGTATGTATCCACCCCCCCCCCCCCCCAAAAAAAAAATTGCGTGTATGTAAACTTCTAACTTCTGAAATAAATCACTCTCTCTACTATTATTCTGTCATTTCACATTCTTAAAATAAAGTGGTGATCCTAACTGACCTAAAACAGGGAATTTTTACTAGGATTAAATGTCAGGAATTGTGAAAAACTGAGTTGAAATGTATTTGGCGAAGGTGTATGTAAACTTCAGACTTCAACTGTACCTCCTAAGGAGAGGCTGAGGACATCAGAGACAGCAAGGTGTGCTGAGGAGACTCCAGACCTGTCTCTGACTGACTCTGACCATCTATCCTCCGTGGCTGATGCTCCCTCCTCCACTCCTGCTTCAACTTCCTTCATGACCTTTTCATCGTCTTGTATCTCCATTTATTGATTTAAATGTGTTTTCTCGTATTGTTCTACTGCAATTCAGCTTTAAGCTGCTATAGTACACATGAAATTAAACTAAACTGAACTAAACTAATATTGCGGTTTAAAGGTTTATCACAATGTGATTTAAAAAGAATCCTCCAATACATGTTAGCTATAGTACCTTAGTCATCTGTGCTTTCTGGGAGAAGTTGGTGGCTATGTAGATGGAGTAGAAGCAGGCAGCCAGTACAGTGATGACAAACAGATTCAGGATCAGTCGGATCACGTAGATCCTACACTTCTCCTTCCGTGTCCTGTCTGCTATCTTCTGCTTGATCCGCTCCTCTTCCAGATCAGTCTGTTGACATAGAGAAGACAGAGGAATTAATATAGGATCTCTATTATATGCAGTTATAAGCATTTATACTGTATATATGAATAAACAAATAAACACAGCTACTTCTGAAAGGAAAAGACTAGTAGAACAGTCAGTGAGAAGCGAGAGTGGTAAAGATAAGTGAACCGATATGGTTCTGTTACATTATATGGCTGTAACCGAAATGTGTGAACTGAGGACTTACAGTTTTTCTCGATTGTTTACACACATTTTCTGAAAGCATGCCTTATATTCTCAGAACTCTACACACAAATCAAAAAACACACACACAATGGGCAAAACCTCTCAATTCTCCAGCAAAATGAAACTTTACATTCAAAACAATGTTATTTCTTATCAAAATTGTATTTTGTTTTCAAATGACACACACAAACCATCATATGAATAGACATTTATAAGAACCAGTTGAACACTGATGTGCTCAATGTAAAACACTATGATGAATGGAAAACACTTCTTCTCCATTCATCATAATGACTTAGGCCTTTTTTTGGTTCAGTGTTGCCATTACTACAGACAGTACATACATTAGTGTGTTGTAAAATATTTGAGAATATTGTTTTTATACTCAGAACACACAAATACACGGTAACAAAAATATTGTACATCCCATTCCCAACCAACACAAAGTTGCACATACAGTGGTCTACATACAAAACAGAATAATTTAATGTATACAGTTACAGTAAAAAAAAAAAAAAAAAAACTATGCTGCATCCTCTCTTCTGTTGCAGTCTGGCCACAGCACCTCATCCACATCACAAGCAATGTTTTCCCTGGCCAAGCAGCGGGGGAAATATCGCCTAGCATGGCGATTCCAGCCATGAAAAGCATCAGCTGCTATGTCTCCACATGCGTCTTCCATAGCTTGGAGAAGAGGTATACGCGTTTGTGGATTTCGGTCATACACTTTCCATCTCCAGGAATGGAGAATATGGAGGGAGATAAACAACACCTAAAGCGTGGGTGGGCAGTGAACCAGTTACGAACCAGAGCAGCCCTGTGGAAACTTACATTGTCACAAATGACAACGTACCTGAGCTGCTCTGGGCCATCTACCTGATCTGGTGGAATGAGTGTGTTGTGTAGTGTGCCCAGGAATGTGATCAGATGGGTGGTGTTGTAGGGGCCAAGGGTAGCATGGTGATGGATGACGCCGTGGTGGGTAATCGCTGCACACATTGTGATGTTCCCTCCGCGCTGGCCAGGGACTTCAACAATGGCACGCTGGCCGATGATATTCCTTCCCCTCTTTCGTCTTTTTGTGAGGTTGAATCCAACCTCATCAATGAAGATGAACTGGTGCTCCACTGCAGCCACCTCTAGCTCAAGGACTCTCTGAAACACACATGACAATATCAGAAATAGACATGGAGTGGTCACTATTGTGAAGCACAATCATTATGATTACAATACTGAAATATGTATAATTTATACAGTGTTGAGAGTATGCATCAATTGTGGGATTGTATAGGACTCACTTGCACATAGTTATATCGCAATTCTTTGACTCTTTCTGAATTGCGTTCAAATGGCACCCTGTAGACCTGCTTCATCCTGAGATTATTTCTGCGCAAGACACGGTCCAGTGTTGATAAGCTTACCCTATCAATATTTTGAAATATCTCATTGTTTTCTATTATTTTTCTTTGTATTTGCCGTAATGTTATGGCGTTATTTTCTAGGACCATGTTCATGATTTCAGTTTCCTGTTCAGGAGACAGAACACGTTCCCGACCACCTTGTGTTGATAATCTTTCAGTTCTGCCAAACATATAGTAAAATGCTGTAAATACAAAGTAGAAATACATTTCCCAAATACTTGAAACATACTTTATTTTTACAGTCCTACAGAACAGTCCACAGGCAATACTGTACTACTGTACTCATTGAGTACTGTATTGATATGCAGTACTGCAATTTTCTAGTGAGAGTAGATTTCTTACCTATTCTCATTTCGGAATGTCCGGATGATGGATGCTACAGTGTACCTGCTCAAATTTGGCTGTACTCTTTGCCCAGCCTCCCTCATTGTTAGACCATGGTTGACCACATGATCAACCAAGGTGGTTCGGATCTCATCAGAGTTTACGGTCCTTGGCCTTCCTCGTCCTCGTCCTTGTCCTCCCCGTCCTCCTCCTCTTACTCTCACTCCTCTGGCTCTGCCTCTGTTTCCAATGTTGGCATCCATTGCTCCAAAACAGAAGAGCTCACCTGTTGCCCTTTTATGCTAAAGCTCTGATTGCTAATTGTAAAACTGTGTGACGGGTGTTTGCCCATGTGATGAGTCAGTGTGCATATTTGAATGGCAGTGTGTTCATTGTGAAAACAAGAGATTTTCTGCATGAAAATTGTGCCAAATGCAAAGATTTGTGTGTAGTGTTTTGAAAAAAGTGTGTTGTAGAACTGCAATTTGATTGTAAAGCAGGAATTGTGCTTGTAGTTTAGCAGAATTGGTTCAGGGGGTTGGTGCATGAGTTACATGCTGTGGTCATTGTGTCTCAAGTACCAGTATTTGTGTGTAAACAATTGAGAAAAACTGTAAATTCACTTTGTCAATAGTGTTGAATCACATTGCTCCCTGTTGTTTTGAGTCAACCTATGCTATCATTTATTTTCGACTGACTACTGACACCTCACCTTCAGTTCATAAAGAAGACTGCTCCTCTTGAGCCTGGCTGCGTTCTCGTTGACGATACAGAAGTCCCATCCGGTAAAGATCTTGTTGCAGAAACTCTGGAAGCGATCCTCGTCCTGCACCAGGTTATGCTTGAAGCCAGTCGCAGACCTTTGGGGAACGACAAGAAATGCAGATTTGGAAAGTTCAGTCTATTGCTAAAAAAACATACCGTATTTTCCGCACTATAAGGCGCACCGGAGTATAAGCCGCAGCAGCTAAATTGAATGATATTGAATGATGTGTATATATATAAGCCGCACTGGACTATAAGCCGCAGGTGTTTTAATGTTTAATTACCATATGTAAGGGTTCGGGCACAGAGGGGATTGTCGGGAAAGAGACAAACTGTCTCGCTCTCGTAATGTCTGTCTGTCTTGCTCTCGTTCTGTCTCTCGTTCTGTCTCTCGTACCACTCTCGGTTCCACTTTTACTTTTGCGCGCTACCTGTCTCACTCTTTTCCGGCCTCCAGTTTTTCCTGCTGGAGCCCGCCGCTTAAAGGTGGGGGGCGCGGACCGGTCATAGAGCCCATAGAGTTAAAGTTGGTGGACTGTAACCTGTAAAATCCATAGATTTAGGAGGTCTTCTAGTGGCTGTTAGCTGTAAAAATCCATAGATTAGCCGCACCGTTATATAAGCCGCAGGGTCGAAAAATTGGAAAAAAGGCGTGGCTTATAGTCCGAAAATTACGGTAAGTATTTCTATAACTGTATATGACTTCTATGTATGTTGCATGACCATGAAAAACAATTGGACAGCATGTGCATGTTTGAGAAGATGTGCCTTTTGAGGACCGGTTAATCCAAAAGACTAGTATAATTACTAGTCTGAATACAGTAAGGTAGGGCACTTTTTTACCTTTTGACGATCCATATGAGACTGAGGAAGAGGTAGGCTATAGTGACCAGCAGGTAGGCCAGAGGCAGGTTGTAGGTGAACTTAGGGAAGTGAATGGCCTCTACCTTGTAGTAGCCATAGAAGAGGTAGGTCTGCTCCAGAAAGCCCTGTAAGATGTGAAACAAACAAGGGAGTCATTTTCAGTCACAGAACATCATCTACAGTTCTATGCAGGCGTACAATGAGTGACTGAATTACATGAATAATAGAGCGTGGTATATGAGGAGGGTAGTCCGTACCGTCCCTGAGAGGAGGTCTGTAATGTGCTGGTGGAAAACCACCAGGCCACGGCGAGAGGTGCTGGGGTAGTTCCTGCACTCACTGCCTGTGGAACACAACAAAAGCAACCCACAGGAACAATACAATGCTAGTAAGACATCTAGCTAGAAGTCCATTAACACTGAATTCAAAAATATATATAGACGAGATTAACAATACCACATTCATCATCTAATGTAAACATGATTGTGATGTTCTTGATGTCTCAGAACAGTTACTGACTACATGGCCCATATCTCTACTCTCTATCTGAACCTTTATGATAAATAAAGCCCATGTTATTACCATCTACAGGGTTGGAGGTGGTGTCAATCTCTTTCTGAACTACAGTTTACATAAATATTATATAACACATGTACAGCAGAGGAGGCTGCTGAGGGGAGGACGGCTCATAATAATGGCTGGAACGGAGTAAATGGAAACCATGTGTTTGATGTATTTGATACCATTACACACGTTCCGCTTCAGCCACTACCACGAGCCCGTCCACCCCAATTAAAGTGCCACCAACCTTCTGTGATGTACAGGTAACTGCCAAAATAAAGGAAACACTTCAGTAAATGAACGATACAAAGTCTATTGAAAGCAGGTGCTTCCACACAGGTGTGGTTCCTGAGTTAATTCAGCAATTAACATCACATCATGCTTAGGGTCATGTATAAAAATGCTCAGTTGCCCATTATTTTGTCTACCATGGATGGAAGAAGTGACTTTGAAAGAGGGGTCTCAAAGGAGCATAGGGGGGTTTAAAGGGTGTGTGTTTCCTTTCTCTTGACAGTTACATGTATAATATGGTCTACTTTACTATAACATATAAAGGCCTGTGTTACCATCTACGTGGTTGAAGGTGGTGTTCCCTGAGGCATGGGGGGCGGTGATGATGGGCAGCATGACGAAGCCGAACATGAGCAGGAACATGACGATGTTGAGCAGCACCAGGAAACGGAGGAAGGAGAAGTAGGACAGGATCCCTGTGCCAAACATCCCTATGTTGGGATACGGAGAGCGGAAGGGATGAGTGATTTAGATACCATCTTGAATCTTAAAGAGATCAATGTCAATGCACTCATTTCTTTCAATGCTTCCAACAGAAGACACACAAATGAGCAAGAAAACTTCTAATTGCCCAATTATCATCAGAGATATTACATAATCTCTGTTGACACTTTAGCCTTTGTCCCTCACAAATCCAATTTTGAGCTTTGTTCGTGTAACTCAGCCTTTGACATAAATCATGTATTGATGTCAACAGGAGTCAATAGGAGTAACAGGTTGTTTTGTCCCTGGCATCTACTCTCCTACCCTCAATGACGTGGATGTCTCCCCTCCAGAGCTCCAGGTTGCTGAGCATCTCAAACCCATCCTCCTTCAGCCTCCTCAGGGTCCGTCTGGTGCTCTGTCTCCACTGCCTCCAACTGCTCAGATCCTTGGCCTGCTCCAAACGCTGGTCCCTGTCAGATGATCAATCAGTCAATATATTAAGCAATCAATCAGTCAGTCAATGTTTACATACTAAGCCTTTTTCAAGAATGCTAACATCACACCAGGATCCACCAAGAGAGCTTTGACAGAAACTCAATATAGTGTCCTCCATGAACATAACCATCTCTAGCCCCGATGGTTATGTTCATAAAATTGTAGCCTACTTGTAGTGAATGTTGTGCTCTGTTATTGGCCTAAGGCTTGAGAAGTCCCATATCTGGGAGAGATTCAGAGAGCATTCCTTCACTAATATTTTATATTTATATTTTATATTTATATTTTAGTCATTTAGCAGACACTCTTATCCAGAGCGACTTACAGTTAGTGAGTGCATAACATTTTTTTCTTCCTGTAATGTCTCAAATTGATACGAGATAATGAAATGCTGCCTGCCCAGCAATAACTATACACTGCTGGCCCCTACAGTGAGTGAAGGCAATGAAGGCAGATAACCAATTATTTCAACACAGTAAGACTCAGTTAAAAACATACAAATCTCTGATGTCCTGTAATTTATACAGTTACATAGTATACATATGTTTTTATTATACAGTGCAACCCTTTTCATATTATATTTACAATACATGTTACACCAGTATAACACTGTATGATGACATACAGTGCCTTGCAAAAGTATTCATCCCCCTTGGCGTTTTTCCTATCTTGTCCTACCTGTAATTTAAATGGATTTTTATTTGGATTTCATGTAATAGACATACACAAAATAGTCCAAATTGGTGAAGTGAAATGACAAAATAACTTGTTTCAAAAAATTCTAAAAAATTAATAACGGAAAAGTGGTGCATGCATATGTATTTACCCCCTTTGCTATGATGCCCCTAAATAAGATCTGGTGCAACCAATTACCTTCAGGAGTCACATAATTAGTTAAATAAAGTCCACCTGTGTGCAATCTGCAACACCACTAAGCAAAGGGCACCATGAAGACCAAGGAGCTCGCTAAACAGGTCAGGGACAAAGTTGTGGAGAAGTACAGATCAGGGTTGGGTTATAAAAAAATATCTGAAACTTTGAACATCCCACGGAGCACCATTAAATCCATTATTTAAAAATGGAAAGAATATGGCACCACAACAAACCTGCCAAGAGAGGGACGCCCACCAAAACTCACAGACCAGGCAAGGAGGGCATTCATCAGAGAGGCAACAAAGAGACCAAAGATAACCCTGAAGGAGCTGCAAAGCTCCACAGCGGAGATTGGAGTATCTGTCCATAGGACCACTTTAAGCCGTACACTCCACAGAGCTGGGCTTTACGGAAGAGTGGCCAGACAAAAGCCAATGCTTAAAGAAATAAATAAGCAAACACGTTTGGTGTGCGCCAAACGGCATGTGGGAGAGTCCCCAAACATATGGAAGAAGGTACTCTGGTCAGATGAGACTAAAATTTAGCTTTTTGGCCATCAAGGAAAACGCTATGTGTGGCGCAAACCCAACACCTCTCATCATCCAAAGAACACCATCCCCACAGTGAAGCATGGTGGTGGCAGCATAATGCTGTGGGGATGTTTTTCATCGGCAGGGACTGGGAAACTGGTCAGAATTGAAGGAATGATGGATGGAGCTAAATACAGGGAAATTCTTGAGGGAAACCTGTTTCAGTCTTCCAGAGATGTGAGACTGGGATGGAGGTTCACCTTCCAGCAGGACAATGACCCTAAGCATACTGCTAAAGCAACATTCATGAATTACTTAAAACTGTCAAACTGACCCATCAAAGTCAGTGGGCGGGGCTAACGCGAATCTAGTCTGATCCATTGCTTTGGTCTGAAGTAGAGTAGGCCAACCTGGATAGAGACAATGGAGGATCTCCGTGAACTTTCCAGGGAGTTGGTTAGAGACATTTTAAACTTAGCAGAGGATGTAGAAGCAGGACCTGCTGACATTATCCGGAATTGATTTGTCTTGGCTTGATGCAGAGGGTAACCAATCAGGCGTTAGGTTCCGCCTACCAACTTTTGATGGGTCAGTTTGACAGTTTTAAGTAATTCAGGAAGCACTCCAACGCAGGACCATGAAATGTAAATGTAAATAGTGAAATTATTATATATGTATTTTACATAAAATGAATCGGTATTTGAATTAATTAATGACACATTTAATAACACATTTATGTATTTAATTCTAATTTGAATTAATTAATGACACATTTAAGTAATTATTTAATGGTGTATTTATTTATAGTGGTTTAAGGTACAACTTTTAAATGTCTTGGAATGGCCTAGTCAAAGCCCAGACCTCAATCCAATTGAGAATCTGTGGTATGACTTAAAGATTGCTGTACATCAGCGGAACCCATCCAACATGAAGGAGCTGGAGCAGTTTTGCCTTGAAGAATGGGCAAAAATCCCAGTGGCTAGATGTGCCAAGCTTATAGAGACATACCCCAAGAGACTTGCAGCTTTAATTGCTGCAAACGGTGGATCTACAAAGTATTGACTTTGGGGGGGGGGGGGGGGGGGGGTAAATAGATATGCATGCTCAAGTTCTGTTTTTTTGTCTTATTTGTTGTTTGTTTCACATTAATAAATATTTTGCATCTTCAAAGTGGTTGGCATGTTGTGTAAATCAAATGATACAAACCCCCCAAAAATCCATTTTAATTCCAGATTGTAAGGCAACAAAATAGGAAAAATGCCAAGGGGGATGAATACTTTCGCAAGCCACTGTATTATATGTCAGAGATCTCACTTATCTCTGCGTTTCTCCGCCATAGATTTGGGCAGTTCCCTGACCGGTCTCTGTATGGTCTGAGTCCTGAGTTTCTCCTCATGCTGTCTGGCCACTGTGGTCTGTCCCCATTTCCCGCTGTTGGAGGAGCCCACCCTGGTCCGTGAGCTGCCACGGCGCTTGGTACTGCCCGAGGCGGAGGGCTTTCTCCGGTACAGCAGAGACTGGTAGCTGGGGAGCTGGTCCAGTAGTGGGTTACGTGGTGCTCCCAGACGGTCAGTGTAGAACACTGTCAGAGAGAAATATGGTAAAAACATGGGTTTTGGGGAAAGAGGCTGGGGGTTCAAGTTCATGAAGTGAGAGTAAAATGTGTGTTTTAAAGAGCAATACTTGAATGCAATACACTGTATTAATATCATAATTGAACTCACTAAATAATTTAGCTGTGAATGCACAGGAAGTGGTGTAGCCATACAGTCATTACAACAGTCAGGTACACATGAAAAACCACACCTCAACAATTACAACTATCAAAACATAACTTCAGCTATCAAGTTACTGTTGCTATTCAATGTCATGGAACTCAAAGAGTAAGGGAAGTTTTCTAACAATAACAACGACAATTGGCTCAGTTTTAGCTACACGCTAGCTAACGTTGGCTGGCTAGCTTTTTAGCATTAGGAAAGTTTACCTGCCTCATCTAGCTAGATAGCTGGCTACGTTGACCAACTTACTTGCTGAGAAGGTCCATATGAAATTGAGTTTGCTTAGTTACCTGAGTCGCTCTCCATTTTCAGTTGTCCTCGTGCACTTTTAATATCAAAGAACGTTTAATGAACAACTTTGTTAGCCAGCTGGCTGACTAGCGTAGCTAGCTGACTTTGGCTGTCACAGTCAGCAGAAGGAAAACAAAGCAGCATTCCCTTTCCTGAATCCCAAAGCGACGCAACTCTGGAGGCTAGATATATAAATACTAGATTGGAACAGCATGCTTTCCCACAATTATAAACAATAATTGTGCTTATTTAATGGTATGTATGACTGGAATTTAATCTAATTTCAATACTGACAAACGACCGACCAACAATTTGACGTTTATTTGTTCTAGCTAATTAGCTAGCTTTTATATTTCTATAACAACATTTGTCGCGCTCTACTGTCCTCAAATGCCACACCCATACACGTTTTAAATGATGGAGCATCAATTATTATTAACGCTTAAAATGGGGTAATATTATATTAAGATGAAATAATAAAAATGTCAAAATAACAATTTAATTGGTTATTATGCTGTTATTCACATAATACAACATTTTGATTTACATTGTGTTTTACATAGAGTCGAAGTCAAAAGTTAATCATTATGGCTCTTCATTGCAATTCCCTATCCTATTGCACACTGCACATGCAGTCATTCGTAATAACACCGTTGAGCCTTTGGCCATCCCATATCTTATTACGCCAATTAATTTTCAGGTGCTATGGGAGTCATTTCGAAATACTTGTCATTATGCCAACCATATCAGCCTATTGGATTTGCATTCGGCATTTAGAAATGTTTACCTTAATTTTTCAAGTGCACAGTTCCGGGTAGTCTGACAGACACACTTAGTCAGAAAGTTCAACAAAGGTAGATCTCTCAGAGCTGCACTCTAGCTGCCACAGTTAGCACTTCAAACCTGGATTACAAGGAAAAAGGAAGGCAGCCTCGGACTACAGCATCTGTTCAAGCAGCCAGCAGATTTCCCTGAAAAAGCAGTACAATAACTAGGTAATTACACTCTGTGGATATATATATATATATATATATATATATATATATATATATATATATATATATATATATATATATATATATATATTGTTTAATGGTTTGATACAATAGGTTTAAAGTTTTACCTTGTCCAACAGCAGTGTATACTCTCATTATTTGGAACATGGTTATATATTTGTAGAGATTCTCTTAATTTGACAACACAAAGATTCACTGTCATATATGACTTCTATGTGTTTTTCCCACAATACACTACCATGTCAACGTATTTGTTGGTCAGATCTCTTTCCAGACTCTGTTGCTCGGGAATTTGTTATTTCTACTTTGCCTACTTTACTGCTATAGGGCAGCACTGTGAGGCACAGACCATGGCAAAACATTTACATTTTAGTCATTTAGCAGACGCTCTTATCCAGAGCGACTTTCAGTTAGTGCATACATTATTTATTTTTCATACTGGCCCCCTGTGGGAAACGAAACCCACAACCCTGGCGTTGCAAACGCCAAGCTCTACCAACTGAGCTACATCTCTGCCGGCCATTCCCTCCCCAGAAACCATATCCCCGTGTTAATAAATAATGATATACACACAGGGATAGGACAGGGGAGTTAAATATCTTACTGAAGACAGCCATTCAATCCAAAACATGTGATGTGTATTAGATAGAACAGCTTTATTTGTGAAAGGAAGAATGGAATAGCATCGAGGTATGATCTCAGAAGTTTTGTATTTGCCCCTTCTTTATACCAAAGGGGGTATTGTTGCTAGTGGCACGTTTATGTCTCGTTTCCAGTTCTCATTTGATGTAATGGCAAGCTGATTCTCACTAATTGTTTTACTGAGAATACAGTAGGAGGACCTTTCAGACCTCCAGGGGACTAAAGAAGAAGAGAGGGACAGACAGAAACCACCGCCCGGTTAACCACTATAGAAGAAGAAGATCAAGCCAAGGATCCCTATGTCACACTACAACAATAGTGGAGGATGTAACAACCTTGCCTATCATGACAGTGACACCCTGGAGATAGATAGGAGGTATGTGTGACAACTTGTACGATTGTGTTGTTGTGATGTTTGTTAGAATTCAGCTTTAACTGTGTACAGTTAGTCACACCTCTGCGCAGTGGGGAGAGGACCTGAATGAAATGTTGACGGACAGCACTTTAAAAAAAAGTTTGCATTTATTTTGCACATATAGGCTAAATGAGAGGGAACAAAAAACACAAATATGAGAAGTAAAAACCTAATTTTCCAGGATTAGAAAATAATTCTGAGAGGGTCTTTTGTTCTGTATATTTAAATGAAGACCATCATTGTACTTGTGCACATGATCTCTAATCTCTCAATTGGTGTCAGATTTCTTATAATGCCAGTGCCGTCACATACTGTAGCAGGAAGCTATCTCTGAAATAAATACTGTCAAAGTGGTCCATTCCTCCTCCATTGTGTGTTAAAGGTTGTGTGACAGTACAAGGAGTTTGTTGTCATTTGAAGTTATTGTTGTGCTAAGTACTAGAGATGGTCATGAACCTTCAGTGGTGTGACCAAAGTAATGGTATTTCTTATAAGAGACTCACTTTACAGCGCCTCAGAAAAAAACATTATTGTCTATGACAGATGTCATATCATGTTTATAATAATATTGTAGCATGATCCTTAGCACCACATCAGCAACCTTATGAGTGTAATGGTTAAGGTGTTGAACTGACTGATGCGGGGTTTAAACAACAACACACCAGTAATGTTATCTCCTCTGTCCTCCTCGCCAAAGTCCTTCCAGGAAATCCCAATCCCATCACAGTAACCCCCATGGTAACCCCTACCCCAGGGATGATGGAGCCGTGGGGCAGAGGGGCAGGTCCGACCTCCAGCAGCTCCCAGGAGGGGGCCAGTCCAGCTACGATGAAGCCCAGGGGAGAGTGCCCTGGGGCGGGTGGCAGGAGGGGAGCTGGAGGGGCAGAGACAGCATTCCCATGGGTCTCCTTCCTCCCCGGTCGGAGAGCCCACAATGGCAGCAGCATGACCTCAGTAAGTCGATGTTTGATTTAATTGATTAATTAGACAATAGATACAAGTAATATACAGCACACACCAATGTAATGGCAGTACAAACGTTTTCTGATGGGAGATTGTATTGTAAACAGATCAGAGAAATATGATCCCTTGTGCTATAGTATGGGTAGTCTCTCCTACAAGATTTGGTTCTGGGTTCTGAGATGATAGTATGGCCATGATTTTGTTTGAAATGGCAGCCTGGTCTCATAGACTAGACGTAACATAGTAAATATATATCCAGGACACTGAAATTAGTATGATATGTTACGTTTGGTATGTTTACATAAGTCTAGTATGAAGGAAGTTAGAGGTAGTTTCGCGAGCCAATGCTAAGTAGCGTTAGCGCTTACGCTAGTTAGCATTTGCGCTAACGCTACTTAGCAACTTCCTTCAAACTGCACATAGACACATAAAAACGGAATCCACGAGTTCATCCTACTCTGGGGAAGTAGATAAAGGGCCTCATTGCCAAACTCCCTAAGTATCCCTTTAACCCTTTAACCTAACTCCTAACTTTAACCCTGACTTGAACCCTAACCTTAACCCCTAACCCCTAGCCTAGCCACCTAGCTAACGTTAGCCATATAAAAATTGCTTTCTCCAATTCGTAACATATTGTACGAATTGCAATTTTGACATATCATACGAATTGTCATTCGTAACACATCATATGAATTGGATGACCATACAAAACCTAACATATCATACTAATTGGAGTGTACCGGATTAACTTTACTATGTTACGTCTACCCCTGAGTCCAGGTTGGGAATGGAGTAGTATTTCCTTGTGGCAGGTCTTCAGATTCTGTGTTGCTAAGTGACTTTGAATTTCTTCTATTACTTCCTGCCTCCTGGTTGGTTAATTATGTGTGTTCTCAATGTTGTTATAAGTACCATATCCACCTCATTTTCGAATGCTTTTAAAACATGGAAGCCAAACGCTCAAACTATTGATACAACATCAGTGGAGGTTGCTGAGGGGAGGATGGCTTATAATAATGGCTGGAATGGAGCACAGTTTTGTTCTCACTTGACAACAATAATAACATTATTCATTACATTGTGTTGTTGTAGCCTAGGTAGGATACATTTCTTGTCCCTAAGCATATTTTGGACACTTATTTCGACAGCCTATCGGAGGACAGGTGCACTTGCTTGCTGAATGTAAAATAGGCTACAGCATTAAGAACGGGCGGGGAGTTTGAAAGGAGAAGCCCACATTTTCATATAGTAGGCCTATCTTAACACCGGGCTACATCCTGACAAAATACACCATATGAGTGGCCCGCTAATGTACCTTTCTTGTCCTTCTGAACTGTCGAGAATAGATCCAAACGGATCCAAATGGTTGCATAATCAGGCCTAGGCTGTAGGCCTATGCAGTTATTTCGGAATGAAACAAAACAGAATGTTTGAGTGGTTATTAGCCTACATAATATGCCATTTAGCAGACGCTTTTATCTAAAGCGACTTACAGTCATGCGTGCATACATTTTTGTGTATGGGTGGTCCCGGGGATCGAACCCACTACCCTGGCGTTACAAGCACCGTGCTCTACCAGCTGAGCTACAGAGGACCTACATCACTGCAGTTTACAGCCTATGGATAATAATTGTGTACTCACTTGATAACAATAATAAATTCCTCGTTGCACTGTGTTGTTGTAGCCCAGGTACAATAATGTATTGTCTAAAAACGTAGGCCTATGCCTAATCAACAGTGGAACTTTGCGTGCCCGGGGACCACAGAGCGCAGCCTGGAGGAGCGCACTACAGATTTGCCATTTCATCATCGTGTAACTTTTTTTTCTTGCACTTTGACAGGTAAATATTTAGCCTATAGCTCTAATATTTACCTAATGCATGGCCTAACGTCGAGCTAATATTTAGCTTCTTACTTCAGCTACACATCACTAGCCTCTGTCTTCCAGCTGTTCCCGTGCGCAACAGGCTATAGGCTACGCAAGCCTCTCCGCAATAGGCGATTCCTCTTCTCGTGAAATCCTAGGAAAGCTATAGGCTACAAAAGCTATAGGACATTTATTTTTTATACTTCTTTTATACTAAACCTAATAGCCTATTCTGGTAAAGAAGCAGGCTTGCTTTTACTAATTGCTGAATGTAAAACAGGTCTACAGCATAGACAATCAATTTCGGGGAAAGTTGAGGAGAGAAAGTGCATTGGTGTGATTGATCACTTTTGGCCGGTTATGATTATAACATTGTAGCACTGATGCATTGTAAATAGTTACACAGGACATATCCTAGATGAGCACAGTGAAAAAGAAGACAGAAGGAATTGACAACCATTAGAAAAATGGAAATCACTTGCAAACCACTTGAGCAACGAGGCAATGAGATGCTGTAAAATATGTGCAGGCTCGGCTTTTGTTGTTCAACTGCTACATTTAAATACGAGTTACTATATTATTTTTCATTAGGCCTACATGTACATTGAAGTATTATTTGCAGTTGTCACTATGACAATGAACACACCCTGAAAGCACTGAATGGTCTGAACCAGTCTCTGTGCGTTAGAGTCCTCATGAATGGTCTTGTGATACGCAGTGTGCAGTAAAATGCGTTGATCAGTTGATTGACAGGTGCAGGACTGTAGAACAATACACGATAAACTTTCCTCTAGTGTGGATGCTCACCAACGTTGTATCGTTATGTAGACTATAGTTTATCATTATAGTTATCGTTATAGTTATTGGCTTTGTGGAGGCCCTTATCTCTTACACAACACAATTAACGTAATTATCACAACAGAACTACTAGTAGGTCTAGCTAACCTTTTGAGAACTTGAATGAAATACATATACAATTACACTTACACTTGTTTACTTGACTTTTATACTCTATAAATTGACTCCTTCAAATAATTGACTCTAGCAAATGTGCCACCCGCGCGCTGCAGTAGGTAAAGAAAGCAGAAATCGAATCCATCACTTCCGTTGTTTGGCTGTGCCCATAGCAACGTTCGAAAATGAGGTGGATGGGATTAATTCATCAAGTGTTCTGTTCTCTATGATCAGATCACAGCGGGTACCAGATCGACCAGGCAACGCATTATGACACAACCCCTCCTGCACGACTTCCATCCGCAACTTCAGGTACTGTTCAAAACACGTATAAAGCACATACAGTATATTACTCTCTATTTACTTCCTTACTTTACTTCTTCAGCTTTCAGTTGGTCCATTTGATCATAAGAACCATTGAAGTTGGTTGTTGCACTGCAGTATGCCATCATTAAAGAGACACACAACTCAAATAAATAAATAAAATCAAGATTGTTAATCATGACAGATTTCGTGTAGCTAACTTTTGCAATATTGTTATGATGGTTTATGACGATCCAATGTCTAATAGAACATTACCTAAAGGTAGACAGGCAGCACAAGGAAGTTGGCAGATAAATACCATCCCGGGAAACTGGTATTGTGCGAACGGTTTACAGGGTAATATTGATTAGGGCAAAACGTAGCAAAACGTTAGCGTTTCTTATTGGACAAGTCCAGGTAGTCCCTCCCTGTTTCAGTCTGTTTTCTTCCATTTGTTGTCTAATGAACATAACCCAGGTAATATTGCCTCATCACAAGGACTGATGATTAGGTGTTTGCTGAAAACTAACCAAGAAATGTACATATGTAGTATCTTAATTTGAGACAGTTTTCTACAGCAGGAAAATAATCCTGCAGCAATAGGAAATGTGAATTATAATGTGGATTGTAATTAACATATTTTTTTTAGGGTTTGATACATTTGTCTGAAATATCAAAATGAAAATTACAAACTTCAGAAGCCTTTTTAAACCTCAAATGCACTACAAGTTTTACAGGAAAGTTCTCCTGAAACAAAGTGATAAAATTAAGATCCGACATCTCAAGAGTTTTTGCCTCTTTGGCCTTTTATACTTTCTCAGTGATTAAGCCTTAACAAAGACACACAATATGTCACAGGTGTAGCAGCATTACTCGGTTAGCATGATGGTTATAATGGCTAACTCTAATGGGACAGGTAAGGCTGGGGGGAAACAATCACACTCTCTAAAGAAGTTAGTTTGTATTAGAGTGTGTTATCTACAGTGTGTTGAAGAACCCTTATTGGTTCCAGGTTCTACATGGAACCCAAAAGGGTTCTAACCGAAACCAAAAATGGTTCTACCTGGAACCAAAAAGGGTTCTGCTATGGGAACAACATAAGAACCCTTTTGAAACCCTTTTTTAACCACCTCTATTTGATTTGGTTTAATCAAAGTTCAGCAGCAGCAGCTAACACTTATTTACACAGTGTAAATATTGACTCATGGCACACCAATACACTGTGACGGGGGTCTCCCCTTTTCAAGCCACCTAAAGCCACTTCCTTGTGCAATCAAACACCATGTCAGTGCGTGAACTAATAAACCATTATATATTGTGAGCTGTATGTGCATGCCGTTCTTTGTATGTTCACTTGTTTGCACTGGAATTATGGGAATTAATTGTGTTTGCCAAGTCAATGGGTGGACATGACCTGAAACAAATAAATGCAGTACTTCTATTAGCTTAACATATTATATATCCTCTGTATTGTGTAGTGCTGAAAGTAAGCCTAATGATTGATTCCTTTCTATTTCTCAACACACATTATTAAGCTCATAATTCCTCAGTAGTAGCTAGGCTGTCAGCTGTGTTTAATTTGATGTCCTCGTGTCTCCCAGGTCATGTTTCGATGAGGTTCAGGGGGTCGAGGAGGATGAGTCTCTTCCCTGTAGGAGAGGCAGCTCTGGGCAATCTGGGCCTTTCTGAGGATGACATCAGGAATGAGATGGAAAATGGTGAGGGATGAAGGAGGAAGAGCCTAGAAACATCCATAGAAATGGAATTACTAGAATTGTATTCCTATGGGCACAACCACTGTTGAGAATGCCCGTCCATTGTCCCTGTAGAAATATGACGTTTCTCCTTTCAATCGGTTCAGGACAATGTTATCCATTTAAGTCATATTCTGGATACACTCACTGATTGAAGTATTTTACGTTTCCTACTATATAATGACTTTATAACTCAATCATAACCCTACATCACTTCTTATCATTAAATCACAATGACAAACTCATATATTATATTATATAATATTATATTAATATTATTATTATTACATTACAATTCTGATTTAAAGGCATACTATGATTAATAACCTCACAGATCTGTCTTATCATGTCTTTGTCCAACAGAGGAACAGAACTTGGTCAAAGAGCTGGTTGCCATGTCAACGAGGGACAGAATCAAGGCCATCCGAGACCTCCCTATGAGCTTTGATGACAAGAAACACATCAGGTATAGTTGTCATGTCACCCTCATAGGTCAAAAGGTTATCTTACAGTTTTACTATGGAAAGTTTAACTTATTACTAGGGGTAGTAAAATAAGTACTATGTACAACGGTAGGTAGGTTATCGAATGTGCAGTTATGTAGGCTTGCAATGTGAGATCACACACACACACACACACACACACACACACACACACACACACACACACACACACACACACACACACACACACACACACACACACACACACACACACACACACACACACACACACACACATACACACACACACACACACACACACACACACACACACACACACCTTCTTGCAGTATGTGGGTAAGGAAGAAGTGTTTACCATAAGCGCATTGCATCGGCCAAGTCCAAAGTTTACAGCCACACAGCCACACAGCCAGCCAAGAGCACTGTGACACTTTTGACAGGTCATATATTTTATGAAGAGATAACGCTGTGATGCGCGTATGTTATTATCATACGCTACATAACTCCAACAGACTGTAGTCTTTATGTTTGTTTGATCTCATATCTCCTAGGGGCCAAGTGTTGGCGTTCAAATCGTTCAAAAAGTCCCGGCAACTGAATTGCTTTGCAGACTGCTCGAAGACTGTCTCATTGGTGAGAGGTTTGACTCTCTGACATCTTTGTGTCTCTCTGTGTCCTCCTGTCCTGATGCCCAACCTTACTTCCTGTGTGTCCTTGTACTGCACAAGCAGTGCCCTATTAGACTATTGGCAAAGTGCAACACTTCCTGTGGTTGGCTGAACTGAAGCTCTCCTATTACTAAATCATTATGCCTTTTATGAGCAATACAATTTGCCAGGGTGACAATCTGTCTCTGCATTCAGCGACACTTGAATTTAGGCAAAAGCAGAAACAGACTGCCACCAGGCAGGCTACAGAACAATATCTTTCTACTTACATTGAACATTATTACTGTTCCATCATCCACCTCATCTATTGACATTTTCACCTATTCTATGACAGCTATGCGATGAAAGCGCATTTGTGACATACAAGACCCCCACCACTGTTCTCAGATCAGTCTTCCCCCTCAGTCTTTCCGCAGGTGCGGTGCTAACATGACTCTAGCCAGGCAGACCCTGGAACTGTGGCGGGGTACCATGAAGGAGGTCGGCGGTAAATTTGGCACAGGGGTCCTCTCCTACTTCAAGTTCTTAAAATGGCTGCTGATGTTCAACATCTTCTCCTTTCTGGTCAACTTTGGTTTCATCACCATCCCCCAGCTCATCTATGACACCAAGCCAGACATCCCCAGTAGGGTCAGCTTCAAAGGGCTAGAGATACTGACCGGAGCGGTATGTTGTTGTTATCGCTATTGTTTACTATTCACACTACTTCCAGTAGATGCTTTTGAATGAATCATTCCATAGCAGCATAAGCTACTAATTTGATCAAAATGTTTTTTATACTACACCCCATACTGGAAAGCCAGCATACAGTGAACAGTTACTGTGTGATAAAAAAATATATATATTTGTATGTACCTATATTTTCCCCACAGGGTTATTTCAGCGACACAGTGATGTATTATGGTGGCTACAGTAATGAAACACAAGGGACAGAGGGCTGGTCTGAGTACAACATGCAGCTGGCCTACTTCTTCACCATAGCAGCCTACATGGTGTTGTGTGGAGCCGCCCTCATCTACAGGTCAGTATGGGATGGGACTGCAAAGCATAGTCCACAGTGATCAGATCAAATCAAATACTAAGGAAGTCTCGAGGTTTTGCTTGCCTGAGGTAGAGTATCTTATGATAAGCTGTAGACCACACTATTTACCAAGGGAGTTTTCATCTATATTTTTCATAGCTGTCTATTTACCACCACAAACCAATGCTGGCATTAAGATTGCACTCAATGAGCTGTATAAGGCCATAAGTGAACAGGAAAACGCTCATCCAGAGGCAGCGCTCCTAGTGGCCAGGGACTTTAATGCAGGGAAACCTAAATCCGTTCTACCTAATTTCTACCAGCATGTTAAATGTGCAACCAGGGGAAAAACAACTCTAGACCACCTTTACTCCACACACAGAGACGCATACAAACCTCTCCCTCGCCCTCCATTTGGCAAATCTGACCATAACTCTATCCTCCTGATTCCTGCTTATAAGCAAAAACTAAAGCAGAAGGCACCAGTGACTCGGTTAATAAAAAAGTGGTCAGATGACGCAGATGCTAAGCTACAGGACTGTTTTGCTAGCACAGACTGGAACATGTTCCAGGATTCTTCAGATAGCATTGAGGAGTACACCACATCAGTCACTGGCATCATCAATAAGTGCATCGATGACGTCGTCCCCACAGTGACCGTACGTACATACCCCAACCAGAAGCCATGGATTACAGGAAACATCCGCACTGAGCTAAAGGGTAGAGCTGCCGCTTTCAAGGAGCGGGACTCTAACCCGGACGCTTATAAGAAATCCTGCTATGCCCTCCGACGAACCATCAAACAGGCAAAGAGTCAATACAGGACTAAGATTGAATCGTACTACACCGGCTCTGACGCTCGTCGGATGTGGCAGGGCTTGAAAACTACTACAGACTACAAAGGGAAGCACAGCCGCGAGCTGCACAGTGACACAAGCCTACCAGACGAGCTAAACCACTTCTATGCTCACTTCGAGACAAACAACACAGAAGCATGCATGAGAGCACCAGCTGTTCCGAATGACTATGTGATCACGCTCTCCGTAGCCGATGTGAGTAAGACTTTTAAGCAGGTCAACATTCACAAGGCCGCAGGGCCAGACGGATTACCAGGACGTGTACTCCGAGCATGTGCTGACCAACTGGCAAGTGTCTTCACTGACATTTTCAACATGTCCCTGACTGAGTTTGTAATACCAACATGTTTCAAGCAGATCACCATAGTCCCCATGCCCAAGGACACTAAGATCACCTGCCTAAATGACTACCGACCCGTAGCACTGACGTCTGTAGCCATGAAGTGCTTTGAAAGGCTGGTCATGGCTCACATCAACACCATTATCCCAGAAACCCTAGACCCACTCCAATTTGCATACCGCCCCAACAGATCCACAGACGATGCAATCTCTATTGCACTCCACACTGCCCTTTCCCACCTGGACAAGAGGAACACCTACGTGAGAATGCTATTCATTGACTACAGCTCAGCGTTCAACACCATAGTACCTTCAAAGCTCATCACTAAGCTAAGGATCCTGGGACTAAACACCTCCCTCTGCAACTGGATCCTGGACTTCCTGACGGGCCGCCCCCAGGTGGTAAGGGTAGGTAACAACACATCTGCCACGCTGATCCTCAACACGGGGGCCCCTCAGGGGTGTGTGCTCAGTCCCCTCCTGTACTCCCTGTTCACCCATGACTGCATGGCCAGGCACGATTCCAACACCATCATTAAGTTTGCCGACGACACAACAGTGGTAGGCCTGATCACAGACAACGTTGAGACAGCCTATAGGGTATTCCCCCTCAGGAGACTGAAAAGATTTGGCATGGGTCCTCAGATCCTCAAAAAGTTCTACAGCTGCACCATCGAGAGCATCCTGACTGGTTGCATCACCGCCTGGTATGGCAACTGCTCGACCTCCGACCGCAAGGCACTACAGAGGGTAGTGCGTACGGCCCAGTACATCACTGGGGCCAAGCTTCCTGCCATCCAGGACCTCTATACCAGGCGGTGTCAGAGGAAGGCCCTCAAAATTGTCAAAGACTCCAGCCACCCTAGTCATAGACTGTTCTCTCTGCTACCGCACAGCAAGCGGTACCGGAGCGCCAAGTCTAGGTCCAAAAGACTTCTCAACAGCTTCTACCCCCAAGCCATAAGACTCCTAAACAGCTAATCATGGCTACCCAGACTATTTGCACCGCCCCCCCCACCCCCACCCCATATTTTTACGCTGCTGCTACTCTGTTAATTATTTATGCATAGTCACTTTAACTCTACCCACATGTACATATTATCTCAACTACCTCAACTAGCCGGTGCCCCCGCACATTGACTCTGCACCGGTACCCCCCTGTATATATAGCCTCCTTACTGTTATTTTGATTTACTTCTGCTCTTTTTTTCTCAACACTTTTTTGTTGTTGTTTTATTTTACATTTTTATTAAAAAAATTAATGCATTGTTGGTTAAGGGCTGTAAGTAAGCATTTCACGGTAATGTCTACATCTGTTGTATTCGGCGCATGTGGCAAATAACATTTGATTTGATTTGATAACAGTAACTTTTAATTATATCTATATCATACTTTTTTTATTGACCACTATTAACTCTACTTAGGAGTGTCATTGAATGTAATGCATCGTTTGGTTTCAATGTGCTGCTTTTGTTTTCATGCCCCAGTAAATACTTTATCAAAGCCAGTTGAGCTCACACATGTATGATGTCAATCAAATCACCAATGCTTGACATTCACATCATACCCTCATGATATTTATTACCTTTCCTTCATGTTGTAATAGTTCAGTAAAGTGACCCTGCTTCTCTCTCTCTCTCTCTCTCTCTCTCTCTCTCTCTCTCTCTCTCTCTCTCTCTCTCTCTCTCTCTCTCTCTCTCACTCTCTCTTTCTCTCTCCGTCTCTCTCTCTCTCGCTCTGCAGCATGGCCAGCTCGTTCAGGAAGAAGTATGTCCTTGCAGACTCAGGCTTGGGTGGAGCCTGGCAGCTCCTGTGTAGCTGGGACTTCAGTGTGACCAACGAGAGAGCCGTACGACAGCGCAAGAACAATCTGCGCATCCAACTCAAGGTCACTTTCACTGTTTTTGATAAACTATTACTGTAGCTTTGTTGACCTCATGGCCATATCATTAATGACGCTTTGTTGACCTCATGGCCATATCATTACTGTAGCTTTGTTGACCTCATGGCCATATCATTACTGTAGCTTTGTTGACCTCATGGTCATATCATTACTATAGCTTTGTTGACCTCATGGCCATATCATTACTGTAGCTTTGTTGACCTCATGGTCATATCATTACTATAGCTTTGTTGACCTCATGGTCATATCATTACTGTAGCTTTGTTGACCTCATGGCCATAACATTACTGTAGCTTTGTTACAAGAAAGATAATATAATATCGCTGAACAAATCCCACATTTTCGAGACTAGATAAATGTCCAATACTTGTGACTCAGTACTTATCTGCTCTTCCATACATATAATACTCTGCACTCTGACTTGTTAGGGGGACCAAATAGGAACTCTCAGATAACCAACTGTGAAATAACTTTGAAATAATGTTTCCATTCCCCTCCAGGAGTCCCTGTCAGAGAAGATCCAGGTAGCCCTGCTGCCTCTGACAGAGAGGCTGAAGCACTACGGGGTCTTCCTGGGTACCTGGCTCCTCTCCACGGGCGTGACCTTAGGCTGTGGCGCCGGTGTCTACTTCCTGTGTCAATATGACAAAAGGGTGTGGTACATTTTACAAAGTTTTATATAACCAGGAAGTCCCATTGAGGTCAGAAGACCTCTTTCTCAAGGAAGACCTTACATAAACATTGTGACGTGATGACTCCAGTTGCTTCCTTATAAAGCTTGTGTTTGTTAATGTATGATCCCGGGATCAGCTGACCCAGCACTAACACACTTTATCCAACTAAGTATGACGAGGACCATGTTGAATCAGGTGTGTTAGTGCTGGGCTAGAACAAATGCCTGCACACTGTGTAGCTCCGAGACCAGTGTCGATGACCTTGGTATAAGACATACCCTTGTGTACAATAATTCAAAGTGTGTCATAGCGTCTGAGTGTACCTGAACATATCTGACTCATATAGCGTCAATACAATACTACTTTCCTGGCAGGACAGGGTGTAGTCTTTATAAAGGTGTTACTGGGACATCATTTCTACACCTCCACCTAAGACTTACCCCACACCAGTGTGTCGCCAGTGATTTATGTTAATGTCAACTAGTGTTATTGTGTTTCCATCAGGAGTGTGACACTAAAAACTTGGGGCGAGCAGAATCAACAACCTCTGCATCATCAAGACTGTTGCTTTGTGAGGTGTTAAAGTCCACAGTTAGCCGTTGTTATGTAAATGCCAGCCGAAAAGTACCCAGGGCCTTGCCTTGGCTCCAAGTCAGAGCAGGTCACCCGGAGCCATGGCCCAGTGAGATGGAAACAGAAATGTCTGAGCCTTTTGGGTAAAACACCAGGGTAAATCTCAAATGGAAACTGGACACTGTATCTTGCTAAAGCTGTGATTGATTATGTCCTGACTTCAGCGTCTTATCTTTGATCCAGGTTGGTTGCTTCTAGGCACTGATCTAGGATCAGCTTACCCTCTCCAAATCCTCTCTTTAACATGAGGGAAACACAAAACTGACCTTAGATCAGAACAAACTGACCTACTATGGTATCTTTGCAGCGGACGACGCCGTCAGCGGACAAAGCTTCCGGCTCTCTCCTGGATGAGGCCGCTACTCTCCTCCTCCCCTTCGTGGTCTCCCTGATCAATCTGGTCATCCCTCTCTGCTACTCTCTGTTCAAGAAGATAGAACACTACTCCAACCCTCGCATGCAGGTCTATGCCATGATAGTCAGGTTAGAGATGGATACAAAACACATTTAAAAATACAAATATTGAAAGCGATTGATCAAAACAATTTGCTCAATGATCAATATAAAGCAATAGATGAATTAAATATTACAGTAATGCATAAAGAATAAATATGCTTAATAAAATATCAGGAAAAAACAGAAATATCATATACTGTACAATGTTTTAGAAGACTGATGTTTTGAATGCTGTTTTGAATGCCTTTTTCCTTTTTAGAAATGTCATTCTCAAGATGTCCATTCTGGGCATTCTGTGCCACTACTGGATGAAGGATGTGGCCAATACATTTTCAGTACTGGAAAGTTATTTTAAACCAAATCACATACATGCTTTCCAAAATGTTTTTGATTGTCACTAATATCTACTGTATGTTCATTCACCTCTGTCATTACAATCTTTTGTCTTAGTGCTGGGAGTCCAGAGTAGGACAAGCCTTGTACAGACTGGTTATTATGGACTTCCTCTTCATAATGTTAGGATCCTTCTTTGGAGAGTTCTTGAGCAAGTGAGTGGCATTTTCAAAACACATTTTCCCATAACGGTTTCACTTAAAGCTAAAAATCCTACAGTATGCAGTACAATTCTATATTGTAACTCATCTGTCTGTTGTGAGGGAAAGTTGAATTAAATGAGGCATCACATAAGGGTTATTTGAAAAATGTTCTTCTGTAACTCCTTTGTTCTTTTCTCCACCAGTGTCATTGGGACTAAATGCATACAGAGCCTGGGAGTTCCAGAGTTTGACGTTGCCAGGAATGTCCTTGACCTGATCTATGCACAGACCCTGGCATGGTACTGACGTTATCTCATTACACTGTACTGTACTCTACTCTACTGTACTGTACTGTATTCTACTGTACCCTACTGTACTGTACTCTAATGTACTGTACTCTACTGTAATCTACTCTACTCTACTCTACTCTACTATACTCCACTGTACTGTACTGTACTGGACTCTACTGTAATCTACTGTACTGTGCTCTAATGTATTCTACTGTACTGTACTGGACTCTACTGTACTCTACTGCACTGTACTGTCCTCTAATGTACTCTACTGTACTCTACTGTACTGTACTGTACTGGACTCTACTGTACTCTACTGTACTCTACTCTACTGTACTCTACTGTACTGTACTGTACTCTAATGTACTCTACTCTACTCTACTGTACTCTACTGTACTGTACTGGACTCTACAGTACTGTACACTACTGTACTCTAATGTACTCTACTGTACTGAACTGTGCTCTACTCTACTGTACTCGACTCTAATCCTCTGTACATCTATAGCTCCATCTATTTTCATAGTAAAACATAACACAGTACTGTAAAAGTGGATGAGCTATGGTCAATTCTTATAACCATGTTTTTCTGTCTGCAGGATCGGAATCTACTTCTCTCCTCTCCTCCCAGTGATACAGATAATCAAGTTCTTCATCCTCTTCTACCTAAAGAAGGTAACCTGTTCAGTATGGTTCTTCATCCTCTTCTACCTAAAGAAGGTAACCTGTTCAGTATGGTTCTTCATCTACCTAAAGAAGGTAACCTGTTCAGTATGGTTCTTCATCCTCTTCTACCTAAAGAAGGTAACCTGTTCAGTATGGTTATTCTACCTAAAGAAGGTTACCTGTTCAGTATGGTTCTTCATCCTCTTCTACCTAAAGAAGGTAACCTGTTCAGTATGGTTCTTCATCTACCTAAAGAAGGTAACCTATTCAGTATGGTTCTTCATCCTCTTCTACCTAAAGAAGGTAACCTGTTCAGTATGGTTATTCTACCTAAAGAAGGTAACCTGTTCAGTATGGTACTTCATTCTCTTCTACCTAAAGAAGGTAACCTGCTCAGTATGGTTATTCTACCTAAAGAAGGTAACCTGTTCAGTATGGTTCTTCTACCTAAAGAAGGTAACCTGTTCAGTATGGTTATTCTACCTAAAGAAGTTAACCTGTTCAGTATGGTTATTCTACCTAAAGAAGGTAACCTGTTCAGTATGGTTCTTCATCTACCTAAAGAAGTTAACCTGTTCAGTATGGTTCTTCATCCTCTTCTACCTAAAGAAGGTAACCTGTTCAGTATGGTTCTTCATCTACCTAAAGAAGGTAACCTGTTCAGTATGGTTATTCTACCTAAAGAAGGTAACCTGTTCAGTATGGTTCTTCATCTACCTAAAGAAGGTAACCTGTTCAGTATGGTTCTTCATCTACCTAAAGAAGGTAACCTGTTCAGTATGGTTCTTCATCTACCTAAAGAAGGTAACCTGTTCAGTATGGTTCTTCATCTACCTAAAGAAGGTAACCTGTTCAGTATGGTCTTTATCTACCTAAAGAAGGTAACCTGTTCACTATGGTAGATAATATAGGCCCCTTAGCAGACACTTCTTATCCAAAGCAGTGAGTACATATTCAGTACAGTGAATAGTATTTTATAGTACAGAGAGTGAATACATTTTTTGTATGTGATCCCTGTTGCGATTTGAACCCACACCTGAGCCACACAGGACCATGGCTGACTCGAGTGACAGTAAGCTGAACCTTTGTGTTGATTCACTGCCCTAGATCCCATGCCATAGCAGAATGGGCCAGGCTCATGTTACTCTCTTCTGAAGAGGGTGCTGAATGTTTCATGGATGACATAGAATTAGCTCTATTTATAGATGGTAGCGATGGTCACTATGATTTTCCAATACAATGATGAAACATACAGTGGGGAAAAAAAAGTATTTAGTCAGCCACCAATTGTGCAAGTTCTCCCACTTAAAAAGATGAGAGAGGCCTGTAATTTTCATCATAGGTACACGTCAACTATGACAGACAAATTGAGAATTTTTTTCTCCAGAAAATCACATTGTAGGATTTTTAATGAATTTATTTGCAAATTATGGTGGAAAATAAGTATTTGGTCACCTACAAACAAGCAAGATTTCTGGCTCTCACAGACCTGTAACTTCTTCTTTAAGAGGCTCCTCTGTCCTCCACTCGTTACCTGTATTAATGGCACCTGTTAGAACTTGTTATCAGTATAAAAGACACCTGTCCACAACCTCAAACAGTCACACTCCAAACTCCACTATGGCCAAGACCAAAGAGCTGTCAAAGGACACCAGAAACAAAATTGTAGACCTGCACCAGGCTGGGAAGACTGAATCTGCAATAGGTAAGCAGCTTGGTTTGAAGAAATCAACTGTGGGAGCAATTATTTGCAAATAAATTCATAAAAAATCCTACAATGTGATTTTCTGGATTTTTGTTTCTCATTTTGTCTGTCATAGTTGACGTGTACCTATGATGAAAATTACAGGCCTCTCTCATCTTTTTAAGTGGGAGAACTTCCACAATTGGTGGCTGACTAAATACTTTTTTCCCCCACTGTATATGAGTGTCCTGGAAATTAAAATATACGTTTTCCCTGTGGTACAGTGAGGGAAAAAAGTATTTGATCCCCTGCTGATTTTGTACGTTTGCCCACTGACAAAGAAATGATCAGTCTATAATTTTAATGGTATGTTCATTTGAACAGTGAGAGACAGAATAACAACAAAATAATCCAGAAAAACGCATGTCAAAAATATTATAAATTGATTAGCATTTTAATGAGGGAAATAAGTATTTCACCCCTCTGCAAAACATGACTTTGTACTTGGTGGCAAAACCCTTGTTGGCAATCACAGAGGTCAGACGTTTCTTGTAGTTGGCCACCAGGTTTGCACACATCTCAGGAGGGATTTTGTCCCACTCCTCTTTGCAGATCTTCTCCATGTCATTAAGGTTTCGAGGCTGACGTTTGGCAACTCGAACCTTCAGCTCCCTCCACAGATTTTCTATGGGATTAAGGTCTGGAGACTGGGTAGGCCACTCCAGGACCTTAATGTGCTTCTTCTTGAGCCACTCCTTTGTTGCCTTGGCCGTGTGTTTTGGGTCATTGTCATGCTGGAATACCCATCCACGACCCATTTTCAATGCCCTGGCTGAGGGAAGGAGGTTCTCAACATTAGGCCCCGTCCATCGTCCCTTTGATGCGGTGAAGTTGTCCTGTCCCCTTAGCAGAAAAACACCCCCAAAGCATAATGTTTCCACCTCCATGTTTGACGGTGGGGATGGTGTTCTTGGGGTCATAGGCACCATTCCTCCTCCTCCAAACACGGCGAGTTGAGTTGATGCCAAAGAGCTCGATTTTGGTCTCATCTGACCACAACACTTTCACCCAGTTCTCCTCTGAATCATTCAGATGTTCATTGGCAAACTTCAGACGGGCATGTATATGTGCTTTCTTGAGCAGGGGGACCTTGCGGGCGCTGCAGGATTTCAGTCCTTCACGGCGTAGTGTGTTACCAATTGTTTTCTTGGTGACTATGGTCCCAGCTGCCTTGAAATCATTGACAAGATCCTCCCGTGTAGTTCTGGGCTGATTCCTCACCGTTCTCATGATCATTGCAACTCCACAAGGTGAGATCTTGCATGGAGCCCCAGGCCGAGGGAGATTGACAGTTCTTTGTGTTTCTTCCATTTGCAAATAATCACACCAACTGTTGTCACCTTCTCACCAAGCTGCTTGGCGATGGTCTTGAAGCCCATTCCAGCCTTGTGTAGGTCTACAATCTTGTCCCTGACATCCTTGGAGAGCTCTTTGGTCTTGGCCATGGTGGAGAGTTTGGAATCTGATTGATTGATTGCTTCTGTGGACAGGTGTCTTTTATACAGGTAACAAACTGAGATTAGGAGCACTCCCTTTAAGAGTGTGCTCCTAATCTCAGCTCGTTACCTGTATAAAAGACACCTGGGAGCCAGAAATCTTTCTGATTGAGAGGGGTTCAAATACTTATTTCCCTCATTAAAATGCAAATCAATTTATAACATTTTTGACATGCGTTTTTCTGTATTTTTTTGTTGTTATTCTGTCTCTCACTGTTCAAATAAACCTACTATTAAAATTATAGACTGATCATGTCTTTGTCAGTGGGCAAACATACAAAATCAGCAGGGGATCAAATACTTTTTTCCCTCACTGTATATACAGGGAAATCATTACATGTTCAAAACTATAAGTGGAAGGTGTCTGCAATTGAGGATTCAGTTGATCAAATACAAGAACATGATAGCTCCCTGACAAATCAATAATTACTTTATTCCTGGTTAAGGTGCAGGTTAATCATTACTCTCTGTTGTCCCTTGTTGTCAAAGGTCTTTGTTTATTCACCCGTTCATCCAATTGTGCCGTTGCCAAGACACCATCAACAGGCTCTTCTCTCTCTATCTCACTCTCCAGCTCTGTAATGCCCTGTCTATACTTTGTGTCCTCCAGGTGAGCCTGACCCAGAACTGCCAGCCCCCCAGGCGAGCCGGTAGAGCGGCACAGATGCAGACTATCTTCATCGCTATCCTCTTCTTCCCTTCCTTTGTGGGGGCTCTGTCCATGGTGGCTTACACCGTGTGGACGTACGTATAGAAGGGGTCAGGTCAAGGCTAATCTAGGCACTCAGAATCAAATCAGTTATGTTAAGGCTGTCATAGATGAAGGCAAGGCCAAACAAACACCTGGAGCTATATGGAGTAGTTCAGTTTCCACCTAGTTCTAGATAGATATGCCTTGTTCAGAAGAACTGCAGTCTGTCATTAATTGATAACCAAGAGCTAAACTTGATTCAGTTTGGTTGAATTTTAGGGGCTAAGATAGTCAGTTGAATCGTGTTGTTTAATTAGTAAGAAAGATGAAAATGTGTTGAAAGTTGGTTGATTGAAAGTTGGTTGACTTTGGCTCCTTTCCTCTGACCCAACCATTTCAACTTGCTATGTCTCCCCTGATCCCGCCCCCAGTCTGCCCCCCTCAAAAGATTGTGGGCCCTTCAGGGGCCTCAATACCACCTTCAGTGCTGTACAGATCTGGATGGACGGGCTAGAGGGGGTGGCTGCGTCTCAGTGGACTGTCTGGATCTACCAGCACGTCATCAGGAGTGAGATATTCTACTTCCTGGTCTCTCTCATCACCCTGTGAGTTCAACTTTGCCCCTCATGTTGTGGTGGTTATGTTGAGTTAAAGTTGTGTTTATGACAGTAACAAGTCGTTTTAAAGCACAGTCTTACGGTAAGTGACAGTTGTCTTGAAAACGTGATATATGGCATATACAGTACCAGTCCAAAGTTTGGACACACCTGCTCATTCAAGGGTTTTTCTTTATTTTGACTATTTTCTACATTGTAGAATAACAGTGAAGATATCAAAACTATAGAATAACTCTCGGGGCTCCCGAGTGGCGCAGCGGTCTAAGGCACTGCATCTCACTGCTAGAGTTGACCCTGGTTCAATTCCAGGCTGTATCACAATCCGGCAGTGATTGGGAGTCCCATAGGGCAGCGCAAAATTGGCCCAGCATCGTCCGGGTTTGGCCGGGGTAGGCCGTCATTGTCAATAAGAATTTGTTCTTAACAGACTTGCCTGGTTAAATAAAAAATTAATGTAGTAACCAAAAAAGTGTCTTCAAAGTAGCCACCCTTTGCCTTGATGACAGCTGTGCACACTCTTGGCATTCTCTCAACCAGCTTTTCCTTCACTCTGCGGTCCAACTCATCCCAAACCATCTCAATTGGCTTGAAGTCGGGTGATTGTGGAGGCCAGGTCATCTGATGCAGCACTCCATCACTCTCCTTCTTGGTCAAATAGCCCTTACGCAGCCTGGAGGTGTGTTTTGGGTCATTGTCCTGTTGAAAAACAAATGATAGTCCCACTAAGCACAACCCAGATGGGATGGTGTATCGCTGCAGAATGCTGTGGTAGCCATGCTGGTTAAGTGTGCCTTGAATTCTAAATAAATCACAGACAGTGTCTCCAGGAAAGCACCCCCACACCATCACACCTCCTCCTCCATGCTTCACGGTGGGAACCACACATGCGGAGATCATCCGTTCACCTACTCTGAGTCTCACAAAGACACAGTGATTGGAACCAAAATCTCAAATTTGGACTCATCAGACCAAAGGACAGATTTCCACCGGTCTAATGTCCATTGCTCATGTTGCTTGGCCCAAGCAAGTCTCTTCTTCTTATTGGTGTCCTTTAGTAGTGGTTTCTTTGCAGCAATTTGACCATGAAGGCCTGATTCACGCAGTCTCCTTTGAACAGTTGATGTTGAGATGTGTCTGTTACTTAAACTCTGTGAAGCATTTATTTGGGCTGCAATCTGAGGCTGGTAACTCTAATGAACTTATCCTCTGCAGCAGAGGTAACTCTGGGTCTTCCTTTCCTGTGGCGGTCCTCATGATAGCCAGTTTCATCATAGCGCTTGATGGTTTTTGCGACTGCACTTGAAGAAACTTTCAAAGTTCTTGAACTTTTCCGTATTGACTGACCTTCATGTCTTAAAGTAATGATGGACTGTCATTTCTCTTTGCTTATTTGAGCTGTTCTTGCCATAATATGGACTTGGTCTTTTACCAAATAGGGCTATCTTCTGTATACCACCCCTACCTTGTCCTAACACAACTGATTGGCTCAAACGCATTAAGATGGAAAGAAATTCCACAAATTAACTTTTAACAAGGCACACCTGTTAATTGAAATGCATTCCAGGTGACTACCTCATCAAGCTGGTTGAAAGGCTACTTTGAAGAATCTCAAATATAACATATATTTTCATTTGTTTAACACTTTTTTGGTTAATACATGATTCCGTATGTGTTATTTCATAGTTTTGATGTCTTCACTATTATTCTACACTGTAGAAAATACATTCTGTAGAAAACTGTAGAAAACACTTTTTACTTCTGCTCTTTTTTTCTCAACACTTTTTTGTTGTTGTTTTATTCTTACTTTTTTGTTTAAAATAAATGCACTGTTGGTTAAGGGCTGTAAGTAAGCATTTCACTGTAATGTCTGCACCTGTTGTATTCGGCGCATGTGACCAATAAAATTTGATTTGATTTGATTTGAATAGTACAAATAAAGAAAAACCCTTGCATCGGTAGGTGTGTCCAAACTTTTGACTGGTACTGTAAGTCATGAACTTAACTTGAAATTATTGGTCATTTGAGCTGTTTGTCAAAAGCTTGACTATAAAAGCTAGACTTGTACAATTTGCTAGTCACCTTATCCAGAGCGACTTACAGGAGCAATTAGGGTTAAGTGCCTTGCTCAACGGCATATCGACAGATTTTTCACCTAGTCAGCTCGGGGATTCAAATCAGTGACCTTTTGGTTGCTGGCCCAACGCTCTTAACCGCTAGGCTACCAGCCTTGAAGCAGTATACTGAAGTCCTATCAAGCAATAAAATCAGCTTTAATAACACTTTCTACCGGATCAAGCCTTCAAATACAATCTAGTGGCACTTTATGACATCAAGTGGCAACTTTGCCCTTTCACATGCTGTAATATGAAGTCACTGACTGACCTCCTTTCCACAGTGTCTTCATTTACGTCTTCAGGCAGATCACTCAGGGTCGCAAGCTGCTTATCATTCTGCTGAGACAGCAGATTGTTAATGTGAGTTATAGTGAGTCTGTCTGGTCTGAAGTGTGTCACGCTCATCAGAGCTGTTGTGTCTGAAGTGGTTGTGTGATGTTGTTGAAGTGTAAGAAATCATTTAGAACTGCTTGTCTTTGTTTTTGCTGGTGTAATGTATATTTCTTTTGAATGTATAGTGTTGATGTTGTTCATTTGTTGTTTTTATGAATTGTGTTGACTGTCTAGAACGTTCTCGCTCTCGCTCTCGCTCTCGCTCTCTGTCTGTCTGTCTGTCTATCGCTCTCTCTCTCTCTCTCTCGCTCACTCCCTTTATTAGGAAGGGAAGGACAAGGCATTCTTGTTGGAGAAGCTACAGAACCTTCAGAAATCCAAGCAGAACAAACCGAAAAAGAAAAAACAGGTGAGAGGATCAAAGAGCAATGACCTTGAGACTATCTAACTTAACTTTGAAACTATCTAACTTAACCTTGAGACTATGTAATTTAACCTTGAGACTATCTAACTTAACTTTGAGACTGTCTAACTTAACCTTGAGACTATCTAACTTACAATAAATACCTAAATACCTTATTTAAAATGTCATACTTTAACTATGACCCTTTCTCTCTATCAGGTCAGGAAAAGACAGGAAAATGAATCCTCCACTGGCATGCTCCAGGCTCTGCTCGCCCGACAGCGGTTGGAGCAAGAGGACGTCGACAGCAGCAGCTCTTTCGGTGTGCCCATGCCTTCCGACCACTCCGTCTCCACCACATCCAGTGCTATGATACAGGCCATGCTAGCCAGAAAACACGCAGAGGACCAGGATGTAGCCAGTTATCGCGGGGTGCCATTTCCTGCAGACCCAGCACCTGCGTCCTCCAGTGCACTGATACAGGCCATGCAAGCCAGACAACACGCAGAGGACCAGGATGTAGCCAGTTATCGCGGGGTGCCATTTCCTACAGACCCAGCACCTGCGTCCTCCAGTGCACTGATACAGGCCATGCAAGCCAGGCAAATGGCAGAGTCACAGAATGAGGACGAGTTTTACCGGGCGCCAGTTCAGTCACAGAACCCAGTAAACGCATTACCCAGTACGATGATACAGGTGATGCAAGCCAGGCAGAGGGCGGAGTCACAGCAGGGAGAGGACGAGTTTTACCGGGCGCCAGTTCATTCAGAACACCCAGTGTCATCAACGTCCAGTGCGATGATGCAGGTCATGCAAGCCAGGCAGAGAGCAGAGGAGGAGGAGAGCGAGTTTTACCGGGCGCCTGCTTCTTCACAGCACCCAGATGCGTCAGGATCTGGTAGTGCTCTGATACAGGCCATGCTAGCCCGACAACAGGTAGAGGAGGAGTATGGTGACAGATACTGAGCATGATCGAGAACTGAACCACTTGGGGAAAAAAGATAGCGGATACAATTGAATTGTGACCAGCTGTAGAAAGCAGAGAAATAGAAGAGATTCTGACTGGCATCAAGAGAGGGCAGGACCACCTCTATGTAGACTGTTTCTATTGGACCTAAAAGAGGGTAGCCAATGGGGTGTGAAAGGATACATCTAATATATGTATTCCCTTTTAATAAAATAACAAATTGTTTTTGTTCTTTCATTTTTGGAAGGAATTGTTTTAATATATTTCTGTACTGTATGTATACATGATATGTGCTTAGCCTGTAAAATAATGTCAATGAATGTTGTATAAATGTATGAAAATTATGATCTGTACTAAATTGTAAATACTATAAAATTGTGATACTGTATGTTCTTCCATGAACAGCACCATCCTCTAGTGGTAGGGAATGAACTTGGTCTGGATGTTCATCAATTAAAGGTGGGTAGATATCAAATATATACTTTGAGAATACATCCAAGTAATTTTTTTGTTCTCAGAGCAAAGCAAAAACAAATATAGAACATAATGAAAGAAAATTACAGCAAATATTTTCTGTACAAAATTAAACGTTCTGAGCTTGCTATGGAAGACAACATAATTTGTTTATTGAGTAATTCATTTCAGAATCCTAAATCCCTATAAGTATACAGTACTTTAAATAGCATACACAGTCATTGGCCGTAATGATACTCAAGTAACATTGGTTTCCAGTGGCCAGTTTTTGTTTTATACGATACTGTCGCAGGCTCTGTCGCAGCCGGCCGCGACCGGGAGACTCATGGGGCGGCAGGTAGCTTAGTGGTTAAGAGCGTTGTGCCAGTAACCGAAAGGTGGCTGGTTCTAATCCCCGAGCCGACTAGGTGAAAGATCTGTCGATGTGCCCTTGAGCAAGGCACTTAACCCTAATTGCTCATGTAAGTCGCTCTGGATAAGAGCGTCTGCTAAATGACTAAAAATAATAAAATAAATAAATAAAAATAAATGGGCGGCGCACAATTGGCCCAGCGTCGTCTAGGGTAGGGGAGGGAATGGCCGGCAGGGATGTAGCTCAGTTGATAAAGCATGGTGTTTGCAACGCCAGGGTTGTGGGTTCGATTCCCACAGGGGGCCAGTATAAATAAAAAAAAATGTAATCACTAACTGTAAGTCGCTCTGGATAAGAGCGTCTGCTAAATGATGTAAATGTAAATGTAAATGTACTGAGTAATGTGCAGTAAACTTACCACTGAGGCATAACAAACTATGTAACTTCAAGAGGAAAAGAATACACATTTTACAGTGATTCCACAGATCAAAACCATTATACTTTACGCCATTTATTTACATTTGTATAGGTATGTGTTATAGGCACAGTATACTCTGCAAACAAAACAAAAAAGTATTTTATCCCCTGCTGTTTTTGTACATTTGCCCACTGACAAATAAATTATCAGTCTATAATTTTAATGGTAGGTTTATTTGAACAGTGAGAGACAGAATAATAACAATAACAAAATCCAGAAAAAAGCATGTCAAAAATTGTTATAAATTGATTTGCATTTTAATGAGGGAAATAAGTATTAGACCCCTCTGCAAAACATGACTTAGTACTTGGTGGCAAAACCCTTGTTGGCAATCACAGAGGTCAGACGTTTCTTGTAGTTGGCCACCAGGTTTGCACACATCTCAGGAGGGATTTTGTCCCACTCCTCTTTGCAGATTTTCTCCAAGCCATTAAGGTTTCGAGGATGACGTTTGGCAACTCGAACCTTCAGCTCCCTCCACAGATTTTCTATGGGATTAAGGTCTGGAGACTGGCTAGGCCACTCCAGGACCTTAATGTGCTTCTTCTTGAGCCACTCCTTTGTTGCCTTGGCCATGTGTTTTGGGTCATTGTCATGCTGGAATACCCATCCACGACCCATGGCCCCATCCATCGTCCCTTTGATGCGGTGAAGTTGTCCTGTCCCCTTAGCAGAAAAACACCCCCAAAGCATAATGTTTCCACCTCCATGTTTGACGGTGGGGATGGTGTTCTTGGGGTCATAGGCAGCATTCCTCATCCTCCAAACACAGCGAGTTGAGTTGATGCCAAAGAGCTCCATTTTGGTCTCATCTGACCACAACACTTCACCCAGTTCTCCTCTGAATCATTCAGATGTTCATTGGCAAACTTCAGACGGGCATGTATATGTGCTTTCTTGAGCAGGGGGACCTTGCGGGCGCTGCAGGATTTCAGTACTTCACGGCGTAGTGTGTTACCAATTGTTTTCTTGGTGACTATGGTCCCAGCTGCCTTGAGATCATTGACAAGATCCTTCCGTGTAGTTCTGGGCTGATTCCTCACCGTTCTCATGATCATTGCAACTCCACGAGGTGAGATCTTGCATGGAACCCCAGGCCGAGGGAGATTGACAGTTATTTTGTGTTTCTTCCATTTGCGAATAATCGCACCAACTGTTGTCACCTTCTCACCAAGCTGCTTGGCGATGATCTTGTAGCCCATTCCAGCCTTGTGTAGGTCTACAATCTTGTCCCTGACATCCTTGGAGAGCTCTTTGGTCTTGGCCATGGTGGAGAGTTTGGAATCTGATTGATTGCTTCTGTGGACAGGTGTCTTTTATACAGGTAACAAGCTGAGATTAGGAGCACTCCCTTTAAGAGTGTGCTCCTAATCTCAGTTTGTTACCTGTATAAAAGACACCTGGGAGCCAGAAATCTTTCTGATTGAGAGGGGGTCAAATACTTATTTTCCTCATTAAAATGCAAATCAATGTATAACATTTTTGACATGCGTTTTTCTGGATGTTTTTGTTGTTATTCTGTCTCTCACTGTTCTAATAAACCTACCATTAAAATTATAGACTGATCATTTCTTTGTCAGTGGGCAAACGTACAATATCAGCAGGGGATCAAATACTTTTTTCCCTCACTGTAGCTATATTTTGCAGTCCACATTCTTAAAATACGAGTTAAAAGCCGACTGTCACCCCTGCCTAATTTCAAATTTAGTAAGGCTAATAGCATGCAAAAATATAACATAAACAGTCCTATGATGTTCCAGGTAAATCTGAGGGCATTCTAATACAAATCTTGTTTAAAGGGGTAATCTGCAGTTGCGTCATCCATTTTTGGATGTATAAATGAATGATATGTAATCATTAATTCTTGAAGAATATAACTTATAAATGCCTCATGAGCTTAGTTCAACTGTCATACCTCATCAGAACCGAAAATATAAGCTTGTTTTACAAAGTAAATGTAAACAAACACTATATAGCCTCAAAACATGGTTACAACTATAATTTTGATATCATGGATATTCAGTCCTTGCATCCATAGCTCTGTCTATGAATTTGAGAGTGGTAACATTTCTCCAGCTCCATGCCTCAGCTTTTTACCAAAACAGGGGCGGGGAAAACACTTTGTTATTGTTTCAACTGCTGATTGCTGCTTTAATAGTTTGGCCTTTTCTGGTTTCTGGGAAATAATTGTGTCAGATCATGTAGTTGTATGATCAGTGTGTACAAGGCTGTCTTTCCATGACTATCAATGCCCAAACTGGGAAGAAGGGAGTGAATTTCCTGGCTCAATTAAGGCAGTGATGAATTCAACCAGATGGAACTGATTCAGTTGCTACAGAATCCCCAATAGACCCAACACAGACAACGGACCACAATTGAACAGCAGTTACTTTTGACACATCCCAGCGGGCAAAACTAGTTAAAATGATGTTGAAATAACATCAGCACAACCAGAAACTGGTTAAGAATGACATAATTGTGACAAAATGTGAACCATTTGTAACCAATTTTTCCCGCTGGGATCCCTCCCTTCAGCACTGGTCTTCCCCCAGAGTGTCTGGTACCTCACTCAGGTCTAACGACGCTGCCGGTATGTGTGTCATAATACCAGTGCTATATGGGGTCTGTGTGTACACCTCCACAGTTTGGGAGATGGAGTGTAGGGAGTGATCGCGGTAGTATCCCAACGTCTCCCGCGCCTGCTCCTTGCGGATGCTCTGCTCGAAGGTCTTACGTTTGTGTCGGAACTCGATGACAGTCTTGGTGTAGGAGTTGAGGGTAGTGACTGATGCACCCATGCAGCAGGTGAAGGATGCCCAGGCCATGCTGGAAAACAGGAAATGGAATAGATGGAAGAGATAGAGGAGAGGAAAATGATGGGGACATAGAGAGAAAAAAGCAAGGAAGAGTCAATTAAAGGTGCAATCTGCATATTTAGGCCTATCGTTGTTCATGGTCAGTTCATAGGGCAGCTGTTTGAATGAAAAACAAATTTCAAATGACTTTAAAACAAACAAATGGCTTAAAACAAACAAATGGCTTTAAAAGCTAAAAAATGTTAAATACCAAAGTTATCAATCACTTGACAACAGCTCAAATAATTCAGACAAATATTACACAAAGAAATAGGATGTTTTGATGAAACAGTGCAAAATACTGTGGAAAACATATAATCATTTTGAGTTTGGGGATTTTTGGCATACTTTTTGTAAATATGATTATTCCCATGTAAAAAAATGGAAGGATCATAGTTTTGCATGATTACTGTCAATCTGTCAATCCCAATAGGGTAGTATGTCAATATGGATACATCCCAATGTAATAGGCCACTACTGTGCAGTAGTCTATACATTGTAGCTCCCATATTCATTCACTGCACATGTTATAATCCAGAGCTATGTCACAATGGTCAAGATGTTCTGCCTGGAAGATTAACATTCTGAACATACAGTGTACATATGTCTATGTGGGCTACACTTCACCCTTGATCCCCTTATGCAATTTTCCAATCGCATCTACCATATATATATTGGGGCTTTGGGACACCAAAGCCTAATCCGCCTGGTAACATGAGAGCTTTGGGGTTTTCATTATTGACGCTACGTAGGGAGACACAGAATTTCACTACACCCGCAATAACATCTGCTAAATATGTGTATGTGACCAATACAATTGGATTTGATTTGAATTGCGTGTTTGTGTGTGTGTACCCTACCAGAAGGACCAGCCATAGTCCCAGTTATAGGGCCTCCAGTCTGCAGGGCCCAGGGTGACTGTCACCTGAAACACCTGTGTGTACATCATGTGGGCCACCATACCCAGGAGACCTGGAAATACACAGATACCGGAATACATTTAGATGTTTAGTGTACATGTAGGCGCGCACACACATACACTTACACATACATGCATACACATACACATGTACGTGAACACACACACATACACGCATGTACACAGGCATACAGACACACACACACTTGCTTACGCACGGGCACACACACACATGCCAGGAACTTGTGACCGCTGTGACGGTGACTTTTCAAAATCCCTCTCTGATAGCTGATGCTTCTACATTCGGAGAGGTTGCAGGTTATTTCCAAGTCAATACGTACAAAATGAACTTCTCTACTTGCTAGCTTCACTTTTCATCATGTTCACCACCTTCTAATACTTTTTCCATGTCTGCTAGTGTCAACAATTGCATAGTACTGTATACAAGTATTTCTGTGTTTGTTTAGTTTGCTCCACAGATTTCACATAAATAGGGCCAGGAGTTTTTCCCAGACCAGACTCAACAACAGATAGCATGTGACGTAACATATATAATTCAACAAAAATCTAAATGTGTCATGAACAGAAAGAAATCTGAGCTCTATAGTTGTCAGGAGTTTTTCCTGGTCAGGTCATGTGGTCTGGGACAACTCCTGGCCCTTACACATGAAACAATAGCCTGGTCCCAGATCTGTTTGTGCCGTCTTGAAGAGGTTGTTTTAAACTGTTCCTCTGTACCTGAGAGGACGGTGAAGACAGCAGCGAAGGCGTTCAGTTTCAGTCCATCTATCATGTTGCTGGTGCTGGAGTGGACCAGTTCTAGACACATAAGGCTGAAGCCCACTATCAACAGGACTATGTACAGCATCTCAGAGACCACAGACAGCCATAGGACACCTGCAACAAACAAGGGTATTGGAAATCAGTGAGCAATTTTTTATAACCATGATATGATGTCGAATTTGAATCGCTGATAGTATTCTCATAATGATATCTCATGGTTGTGGAGAATAGGGTTGATTTCTTTGATCGTGTATGCTTCACCCATCTGTTTCATTCATAAATCATAGGACTGTATTTGACAGGTGCCTATTTGAAGTACTGTCATGGACACTAAACGTTTTATTCCCCAAAAAGTAATTCCTGATGTCTGACGATTGTGTCCTAACTTAACTCGGGTACAAGTTTGTCTGTTTTAGTTTTTGGTCTCTGCCTATCTTACATCTCTTACATCATTTCTGACATCCATAGTGAGAACAGACCTGTTGATAATATATCTCAGGACCGAAAGGCCACTCAAAACCAATTAATGTAATTCATCTCTGAAGCTAAAAGTATCAGGAATCTTCTCAGGCCTTCCAGCGAGTCAAACCCTCACTCTGTCTCGCTACGAGACAGGTTGGAGTCAGACATCTCTTCCTACCTCGCCTGTCTGCTATTAATCCTTCTTGACACTTCATTGCAGGAAGTGAACATTGGCTGGTACCAGTATTTCCCCCGAGACGCTGTCAACGGGATAGGACGGAGGGTCAGGGGCGTTGGCGGGGATGGGGTTGGGGATGGAATGTACCAAGACTGAGACAGTGCCTTGTTTCATTATGGAATTTTGGTGATTTGGTGGTCCTTAACTTTGGTGGTACTTAGCTTTGGAGACAGTATGAACACTGTACAGCGTTCTTATTACTGTAGAAGTATTCTTGTGAGTAGAGTATAGCAACAAAGTCGGCTATACGAACAATGCAAAGTACAATTTGCTCATGGATCATTTCACAGCTGTCATCATAACGTTCTCCTTCGACAGAGTGGGTGTGACCATAGCAACCCCACATCCCGTGTCCCTGACAACACAGCGGATGATGCCAAGGTTGTTTGAGAACATAAGCCACAGTACGTCTGGAATAGGGATGAGTTTATATTACCTCCTGTACATCAAGGCTGATATAGTCAATACATCAATCAACTATTGTGATGTCAATGTTCAAGTTTAATGAATATGCAAAAAGTATACCAGAGATACAGAACAAGTTGTAATAACTAGTGTAAAACCAAAGCTTATAGATAGATGATCTGATGTAAAAAGCATTTAGTTATAAGTCTCACAGGAGAACTTTCTCAAGAATGTTCATTAAAAACAATCAGTAGAAGCATATGGGTGGATTTTTCATTTTGAAGCTCAATTAAATCTACTCTGCCTTCCTTCCTTCCTTTTTAATATATTAACAAAGAAAGTCACACCAATCCTATTGCTCCATGCATTACTTTAATCTGCAACATTGGTAGCAGTTAAATACTTCATATTGTTCTTTATATCCAAATTCAGACACAATTAAAGTTAATCAAATTAAACTTTGATGATGTGGTATGTTCATATTTAATATACATGAGGGGGAAAAGATTGTGTCAAAATGTAATTTCCTCAATTGGAACAACAAAGGCCAACAAAGTAACTAAATATAAGAAGGCAGATAAAACTTGATGCAGCCACAGCACCCTGCAAACATCTCCTGTATGGTGGTGTCATGACAGCCATTGTTATAACATTTGAGCAGCTAAAGACGACATTTGAGTGCAAGATGGCAGTTGAGACAGGATGCAGACCCCTTCATACCGCAAGAGTATAGCTCAACATCCTTTTATACTTTATGCAACCCTGTAGACCAGGGGTCTTCAACCAGTTTTTTGCCCAGGGACCCCCTCCCAGGCAAACCGGCGACCCAGGGAACCCCATCATACGTTAGCAAAAAATGTGCTGTCTTGTCTTATCATTAGGTGAATGATAATGGGAAGGGCAAGTACTCAAAAAAATTTATGAATAGATTTGGTAGATCGTTTTTCATTATTTTGACTAAGAGCAGCTGTTTAGCTGATTAAACAAAGGTTAGCCATGTGTTGGCAAAAGTGAATGTCCAAGTCAAGAAAGCTTACCATCAGCCTGCGGCACTTGCTGCACTGGTTTTCCAAAGCCTACATCAGATACTCCAGTGAGTGTAATTAGCTCCAAGGAGTGTAATTTGCTCAATATTAGGAGTTGAGAAATAAAGTAGATATTCTCTTCTTTTCTACTGTAGGTATGTAATTGAAAATGAGTTTATTCTGTTATTCATAAAAACATCCTCTTCCCCAGGGGTGGACTGGCCATCTGGCATTTTTGGCAAATGCCAGATGGGCTGGTCCATTTTTTGCCAAGTGGGTCTGTCTAACTTTTTTTTTTTCACAATATGATCATTATCTGGCTAATAATGGGGGCCTGAAGAAAAATATGGGCTGGTGTGGGGGCCTCAAGGAAAAAAATGGTCCGGTGTGTTAGAAATGCCAGGGCCGATTTCTGGTCCCAGTCTGCCCCTGCTCTCCCTCTATATGTAATCTTCTTGGTATGGGGGATGTACAGCTCTATAGCAGATATGTTTACCTCCTGATGTATGCAGTGATCACTCACCTCTCTCCGAAGCCGGAGCCAGATCGATAAAGCTCCTGCATTTCTCACCTGGAACGAATGGAGAAAATGTAGTTTCATATCAAGCTGTAATACATCGCATGGGTACTTCAGGGTCACAATTCACTCAGAGTATCCTGTCTAGTTGACTTGATTTTTGAAATTTGTGGAAGTTCAAAAGTTCAAGAAGAGACACATTGCATGCTTGGCATGGAGAAAGGGAAAAGCCCAAAAATGAAAGAAGTAAAATACAAGCAAAGTTCACTGGATTCTAGCCACAAATCATTCAGAGTATCTATTAGCCTACAATTGTACGAATAATCTATTTTAGGTGAGGTTCAAAAGTTCAAGAAGAGACACACTGCGAGCTTGGCATGCAATATAGATTAAATAGCCTACAAGCAGCTTCAAGGCACACACAAGTTATTCAGATTATTTAGTCTACTTGATTGTACCCACTGGACAAAAACTGGTTGAATCAACATTGTTTCCACGTAATTTCAACAACAAACAATAAATGTGATGAAGTCATTTCAACAACAAAAAATCAATGTGATGACGTTGAATCAACGTGGAAAACTGATTGGATTTGCAGAAAGTCATCAATGTAAGGCAATGTAATCTTTTTTTTCACCCAACTTTTAACCTAAATCCAATGTCATGGTGAAATGTTTTGATGATTTCATGGTGAATTCACAGTAGTTGACAACTCAACCAAATGTCAATCAAAACTAGACTTTGAAATGACATCTGTGCCCAGTGGGTATTTAAGAGGAAATGTGTGTTGTTCAAAATAAATAGTGACGTGTGCTTGGCATGAGCAAAGCAAAGAGACAAAACTGCAAATCAAGAGGTCAGAAACAAGCAGAAGATCATGTTCAACACATTGAGAGTAGCCTATCTAGTCTAATGCATCGGTAGAAGCTATTTTAGAGGAAAAAGGTTAAAAGTTCAACCATCGCGTGCTTTGCATGAGAAAGGGCACAGCGAGGTCAAGGACAAGAAGCCAGAGTTCACAGAGGTCAATGACTTTACCATCACCACAGAGCTTCCAGTTCAATCCTTCCCAAATGACATCCTTCTGGTACTTCTTCTTCCAGGACATTACTGGGACCTTCTAGGATCCTATAAGACCTTATGTCACCTGATCAACACTTGATAGCATGATGCACTTATTCATCCACCCATCCCTCCCTCCTTTCCTCCCCTCTTCCAGGCGTGATTTATTATTTCCGTCAGCTGTCTATTGTAGCCGCCCGCCGCGGCTGCTGGATTTGTCGTAAATCTAATGCATAATCAGGTATCAGGAAGATGGTGACAGATGTTTAGAGGAAAAACTCATCAAGGGCCGTTATGTAATCCTTATTAGTTAACTCAAGCTGTGTGTGTGTGTGTGTGTGTGTGTGTGTGTGTGTGTGTGTGTGTGTGTGTGTGTGTGTGTGTGTGTGTGTGTGTGTGTGTGTGTGTGCACGCCTGTGTATGTGTACAGTCCCAGACCTGATGAGACAACATGCTCCAAGTTTTTATTCTTGCATAAACTGTGGTGCTTTCTTTATGTTCTTAATGTCTCTTTAATATGCTATCACCAGACCAGGTCTACTGTATTCAACCAGAAGCTCTGATCCTGATAACTGATGCAGTACCTGGAAGTCCAGACCGATGTTTGGAGATGGGAAAGCTGCCATTTTTCCTGTTTTAAAGGTGGGAATGTTGCAAAATGTTCTTGATTGAGTCAGACTCAGTGTAACTAATCTAGCTATATAATCTCCTGAGACACCTTTGACTTAATGGTGTTGTCATTCCCATGGTAACAACGCTTACGCACGCATGTCATCGGATCCAGATGTTGCACTTTCACCTTGTGCATTTGTTTAGACTCAAGAGTAAAGCTGTGTGACGTTTTTACTTCTTGGTACAGACATTCAGTTTACCCTATAGACCTGTAGGGAGGGAGACTGCTAGGGTAGACTATTAGTACCCTATAGACCTGTAGGGAGAGAGACTGCTAGGGTAGACTACTAGTACCCTATAGACCTGTAGGGAGAGAGACTGCTAGGGTAGACTACTAGTACCCTATAGACCTGTAGGGAGAGAGACTGCTAGGGTAGACTACTAGTACCCTATAGACCTGTAGGGAGGGAGACTGCTAGGGTAGACTATTAGTACCCTATAGACCTGTAGGGAGAGAGACTGCTAGGGTAGACTATTAGTACCCTATAGACCTGTAGGGAGAGAGACTGCTAGGGTAGACTACTAGTACCCTATAGACCTGTAGGGAGAGAGACTGCTAGGGTAGACTACTAGTACCCTATAGACCTGTAGGGAGAGAGACTGCTAGGGTAGACTACTAGTACCCTATAGACCTGTAGGGAGAGAGACTGCTAGGGTAGACTACTAGTACCCTATAGACCTGTAGGGAGAGAGACTGCTAGGGTAGACTACTAGTACCCTATAGACCTGTAGGAAGAGAGACTGCTAGGGTAGACTACTAGTACCCTATAGACCTGTAGGGAGAGAGACTGCTAGGGTAGACTACTAGTACCCTATAGACCTGTAGGAAGAGAGACTGCTAGGGTAGACTATTAGTACCCTATAGACCTGTAAGAAGATAGACTGCTAAGGAAGACTACTAGCAGAGCCAGTAGGGACCCTTTCTAAGAGCACTAAGCTCATGTCCCCTAAACTTCTTCCCAAGGGGTCACTGTACTGTAACTCGAAACTCCCATCCCATGTTCCAATGATTGTTATGCAGGGATAAACTGCTCTTTAGGCTATCCAATACTTCAGAGTTTAATTGTGTGTGTGTGTGTGTGTGTGTGTGTGTGTGTGTGTGTGTGTGTGTGTGTGTGTGTGTGTGTGTGTGTGTGTGTGTGTGTGTGTGTGTGTGTGTGTGTGTGTGTGTGTGTGTGTGTGTGTGTGTGTGTGTGTGCATGTGTGTGCAAAAATCTAATCAAGCCTTTATAGATCCTTGTCTATTTCTGAATTTCCAGGGTGTTCTTTTCGAATGGCAAGAATGCCTGTTTAGAAACCGGTATTGATAGAATAGTTTGAACACACACACCTGCAAACCTCCTTCCTATAAATATCCATATAGTTTCAGTCTTTACACTCCAGAGACATCACTATAATTAATTGACAACAATATGCGACAACGTCATTAACAACAACACCTCATCACCTCACCTTCATCATGGATATTCTCCGCACAGGAGAACCAGATCCCGGTGTGGAACTGTCTGAATAGGAAACGGTCGTCCCCCGTTTCCCAACTGTACACCACTACTTTGGGGTCCGTCTCGTTCACTCCATAATCGATGCAGTTGTGCGTGCGGAGTTTAGTGCACTTCGGCTTGGGGACGCGCTGCGTGCCGACGCACCAGTATGTTGTGATGAAAGCAGTTATTGAGAAAAAGAGCGCTAAAAGAATCATACTAACGGACAGCAGTGCCCTGTACTTGCGAGTGGTCTTCATTGTCCATCCATAGGTATCTGAACTTATTAGATAACTCATTCACAATCCATCCAATATGAAACAAAACAGGTAACGAAAAAGCTCCACCGAAAATAAGTTTAAACTGAAGTGCAACATGTCTGCAAAAAACAAAAACATCTTGGCACTCCAAACCGTTGACTTGAAATGACTCTCCCGACCCGATTTGACCAAATGCAAAATCTGAGTTTGAATTCAGCTTCAATCTATCATTATCATCTGTCCGAGTCGTTGGCCATTAGATCCCTTTCACACGAAGTGCCCCGAAAGGACACTCATCCATTCCCCGAGGGATTGTCACGTTGTCAAAAGATTTGAAGAGCTTGTTCGCACAAAATCTGTGGGATTTGGGTCGGTGATGCTCGCCTTCAATCTGTTCTCTCTCTCTCTCTCTCTCTCTCTCTCTCTCTCTCTCTCTCTCTCTCTCTCTCTCTCTCTCTTTTTTTTTTTTCTCTCTCTCAGAGATGATGACATTGCAGTTTATTGATAGCATATTTTATAGTTTGTGTGAACAATAATCAAACCATAGCATCTGACTGGGAATCTGATCAAAAGTATTTCTTATCTTTCAAATACAGTACTTTGACTGAGCCTGTCTGGGTTGGAGTGCCAGATGGGCAGGGTTTTCACGCAGGGTTTTCACTTTTGGGACTATTCCATTGGCAATACCTGAATTATAACATCAATACAACATACAACACAAGCCTACCGTAGCCTACCATAAAGTCTATCTATATAGCCATTATTCAGTGTTACCATTAAGTCTTCAACTTGATAAGTGTTACCATAAAGTATATCACAATGTTCTGCAAAGAGGGCTCTGTTCTAATTGAAGTGCCACAACCACAGCCAATGGGTAATCACTCAAACCTCTCACTCTATCTCCCTTTCCCCCCTGACAGTGTAAAAGCCAACACACTATCACAGTTTATTGTGAAATAGACACAAATTACTTATTGGAAATTCGTGAGGCACATGAAAAAGTCCACTGTGTGTATTACACGATTTTCTTTCTTCATAACGCTTCCTTCCTTCCTTCCTTCCTTCCTTCCTTCCTTCCTTCCTTCCTTCCTTCCTTCCTTCCTTCCTTCCTTCCTTCCTTCTTCGTGTGCCTATCACAAATTTCCAATAAGCAATTTGTTTTCACAATAATCTGTGATACTGGGTTGGTAAAAACAGTGGCACAGCAGCTCTTCTCATTTTTACTCTTGAGAGATAGCACGCTCACATGAGACACTGATTGGATAAGCTACAACAGATAAAGCCAGGATACTTCACCCAAAATGTGTGTGCTTGTGTGTGACAGAGAGTGTGTGTGTCAGAGAGAGAGAGAGAGAGAGAGAGAGAGAGTGTGTGTGTGTGTGTGTGTGTGTGTGTGTGTGTGTGTGTGTGTGTGTGTGAATGACGTTGGTGGAATTCAACAGTTATTCTGATACATTATGGTGATCACGAAGCAGCACCACTAATGACAGAGGAAGATATCTTGATTGCAGTACTTATGAGGCATTATTTCAAAGTTTCAAAGAGCTTAGCGTGGTATTATAAATAGACTATGTACAGTAGGAAACATGGATTGGGGTTAGGTTGGAGTACACAGGAGGCTGCTGAGGGGAGGACAGCTCATAATAATGGCTGGAACGGAGCAAATGGAATGGCATCAAACACCTGGAAACCATCCGTTTAATATAGTTGATACCGTTCCACCCATTCCCCTCCAGCCATTACCATGAGCCCGTCCTCCCCAGTTAAGGTGCCACCAACCTCCTGTGGTGGAGTAAATGTCTAGACAGTCAGTGACAGGTTTGTACGTAGACTATATTTAGTAGGTAGGTCCTACCTACACCCGCTGGTTCAAAGCGCTCGTCATTCTTTCCATACAGAACTTATTTGGTCAGTATTCCATCACATTAGTGACCCGACTCCCCTTGTATAGGAGGCATCTGTACTCAGTGCAAATAGGCCATTATTGTATAACCCATATTACATACATTATGCTTACATAACATGTCTAGGATATACATTGAAATGGCACACGTATGGCCAACTGTATGTGGCAGATAGGACGGATTCACATTTTGATTGCGCTCACATATACTGCACATATAATAAGACAAAAACACTTTCTTACAGCTTTGGCTCTAAGCTTTGATACAATTTGTCAAGAAAGATAGAAATGGTCCACGCACGCACACATAGTTGAATGATAAAACAGGAAATCAAATGTCCTAGACACGCAAATATCAATCATCAACACATGCAAAGCTTAAATATGCTGCAAAATGGATAAATTGACGCAGGGGAGATTCGACAATGAAAAACGATTGTTCGGTTGAATAATGCTCAAGCCATGTCAAAAGCTGTCAATCCTGAGACCTCACATTAAATACCCATGCAATTTATAGCCCAACATATGGAGACACACACACACATACGAGCTTAAAAGGTCGCCGTTATGTTATGCAGGAGTGTCTATATCACAAGCGGATTACTGCATATAAATCATGATGTTGCATGACATTTTTTTATCCACCAGCCCTGCCATTTTTAAAGCATATGTGCTTCCAAAGTCCAAAGAGGTAAGAGCATCAACATTGTAAACACGGATATGAGATGCATCCCAAATGGCACCCTATTCCCTAAATAGCCCTATGGGTCCTGGTCAAAAGCAGTGCACTATATAGGGAATAGATTGCCCTTTGGTTCTCAGCCATAGACATGGGGCTTCACTTGTGTTTGGCTGTTTGACTTCCATTTGAAGCTGATAGATGGAGGGGAATTAGTCTCAACAGATAGACCACGGATTAGTATAATCTGCACTTCACAGACCCTCGAAATCAAACTGTCTGACTGGGTGTGCAGGGCACTTTAGAATCAGCTTCTAGAACAGTGTGTGTTTGTCACAGGCTTTATTGTTGTTTTGTGTTTTGATGTGATTGTGTATGGGGTTTTAATGTGCTGTGGGACATTGGGTGTGAGAGTGGAAATGGCAATTGTTTTTGTTGGATGGATTTGTGATAGTTATTTTTCCAATCTTGAATGCAGTGGAAATGGCAATTGTTTTTGTTGGATGGATTTGTGATAGTTATTTTTCCAAACTTGAATGCGGATCAATTTTGCTCACTGCCCGGTGAAGCGACTGATTTGATCATCAAGTCCCTTTTAAGTAAATCACCAGAACATTACCATTGATGAGGATGAGATGAACTAGCCAGACCATTAAGACCAGATACCAGGAAACTCTGAGCCGATACAGGAATCAGGGGTCAGCTACACTATGAACCAGACAGCTTCCCTTTGAACCCTAGCTCATCTGTGTGAATGAGGATGTTCTCACCATAGAGATCCTATGTCATAAACCCTTGAAGTTCCAGAATGCTAGTATTCTAATTCCTAATTCTATGGTTCTCACACTTCCACTAAAGGCATATACACCCTACATTTACGTCATTTAGCAGACGCTCTTATCCAGAGCGACTTACAGTTAGTGAGTGCATACATTATAATTTTTTTAATACTGCCCCCCCGTGGGAATCATACCCACAACCCTGGCGTTGCAAACGCCATGCTCTACCAACTGAGCTACACCCTAGGCTCGCTTGCCAGGGACAAAAAATGTGAATATGGTATCCGTCTACACAGACCAGAGAAATGGAAGGATTAATGATTCTCTGGTATTGCTGATCTATTTGACACATTTCTATGACACAGAAACACATACAAAAACAATAATGAGGGAAACGCATAAAATACATATCAGCTGGTGAATAAGGTTGTCTTGACATACTTTATATGCATAGCATTAAGAAACAATCAGTCAGACTAAATCAATCAATTATGTTCCCTTTTTTACAGTAAGTACAAGTGTTAACATCAGGAACAGACTAGAGTAGACGAGTGAAAGAACAGTGATGATGGGTTTCGGGTTAAGTAGGACAAAATGCCAGATGGTGCGAAAACAGATATGTGGAAAAAGTGGTCAGTGGATTAGACTATGTAAAAGACGTGTTAGAAAGAAATTGGCGTTTTGTTTTATACACTAAAGTTTTTCATTGAACTTCCAGTCTTTCTGTATTCACAAGGATTAACAGTAGCACTACAAGGATAGATCGACAAATTCATCAGAACATTATTTAATTTAATCATTATTTAGGGGAATTTTCTTGGAAAATACAAAACTATAGGACGTTATCAAGCGCATTAAAATATTTAAAGCGTCTCGAGCAGTAATCATTGACCAAACTGCTACAGTAGCTACATGCCTTAGCACAGACAAACAAGCACAACAAATTATAAACATTAGCCAAATTATTATTATTCCAGGTGAGAGGGAATGTAAGAACTGTGATGAATATCCCCAGAAGGCTCAACTGAGGATGCCTGGTCCCAGATCTGTTTGTGCTGTATAAGCCAACTCCTACGGTCATTGTCAAGGCATGAAAAACTGATCTGGGATCAGGCTACAACTGAGGTGCAGTATGGCTTTTCCAGTATGGGGGAGAAGTTCATGTCAATCACAATATTAGGGATGCAAAATTCCGGAAAGGATTTTAAACCATCATACGCCATATGTGGGGAATGGAAATGTTACTAGGTCCCTATATTAATACAGGAATGTCTCTCTTTCTCATCCGTCTCTCCTTTCGCGATCTTCACTTTGGTAGCCTCGTAAACCAGACGTATCGTGAAGTGAAACAGAACAGTGGGCATATCCGTCTGGTTACGAGGCTATCACTTTGGTCCCTGGCTGGGGAATTTAAGCGGCGCTCGACACGGCCAGCTTCTTCAAGTGGTCCATGAAGACCTGTAGACTGACGTCGTCTGTGAGGATGGGGGCTCCGGTCTCCTAGAGAATGAGAAGAGATAGAAACGCGATGAGTATGGTGAAATACTAGAGTAAAGCTTTCTGCCGTTGGATCAGATCCAAAATGGCCAGTAGAACAGAGACAGATGTTCCATGAAGCTCTACCACTTCTAAGACTAGAATTCCTTAAAAATAAATACAATTGATTCCCCATGATGAAACTCCAGCCTTGACATCACCTATTTCCAAATCAAGTCCAGTTTGTCACAGCTGTTATTGTGCATAAAAACTGGTTCTCAGTTTACAGTTTGAAGATTTAATGAATGAATGAAATGTTCTATTACCTGTCCCCAGGCGTAGAGGTTGTTGTGTGTCTGGGAGGGGTTGACCTTGGACAGGAGGAAGCGGGCCTGGGACCCTCCGTGCTCTGTGTCGATGTACCGGGGCATGGGGAAGCGGGTCTGCAGGATCTCCTGGGCGTCATCCAGGGGTGCTACCAGTAGATGTTTGAAGTTCTCGTACTCCGGCTGCTCCTGGTAACCTGCCTTTCGCCACTGGGCGATGGTCTGGTGGAGAGATGGAGATACAACGGGGTTAAGGTCATGGTAGGATGTTGTGTGCTGGTGTTAGTCGTGCCAGCTCTGTTTGTCGGCTAATCTATTTTTTGTTGTTTGTGAGAAAAATCTATAATATATGTTGAGAATAGAAAATGATAAGACATTGTGAATGAATTAACATAACACATCTAGAAATATGTATCCCATTTCTTCAAACCCATCACGTCATGTAGGTACATACACACGTGTTGTTTCTAGTTGTAATATTGTTAGTGATTTACATTGTTGTTTATGCTCTATATGATGTTTAGTTTGTGATGCTAGGAAACCATGAATAATTGTTATTATTACAGCACAGTAGTGGTGTTCCAGCTACTAATAACTAGCATTAGACCACTAGCGCTGTTGTTGTCCTGTGTGACCGCTCACCTCTCCATGGTAGATGACCAGCTGGAAGAAGGTGTCCATGAGGAGGATCCGGTCTGGGAGAATACTGCCACTGTCCAGGAGAACAGGCTGTAGAACAGACAGACGGGACACAACATGATAAGTCTCACATCTAATTTTTACAGAGAAAGGTAGTGTGTAACACATTGAGCATGTGAATAATTGACCAAACTATTGATTAGAATTCAATTCAATATCTAAATAATTGATTGGTCGCGTACACATATTTTGCAGATATCACAGGTGCAGCGAAATGCTTATGTTTCCAGCTCCAACAGTGCAGTAATACTGAACAATTCACACAAATCCCAAAAATGAAAAGAAAGAAATATCAATAAGAAATAACACCCCAAGAAATACTGCAGAGTTGGCTAGGAGCTAGAAACAGGGCGCCAGCTAGTACATAGAAATATAGTATATAGAAACAGTGTGTGTCATGATACTACTTCTATAATATTCTACTGTATCTTAGTCCATGCTGGTCTGACATCGCTCGTCCATACATGTATATATTCTTAATCCATTCCTTACTTAGATTTGTGTGTATTGGGTATATGTTGTGAAATTGTTAGATATTACTGCACTGTCGGAGCTAGAAGCACAAGCATTTCGCTACACCTACAATAACATCTGCTAAACACGTGTATGTGACCAATACATTTATTTGATTTAGTGTGTCTGTCCATATTATTTGGGAGGAGTCTGACCTCTGGTGGTCCGTGGAAAGAGTAGGAATAAAGGATTGGTTGGATCATAATGAGAGACTGCGTCAGGTCCTGGCGGACAAAATGGTGTCTGTAGTAGGAGCATTCATCTGGACTGTTGTTGAACACCTGCAGGAACGGCGACCGCCGCAGGTGGAACATAAACTAGAGGGAGGAGGGAGGAGTTATTATAATGATTACAATCAAATATGCTTTTTTTGAGATCCCCAAAAATATTTGTAGATATTTGGGATATTGCTTCTAGCATCATCAAATGTTCATGTACATATCCCATTGACGTCAACTAAGCTAAGTGAAAGTTATGAGTATCTGTGTAATGGGAATATTTAGTGGGAAACGAACCCACAACCCTGGCGTTGCAAACGCCATTCTCTACCAACTGAGCTACACGGTAACACTGCCTTTTGTTTCAACGTCATACAAGCCTCTGGCCTCTGGCTGGTGTTGAAAGTTGTCTGCTGATTAGCATATAAGGGCCTTCTCAGAGAAGGTCCAATTAGACATTTTTCTCTGCTTCTGTGCTGGGTGGTGTTAGGGGATACAGCCCTTGACTAGTTTTTCATGTACATATATACCATTTGACATAAATATCTTGTTTTTTTGCTAAAGTTATAGGTAAGCATGTATATAATCAATTAAGGATTCAGATCTCGACAAGCTAGTTAAATCTATTCCAGTGCTACTCTATTAAAAGGATTTGTATTGAAGGGATTTTATTGAATAGCTCGTGTAATTCCAGAGTGTACCACCTGGTGTCAGTCTTTTATTGAATAGCTCATGTAGTTCCAGAATGTACCACTAAGTGTCAGTCTTACCTGTGGGTAGAGTGAGAGGGACTCCGAGAGCTTGAAGGAGGTGGGGTCATCTTTGTTGAACTGACCGAATTTCTGACACTGTAACCAAGGAGACAAGACAAATGTTATCGTCTTGAACTAAGGCATTAATACATACCTTAAGACTTAAGTTAAGTAGTGTTATATTATATTAGTTTAGTTATATAACAACTTCCGAAACGTCATAGAGGGATATAAGCTGTCAATAAATTAGTATTGATGTCATCCTGCTACACATTCCAGACGACTCCATTCTACATTCTTCTCCCATGAATAAGAACAAAGAGACACAAGAATACAAAGGATTCTTCTATCCACAATCACCACCAACTCCTACGTACATTCAGCTATGTGAAGAACAACAAGCTACTCTCTTGAAATAGCCAAGGTGGGACCGATGCCCAATGACATAACAGACAAAGCCTGTCACACATTGGTCAGCCTAGCTGTCACTCACCAGGCGAATGAGCTGTCTGTCCAGCCAGCGCAGGACGTCCGGCCCCTCTTCCGACTCGGCCCTGAACACGCCCAGCCTGGCCATGATGACTGCAGACGCCTCCTGGTCGAAGGACGACTCGATGTGCTGGATTTGGGACTGGGCGTCGGCCCAACTGGGTGGAGGGAGAAAGAGGGAGAGAGCAGGTTAGGGGAAGGGCAAGACTGACGCACCTGTGTGTCAGCACAAATGTAGGCTACACATACACTTCCAGTCATTTAACAGGATAGGGCGAATGTCGACATCCTCCTTTGTACAGCCAATATTGACTTTGTGGTAACTCACTGCTTAAGGACAATGTGAGAAATGCAACGTGTACAAAACGCAGACTCTTGCATATACGTAAGGGCTGTCAGTTCAGTCACACTTTCGTCAAGAAAGATGTAGCAGTTCTGCAAACCCACTTCCTGTTTACTGTTTCAAAGCGAGAGAAGACTTACTTCCTGGCGACGGTGGTGACCCTGATCCTCTTCTGGGTGTTGGAGTGTTGGTACTGGGTGACAAACTGGATCGCTCCTCTACCACCCTGAGGGATTGGGGCGTTGTGCTACACAGAGAACATAACTACAATAGTTAGGATAGGAGTACATTTAATATGGCTAAACATCCTGTTTGAATACTAAAAACCATGTCCTAAGTAATCACTGAGTTGAGAATAATGAATTGTCACATTACATTGATATGGTCGACCCAAATCAATGACTACTTTGAGTAAGAATAAAACAAGGAACAAATTAGATGTATTTGATCAAAGGGAGTGTGTTTACCTGATTGACGACCTCGAAGTACATGGCCAACGTAGTGGAGGGACTGAGACTGCAGATTTTCCACTGGGTTGTTCCTCCAACCCCCACCTCCTGTAACAGAGACAAAGGGCCATTGAAGTCAATTGAAAACTTCTTCCCAATTCACTTCCAGAGGGGAAAAAAGCTATTCGAATAACGGGTTTCAAAATTCCGCAAACGTTCCTGAAATTCTGGAAAACCTGGGAATTTAGGGACAGTTTCTGGAATTTTGTAACCCTATTTGGATTCTGTATGGGCCTGAAAGACTCACGTTCTCTGATATACAAGGTCCCTTAGCGTTGAGGGAGACACAGGGCCCGATGGCCCCTGATACCTTCAGCTCCCTGGACGTCTTGACTTCCAGCGTGCCGCCGAAGGCCATGCGGAACTCTCCGTTGTAGTCCTTACTGAAGACCCTCTGGAAGGTCTGCTTGAACAAAGAGGTGTTGAAGGAGTCGCCCATCGCTATGTGACCTCTGAGAGGAGGGAAACCAGGAAAAAAACATGAATATTTAGCTGCATAATTCCAAAAGTAAAGCGGAATAAATCAAAAAGCAAAGCAGACTTTTTTTTTTACAGTAGATACGGTAAATCTAATATAAATACAAACAAAACTTCAATTTGAGCTAGTGAGGATGAAGTCTCTGGAAAAATCATTCTATGGAATGTAGAGGAATTGTACAAAGATAAATAACTTTATTCAGATATAATAAAATATTCAGTAGACAGCTGTCAATCACCAGGGACATGAGGTAATCAGCACAACAATGAATATCAGGTGAAGACAGGATATAGGTCAGTTGTAGGTAGATGGGGATGTATAGTAGACTAAGGAAAGGACCGTAGTAGATATGTCATTATGACACGCTAAGGGACTATGGCTGCGTTTAGACAGGCAGCCCAATTCTGATATTTTTTTCACTAACTGGTCTTTTGACCAATCAGATCTGAAAAAGATCTGATGTGAAAAGATTTGACGTGATTGGTCAAAAGACCAATTCATTAGAATTGGGCTGCCTGTGTAAATGCAGCATATATATATATATATATATGAATGACATGTGTAGACTGGTACTAACCCAGTGAGGTTGGATAAACATTTCATCTCCAGCAGCCCGGTCTGATCCAGGGCACAGGCGTAGATGTCAATACTGTGGCCGTTCACTGCCGCACGGTTCGCCAAAGCTTCGTAGTACTGAATAACACAACCAAGGGAACAGTTTGCAACATATACAAACAGTGCTGTGTAACACCTTGAGAACCCTTTGGAGCATTGGTGTCCATGAACATACCTCAACAGAAGAGGTATGAAGAGAGAAGAGAGCGCAAACTTGAGCGAAATATCTGACACATCGTGAGAGCTTGACATGAGTGAAAGAAAATAATTAAGCTAAACTATATTAAGATAAAATCGCTTAAAGTTGTTTCATCTATCTTAGCTCTAAAAACTAGCGTACTCTTAAGGATGGAATCCGCAGCAGTGGGAAACAGCGCCACTAGCCGGCCCAGCACCGTTATTGTTTTTGTTGCCGAGCTAAGGAGCTTCGCGCAGCATGGTAAAGAAAATTGCACCAGTGGAGGCTGCTGAGGGGAGGACGGCTCATAATAATGGCTGGAACGGAGCAAATGGAAACCATGTGTTTGATGTATTTCATACCATTCCACTTATTCTGCTCCAGTCATTACCACAAGCCGGTCCTCCCCAATGAAGGTGCCACCAGCCTCCTGTGAATAGCACCACATACTGTGCTCTTCAATGGCGCGTGCAATGATGTCCAAGGAGAAAAAGCCGTGTTGGCTGTTTCCAGTAACTTCATTGTTGTTGTAATATCCTAAACAAACGTGGCAGTTTCACCATTAAGGATTCCAGCTTTAAAACTATCCCACTCAGGACAAACAGCTACAAAACGACTACTTTTACAACATATAACCAACCCACATACAAGTTGGCTTTTTCACAGTGTCTATTGTATTCTATGCTATTCATTCTATTATTCTTGTACTGACCTTGGTGGCTTTCTTCAGATGGCGTGCGTTGTCCTTGGTGATGTCATGCCAGGAGCGGATGGGGATCTTGAGTTCGTCTCCCACCACCATACCGGGGCCCTGGGTGGGGGGTCCGCCCGTGAACATCATCACACGGGCCCCTGTGTTGGGGAACGTACCCTGGGGGTGGACAGATGGTGGCTATGGTCAGTATGATATTCAATGTCTTTTAAGTAAGACTTTATTTATATAATTGTATTAATTAAACCATAAATATGGTATTTCTGATTGAGATATGACTGCCAACACAGAAGCTGCCATTAGGCTATTGTAGTCTGATTTAACTGTAGTGTGCTATAACTGACTGTAGCAGGAATTTCCAGCTGAACAAAAAGGATCGCAATCGTTGATAACAGCAATCTAAATCACTTCGGTTTTACAAGTTGCAACAGGGAGACACCTCCAGCACAGAAGCAGAGGAAATGTCTAACTGGCCTTCTCTAAGCAGCCCCCTTCCATTCTAATCTCACAGCACCACTGTTCTGTCAACACCCACCGAGAGGCTTGTAGGAAGTCACAACATCAGCTGCTACAGAATCACAGAACTTAACAATCAGTGTCCTGTGTCCTTGTACCTCCAGTCTGGCATCACCATCAACAGATATGAGAACAATCCAGAACATTCACTATCAAGTCTAGTGACCATCAATGACTGTCCCAAATAGAACACTGGAAATCATTTGTATTACATAATGGAAAACACATGCTAAGTATTGTGTTAATTACTCTTAACTGAATATGAGCTTTATTCATCTTAAATATCCCCATTACAGTGACATAGCATGCTACTGTGTTTTAGCCTAAGTGATTTGATTGTGAAATTGTATGCAAATGCTCCCTCAGTCACGGTAAGGATTCACCAAACTACCGGTATTCCTTCAAGAAACTCAATCCAATTATGTTACCATACAGACCAGGGCCCAGTTTCCCAAAAGCATCGTAAGGCTAAGTTCATCATTAGAACCATCAAATCGATTAACTTAGCCTTAAGATGCTTTTAGGAAACCGGGCCCAAGTCTTTTCTCTAATCATTATATTATCAGTAGATATCAGCACCGGAGGACAGGACAGTAGGGAACATAGCTGTTCTAACACGTATGTACAGTACGTTACAGTAGAATACTAGAGAGAGGAAGAGAGGATAGCGGAGAGGGAGAGAGCAATAAGGCAAAAAGAAAGAAGCTGACCTTTGACCTAAGGAAGCAGGAGTGGTACTATTGGCAGACATAAGTGAAGAGATAATGTCAGTGTGTGTGAGAGAGAGAGAAAGTGTATGAAAGGTTAGTTGAAACCTGTGACATGTCAGAGAGGGTAAGGTTCAGTTCAGTCTTGAAGGTCAGTTGTGTACGTGTATGCTGAGTACATAGAAACAGGTTATTTGTATACCGCACAAAATGTGTACATAGGACTGTGTGTGTGTGTGTTTTTCTGTAAGAGTGAGTGTGTGTGTGTGTAAGTGTTATTACCTCCAGCAGGCCCACAGCGATGGACAGTGCTATCCCAGTAGACCGCAGTGGTCTCTTCCCCTGTGGTACAGGCCAGGGGTCTCTCTGCAGCTCTCCCAACAGGTCTGTCAGGTTCATGTCTACCTTATGGACCGGCTGCAGGAACCTACAGGTGGCGGCTGGATCCTGAGGGGCCACGGGACGACCCTGAGGCCCTGATGCTGCTGGATTGGTCAGGCCTAGCATCTCCTGAAAGAGAGAAAGATAGCTATGAGCTCTCAAGGACTTTCCACAATGGAATTGTGGAATATTGCATAGCAGCCTAAGAGAGTTCTCTTGTTCTGGCCACTGTCTCTTGACTGTATTCTATATAGGCCTAACACTCTTTGACTGTACACAATATTCTATACAAGACTCTATTTCTGAGTGCCTGACAATGATTTGGAATATTACATGACAGCCTAAGGGAGTTTTCACTGTCCACTGTCGACTGTATAGGCCTTTTTTTTTGTATGAAACACTACCCCTGTAGTGGCATAGACCCATTCTATGTCATTCAGAACCATCCCAAACAGAGTCAATAATATCTTCTTATTCTATCTGGTGACACCTGGCTGTCTTTGACATATATCCTGTCCCATTCTACGGTTTCATTGTCATTTCATTTCCCATTGATACAAGGACACCTAGACATGATCGTATGACAAACAACCACAACAAAGACCCTATTGCATTTCTATGGACAAAGCAGACTATGACCTAGATCAGGGGTCTCAAACATACGGCCCTCGGGCCAAATGCGGTCCATGAAAGATGTAATGTGGCCCACGGTTGTCGTCATAAATGTAGCCTGCAGTCATCTTAGTACAACTAATCCAGACCTTTTCCCAAAACTAATGAATACATTTTCAAGACTACTTGCCTTCCCATATGTAGCAGTTACTGACTAACTAACCTGGATCTGTTTGGAGGAAAGCTCCTTGGTTCCTCTGAACACATAGCTCTTTGCAATGCCCTCGCAGCTCAGCTCATGGACCTGCACCATGCGTCCGAAGGTGATGAGGCCCACCAGGGCGTTGGGGGGCAGCAGGGACAGGGACATCTGCAGGGACTCCTTCAGGGCCTGCAGGTCCTCCTCCTCCAAACACGTGTCCACCACGTACAGGAATATGAGCGGGGTCGGGGGGCCGCGCTACATTGGTGGCAAAGACAGGATTGGAGAGGTTATTTTACAGAGAAAAAACAAGTGCTTGGTTTTTAGTTTATATGGTTTTTCTATGTTGCAGTGTTTTGAGTTCTTCCATGTTTGGAAGATGTCACATGACACACTTTGGTCAAGTGACTTTTGTAACCCGATGTCACTTTGTAAATTGACAACCATTACAATACAACAGCAAAGACGAAGAATGTCTAAAGCAATCATGAACTTAAAAGTGATGGTAATGTCACGTGATGATACAAGATACATTCTTTGTGGCTGTGGTAACTCAACTTGAGGATTAAAGAAACATTCATATTTGATGAAGCAATTTTGCGGGTCGAGACGTACAACTACAAAGTCAGGCGTGTGTACAGTACATAGTGTCTATGTGTACATTACCAAGTTCAGAGTTCAGAGGACAGTGATTTCTATGTAGTACTGTATGTGTTTACCTGCACTATGTACTCAATGGTTGAGAACTGTGGCATGAGCTCAGCCGGCTGGTTAACGTCTGATATGCCGGCGTATGATGGGGGGAACTGTGAAAGAGGGAACAGGAAGACAAAACCGGTTAGCTAACAGCTTCACCTGATAAAGGAATGTGGATGGGCCACTTTAAAGATATGCCTGTTCTGGATGGCACATTGAAGATATTACTATTACCATCAGCTGTGTTCCTTTGTGGAATATTACTATTATAACACAGGATTGTAGGCAGGCTACCTACAGATATGGCTATGGTATTCTATGGTGGAATATAACCTATTATCCCTACAGCTCAGTTTATTCCATTGTGGCGTACTCACTGGGTTTCTTTGGAAGCAGAAGTTGCACGCCCATATTTTGGCTCTGAAGTCAACTTGGCTACAAAGGGGGAAAAGAAAGAGCTACTTAGATACAGGACATAACGTACGGTCAAACAAACCTGCCACCTAGCCTAGCCTAGCCTAGGGATTTTAGCGCTTCTAGAGCGTATGTACATTGGATTGTTTAGGTGTGGTTAGGGTTGATCCACCACACCTGTCCCTGAGTGATATAGCTACACCAAATCATTCCTAATGATATTAAAAACGTTGTTGACTATGGACGCCCATTCTCTTGATGACACATTCCTTTCCTCTCCTCCTCTTCCCGTTACCCTAAATGTAAATACTCAGAAGAATAAATGATGAAGCTGAAAACTAAGAGATGCCATATAAGTCGTTGGACATAGGTTAGCTTTTAGTTAAGTGCTTGTAAAACGTAAACAAAGCAAACACTCAACAAGCAACCATTAAAACCACTCATTAAACAACAACATTCACCTCCACTACTCAAATACTCACCATAGCGGGTTTAGTACGGCCTTGCAGTTGGCCCTGCTACAGAGGACCGGTTCGTACTGCACCGGTGGCAGGTCTGGCCTCTCCTTGAGTGGGGTGAAGAGGCAGGAGACAGGCACTACCAGCCGGGTAGCCTCCAGCCTGCTCGAGGGCCACAGGTTCCAGCTAAAACGCACCCCGTCCCGATCCTCATTCTGTTGGATAAACTCCTGGTATGTCGCCATGGCAACTTCAATGGGAAAGAAAGTGAAGAGAGATTCTTAATAAACTCGTCTGGTTAAATAAAAATAAATAAATAAAATATGGAGATAAGTTAGTTCGATGGCTAAACTAGCTCTTGCTAAGGACAGGTAGTCTGTCTTAGCTTCTCCGAGAGCTGTTTGAGTCTGGAGTTCGGTGTGAGCTACTCTCGCTTTTCACTGCTTTGTTATCAGTTCCTACGTAGGTAAGGTAAGGCCTGTGTGGAATATCAATGACGATGATGTTAGTCATCAAAACCTGTTTGGCATGTTTTAATACTTAAGCTGAATAGGAATCCCTGAGCTATTTTTGAATCCTACCAATTTCAACTATGTACTATTTCAGGGACGAGTGACACTTGGGCTTATATGCTTCAGTAGGTATGAACAGCAGTAACCAGATGTCTTAGAGTTCTATAGCCTTGGAAGTCCAAACATATGTTAGTCAAGACATAACTTAAGTATAGGGCCCTGTGTTTTGAACGATCATGTGACAGAGCAAGATTCTATCTGACCTTGTCCAAAAATGTGAATTACACCAAAAATAAAAATCAATTGTCTGAGGATGGTGTTGGAACATCTGACATAAAAATGAAAAGGGGAGAGTTTGAGTTTGATGGAAAAGCATTAAAAGCTGCAAAGCTTTTTCGGTGACCCTACCAAATTCACATAGAAATGTTAGTTATAGATCTGTCATTCCCATTGAAAGCAAGTCTAAGAAGCAGTAGATCTGTTCTATGTGTGCTACTTCTATGCTTCATGTTCTTAAGTTTCGTTTTTTGCATCTTTTACTTTCGGTTTTGTACACAAGCTTCAAACAGCTGAATATACAATATTTTTTCTTACGGAAAATATACACTACATGACCAACAGTATGTGGGACACCTGCTCGTCAAACATCTCATTCCAAAATCATTGGCATTAATATGGAGTTGGTCCCCCCTTTGCTGCTATAACAGCCTTACCTCTTCTGGGAAGGCTTGCCACTAGATGTTGGAACATTTCAGCGGGGACTTTACATTTTAGTCATTTAGCTGACGCTCTTATCCAGAGTGACTTACAGTAGTGAGTGCATACATTTTCACTCGTACTGGTCCCCACATGGGAATCGAACCCACAACCCTGGCGTTGCAAGTGCCATGCTCTACCAACTGAGCCACACAGGACTTCCATTCAGCCACAAGAGCATTAGTGAGGTCGGGCAATTAGGCATGGCTTGCAGTCTGTGTTACAATTCATCCCAAAGGTGTTAGATGGGGTTAAGGTCAGGGCTCTGTGCAGGCCAGTCAAGTTCTTCCATACCGATCCCAACCAACCATTTCTGTATGGACTTCGCTTTGTGCACGGGGGCATTGTCATGCTGAAACAGGAAAGGGCCTTCCCCAAACCGTTGCCACAAAGTTGGAAGCACAGAATCGTCTAGAATGTCATTGTATGCTGTAGTGTTAAGATTTCACTTCACTGGAAGTAAGGGGCCTAGCCCAAACCATGAAAAACATCCCCAGACCATTATTCCTCCTCCATCAAACTTTACAGTTGGCACTAGCAGGTAGCGTTCTCCTGGCATCCACCAAACCCAGGTTCGTCCGTCGGACTGCCAGATGGTGAAGCGTGATTCATCACTCCAGAGAACGTGTTTCCACTGCTCCAGAGTCCAGTGCTTGGCATTGCGCATGGTGATCTTAGGCTTGTGTGCGGCTGCTCGGCCAGGAAAACCCATTTCATGAAGCTTCCAGACTAACAGTTCCTGTGCTGACGTTGCGTCCAGAGGCAGTTTGGAACTCGGTAGTGAGTGTTACAATCGAGGACAGACAATTTTTACGCGCTTCAGCACTCGGCGGTCCCGTTCTGTGAGCTTGTGTGGCCTACCACTTCAGGCTGAGTCGTTGTTGCTCCTAGACGTTTCCACTTCACAATAACAGCACCTACAGTTGACTGGAACAGCTCTAGCAGGGCAGAAATTTGACGACCTGACTTGTTGGAAAAGTGGCATCCTATGACAATGCCACGTTGAAAGTCACGGAGCTCTTCAGTAAGGCCATTCTACTGCCAATGTTTGTCTATGGAGATTACATGGCTGTGTGTTCAATTTTATACACCTGTCAGCAACGGGTGTGGCTGAAATAGCCGAATCCACTCATTTGAAGGGGTGTCCACATACTTTTAAATAAAGGTTCAAATCCAGGCATGTCACATGATTGCACAAAACACAGGGCAATAGTTATGGAATGTGATGTTTCCTTGTAATGTAATTCCATGTAATGTTATGGAACAGACCACCACCCCTTATTGGTCTTCTGACAAACTTTTCAAGGTAGAACTGTCTGTTCCAAATCTTAGTTCACTTCAGATATCTAATCCAGATATGAACAAAAATGAACACACACACACACACACACACACACACACACACATCTCCACTCTCTCATTCAGGGGAACCTTCTGCATCAAACAACTCTACCAGGTGATTGACAGCTGACCTACAGGACCCTTAACTCGAAGTAGTATTGATCCATTGATTACACAACAGGGCGCTTACATGGACAGACTAAAACGGTCTCTTCTAGTTATAGGCACATCTTAGCTATTACTGGCCATTACTAGGAATTAAATGATGATCAATTTGCCAACATTTAGCTACAAGCATGTTGTAGTAGTTAAATGGTTAGAGACAGATATCACAAATTAAATTTTAGGATCCTGGTAGAGATGCCTTCCTGAAAGGAGGCGAATGCTAGTAGCAGCAATAAGCTAACAAGCTAATTAGCGACAGGCTCTAGCTGACGTTAGCTAGAAAAATTGAAATCTTAGGTAGATAACGTTAGTTAGTTAGAATTTTATCAAATTCCGGGAGTGTTTCTAAAGTCAATCTGCCATCGACATCATGTTAACTTGATATAAAACAAGATCATGAAAGCTAAATGAACGATACAGATGTTAGCTAGGCTAGCATAGCTAACGGACTAACCCAGTTTTTAGTGGGCTTTTTTCCTGGACTAACAACCAAGGAAACACAAACAGAATGGCCTAGCTAGACACTTTTCATCAATTTAATGCAGGAAGATCGGACGGAGAACCATACCTTTTATACAGATCCGGTTGGAAATCCAGACGAAGGTAAAAAAATATTAGATTGTAATAAATCAAATCCCATCAGCATTTAGGTGGTAAATACCGATGGGCAAACAGAATAAGAGAGAGAAGAATCTGAGGGTGCAACTCCCGGCCGGTGTTCCTCTCCTTCAGTAGAATGACGTGTTACTACATATTCTGCGGTTTCCTATTGGCCCTCGTGTCCATGACGTAGGACGCAAGCACGCACAGGAGGATCATGGGAAATGAAGTCCTGAATGTATTATAGGCCTATAATAAAGATGACGAAATGCTGTAGCCCATGGCTTTTGATCTGTAGATGGCGCTGGGTACCAAAGCATCCCCATCACTCCCGCATCATTTGATGGAGTCACTTGGATGGCGAGAGAGAGAGAGAGAGAGAGAGAGAGAGAGAGAGAGAGAGAGAGAGAGAGAGAGAGAGAGAGAGAGAGAGAGAGAGAGAGAGGAGAGAGAGAGGAGAGAGAGAGAGAGAGAGAGAGAGAGGAGGTTCGTCTAGTCGCTGCAGTCACGCTCTCTCCCTCTTTTCCAGTGCAGTTCACTTGCCTGGCGATCCTGCAGCGGTTCCTCCTCCCCTATGTATTAAACTGTGCAGCTACAAGAGGCGGGGAGATGCGCATCAGCAACCCGCTACCCGACGAAGCTCTCTCCACTTCAGGACGGAAGAGACTAAATGTGGATGCTTTCAGGTGCAAACTTGCATGAACTAAAAAATAGTCCATGCCGGGGTTTGGGGATGTTAGATACCTGCACGTAGCCTTTTCTAGGGCTATATTTCACTGTTGGACTAAGGAGTCGGTGGCGTCCTCAGCTGTTGCATTTGGGGGCTGAAGTGTTCGGAGCAACAGAGAGAGGTCAGGCAACTATGCGATTTGATTTCGAACGGTAATTCCGGATCAGTTTGCCACGGATGCGAGCGGAGGTTGACTGTCAGTTCCCTCTGAGTTGTATTTCAAGCCTGTTGTCGCCGGTATTCCCGACAACGGAACCGTAGCGATGGAGAAAGCTAGTCAGCCACAGCTGTCACTGTCCATAACAAAGAGTGAAAGTCCAGCGGAAGACATCTCAAATATACCAGAGGAGGACCTTCTCAAGTGGACCAAAGAGGATTTGGTGCGGCGGCTCCGGCGGTCTGAAGCCGATAAAATGAGCGTGATACTGGACCACAGCAATCTGATCCGCGAGGTCAATCGCAGCCTCCAGCTGCACTTGAACGAGATCAGAGGGCTGAAGGTGAGGAATGGGCGCGCGCGGCATTTCTAAAAATATGATATCATAGTTAACAGTGGGGAGGCCGCGCTGGCGCACCTGAGCGCGCACAGCATGAGAGGGGGTTCGGGGTTGAGCTGGAGCTTTCTTTAAAGTGCGCCGCTGTCCACATGATGAAATGGAAGCAGGATGTATATAAGTTAATTTCATTTTACAAGATCTTTCTCCCTCTCCGTGTGCATGTATCTATGAGCGTGCATATGCCTACTTTTGTGTGCATCCATCATCTTCCATCAGAAAGCATAGTGAGAAGGCATCTGGGCTGAATGTCAAGCATCATCATTCTTCTACTTTCTCTCTCACTCACCTTTTGTCTTTAGTCATCATCCCCATTGCAAAAGCTTTGGTGTGTAGGCCTATGGCACATCCTTGGTGCTTGCTCTTGGAATATCTTCAACAAATTCTACTAGGCTACAAGAGTAAACCTATTTAACCCAGAATACTCATTAAACTCCCCAAATATATGTATTCTCTCTTCCAAATCTTATTTGGTGCAGTGTAACTAACAAGAATAATCCTGGCATAATCTTATTGTTTCTCCCAGCTACATAGACTTGATTTAACATCCACCTCCAATACTCGGAGCTTCATTAAAATGAGATAGGAGAGACTGAGATGAAGCACATGGGGATTGAGGAAGGATCCTTGGCTGCTTCAGAGAGCAGACCCAAAAGCCCAGACCGAAGCACCATGGTACCTAATTAAACTACATGTGCTGGAGGGTCTGAGGGGTATGTTATTATGGATAATTAGAGGAGTTGGAGAACCTTGGGCAAAGATGCCATCATGTTTCAAATGAGAGAGAGAGAGAGGTATGTTCTGGCCTGGTGCTTTGCTTGCCCTCCCTCCTTGGCGCCCTCTCTCAGCTCACTCACGGCCTATTTGCCCTCTACCACTCCTACATCCAAAAGGTTCACATCCATATTTATGTGATACAGAGGTTTATGAGCAGCTGAAGGGGTCAGGATTTCATTTTTATTTGACTCTTCTTTGACTGACATGATATTAAAACGAGGTTCCCTCGAATAAGAGATGTCTACCTCAGTAGGACCTAGATAAGAGTGAATGAATTAAATAGCACTAATAAAAACTTCTCACCTCTCTTTCTCTACTCCACTCCTCTCCTCTCATCCCCTCTCCTCTCCTCAGGACATCAACCAGAAACTACAGGAGGACAACCGGGAGCTGAGGGACCTGTGTTGCTTCCTGGATGACGACCGTCAGAAGGGCAAGCGGGTGTCCAGGGAGTGGCAGCGACTGGGGCGCTACAGTGCCTCCATCATGAGGAAGGAGGTGACGTTGTACCTTCAGAAGCTCAAGGAGCTGGAGGTGCGGCAGGACGAGGTGGTCCGGGAAAACCTGGAACTCAAAGAACTCTGTTTGTTACTCGACGAGGAGAAAGCTGGAGGAGGAGGAGGAGGAGGTGGTGGAGGGGTGGGGGTTGGTGGAGGAGGAGGAGGGGGAGGTTGTGGGGTGGGGGTGGTAGGAGGGTGTAGGAATTCTATCGATAGCCAGAGTAGTTTGTTGCTGGTCCCCGGGACAGGGTTGTTGATGAGGGACGTGGGGGATGGGAGTAGTACGTCTAGCGCGGGGAGCGCCGACAGCTCCGATCACCCCCACCACAAGCAGCTCCACCTGGCTACACACGCCGGTGGCCTCGGGGGCGGTGGAACTGGGAGCCCGGAGAATCTCCAAAAACCCAGGGGTGGCAGTGTGAGTGGAGAACGTGAGATCCCCTCCAGCCCTGAACCTCCTCACCCCCAGGGCAGGCACCGTAGCACCAGCCTGGAGTATCCATACGCCATGCCCCAGCCCTGCCGGCCCCGCTGCGGCTCCATCTCCGTGCCCGACCACACCCACAGCGGCCGCTCCATGCGGGGGCTCAGCCCCGAGAAGTATGGCCGCAACCTGGG